AACGTTATTGGTAATTTTAGTCTTGATTTTCTTTCCTAATGATCTGTAGCATGGGATTTTTTTCTACAACTGCACACTGGATTGCTGCATTCTGGCTACCTGCTATGACCCAGTCACTGCCAGTTCAAACCCCATAAATATATATGTGCAATTAAGATACCGTATTTTTCACCCTATAGGACACACTTTTCCCCCTCCAAAAATGAAGGGGAAATGTGTGTGCGTCCTATGGGGCGAATGCAGGCTTTTGCTGAAGCCTGGAGAGCGAGAGGCATCGGTGCGCACCGACCCCTCTCGCTCTCCAGGCTTCAGGAAGTTATCCGCAAGCCTTGTGCGCCCAGAGGGAGGTCCCTCAGGCTCGCAAGGCTTGCGGGCGGCAGCCCGAAGTACGGGGTGCCCTCCGGAGGACGCCCCGTGCTTCGTGCAGGTGTCAGCAAGCCTTGCGCACCCGGGGGAAATCCCCCCAGGCGCGCAAGGCTTGCGGGCGGCAGCCCGAAGCACGGAGCGCCCTCCGGAGGATGCCCCATGCTTCGCGCAGGTGTCCGCAAGCCTTGCGCGCCCGGGGGGAGTTGCTGCCAGGCTCGCAAGGCTTGCAGATAGCAGCCTGTTCTGGGGTCGGGGGAATTTTTTTTATTCATTTCCCCCTCCCCCAAAAAAAACCTGAGGTGCACCCTATGGGCCAGTGCGCCCTATAGGGCGAAAAATACAGTACTTTGCTCCAACGTTTGTCACCTTACACTTCTTTACGTTGAATGACATTGGGCATTTTACCATCCATTCCATTTGGAGAGGTCCTTTTGGAGCTCTTCACAGCCCCTTTTTGTTTTAATGACCATGAATGATTTCATATCTGGCAGATCTGGCCACCTCACTGCTCACCCCTAACCCAGACCAAGCGCAGGTGTGTTTAGACGATGGGACACAAAATTGCACTTGTGGATAACTTATGAATGGCCTGACAACCCTTTCTCCCCCCCCCCTCACAGTTCTTTTGTAGAACCCAACAAATTGTCCAGAATAGGGCATGAATGCCCCTCCCCATCCTTCCGCAAATAGGAATCCCTATTGGTTACCCTCTGAGCCCTGCTCTCACTATCACTGGCCTAGCATCCACCCTTAATAACAATCATTCTATCATAGTTGAGGTATCTTCATTCAGGAGCTCCTCCCAGTTTTTGGAAAGCAATCTATTGGGGGGGGCAGTTATCTGTTCATTAGGCAGTTAGAAAGAAGTTAGCCCTCAGAAGCGTTGGGAAAATTGATACATAAGTAAGTCAAAGGCCTTGCTTGTTAGGAAATTGTATGGGTGCAGACCCCAAAACCCACTTTTGCCCACAGCTATTGGATATAGTATATTGATGTCTGTGTTCCCTTCCAAAACATCATGTAGGAAAAGGCCCACAGACATGGCAAATAAGATACACTTGAATACAATTAGAGTGGTGAAAATGCAAATCTTTTTCACTTTAATAAACGGTAGTTTAAAAAAAAATACAAAACTGAAGTCAATGTTCACATGGAAATAACTTTAATGTGTTTACTTACTTCATATTTTATTTCAGCAAAAATTGCCTTGATCTAAATTTGCTGACATCACACTGTTACTCAGAAAAAGTGGAAGCAACTTGCCAGCTAGCATTTAGTATTCTGGGGTGTGTTAAGCTTATTTCTGTAAAAATGTCTTGAGAATTGTATATGTATGCTTTGTAACAAAAAGGTAATTGATTTAATAGCCTTCAACAGTGACCTTTTTTGTTCTTTGACATTTTCTCATGTCAAATCCTCATGCAATGCTTTCAGATGAGCTTTACCAGAGCCATAGCTTAGTGGTTGAGCATGCAAGAAGGTCACAGGTTTTATCCCCAAAACCTCTGGATGGAGCTGGGAATGCTCTTTGTCTGAACCCCTGGAGAACTACGGCCAGTCAGGATGGATAATATTGAGCTAGACGAAGCAATGGTCTGGCTAGTTATAAGGCAGTGTTCTGTGTTCTTGTGCCCTTGGATAAACTACTTGTAACACCACAAATCACCAATAGCTTATGTGTTCTAAATCTTGGTAGACATTAGACTTCGCTGCCTTCTTTTATTCCAGACATATCATTTTGGATTTCAAAGCCAAGCATACTGGGAAACTTTAGCATTTGATTCTCCTCAGTGTGTTTAAGCTGCTTTTCTGCCCAAAGTGGCTTACAAAAATGAAATCAAAACACAGGCAATTAAGATCCAAGAAAACAAAAACGAATGGCAGCAAAATTAACTTACAAAATTAACGAGAACAAGTTTTCAAATTCTAACGGGTGAAGTGGGAATTGATCGCGAACAGCCCATCAAAGAAAGAAGATCTTTTAACAGTCAAGATTAATATTGTGGGAGCCAGCATCATAGCTGTCAACTTTTCCCTTTTCTTGCGAGGAATCCTATTTGGAATAAGGGAATTGCCCTTTAAAAAAGGGAAACATTTACAGCTATGGTCAGCATTCCTTTAAATACTTTTGACCCAAATCATTTTAGGTGTTCAATGATAATAAGCAGCACTTAGAAGTGAGCTCAGAAACTAACGAAACCAGTGCAGGTCAGCCAAAATTGGAATTATATCCTGCATGTTAAGGGCTATGCTCCTGCTTACTCCACTACCAATCCGCTGCCATTCCTCCCACATTAACACAGTAGAGCTCCCCTTTCCCATCCCATGCAACTACTAAGCTTGCTTTTCCCATACCCAATCCTATATCTGAAGCCACTTTGCTCTTCTGTTTTCACCTTCACCTCCATGTCCCCCCACATTTTGTGCAACCTTTCCTTGCACACTAACCACCCCCATGGTTAACTCCTGCATCTTCTTACTCGCAAACATTGCAACTACTAAGCATCCTTTTCAACTTCCACCCAGCTATGAAGCCACCATTTCTTCCTATTCTTTAGACCTTTCCATGCCCCTTTCATATTCAACCCTATTCCCATGCCTCGTCCTCTTTTCTTTCCCCCCCCTTTTTTTTTGCAACCCCTTTTGTACCCCCGTTACATTCCCCCTTTTCCACCCTCCTTTTTTCAACTCTCCTACGCAGTTCACTGCTATTTCCCCGTCTCCTTTACAGTGGTACCTCGGGTTAAGAACTTAATTCGTTCTGCAGGTTCGTTCTTAACCTGAAACTGTTCTTAACCTGAAGCACCACTTTAGCTAATGGGGCTTACCGATGCTGCCGTGCCGCCAGAGCACGATTTCTGTTCTCATCCTGAAGCAAAGTTCTTAACCCGAGGTAATATTTCTGGGTTAGCAAAGTCTGTAACCTGAAGCGTCTGTAACCCGAGGTACCACTGTACTCTCCTCTTCTGCAGCCTCCTGCGTGTGCCTGTGCATGTGCTGATATAGGTTACCGTAAGAAGAGCAAATCTTAAGAGCAAACCTGTCAGCATGTTCAGTTAGAGAAGGTAAAGTTCAGCTGGTGAATGTTGTACATGTATGGTTTTTTGCTCCTTAACAGCACCAATCTTCTAAATTACTACATGGAATCTGGAACTTCATACTGAAGACAACAGATACCAGAAGTGGAATACGTTGTGTGAAAGTACTATGGGATATTTGAGAGCTCTGCTTCAATTACCTCTGTCGCATGAGGCAGATGAGGAATAGAAGAGGGAGAAGTTTAAAACAGAAAAACCCCCGCTCCTTACAGTGTTGTTCCCTTCTTGCTGTACTCAGTAGCAGAAGTTTGAGTAAAGTAGGGGTAGAGTTACACTGAGGGGTTTTCTTTTTTTAAAAAAAATCAAACCAGTTTTAACATGGAGAAATGAGCAGGGATGGGTACAACGCAAAAGTTAACGCAAAAAAAGTAACACAAAACAGCGTTTTCCAACTTCCTTCTCACTGTACTCTAATATTGTTTCAAACTGCCCCTTAACCCCTGCCTTCTCTACTCAAACCTTTGCCATTGTTTAAAATCGCCACTAAGTTTCCCTGCTTTATTCAAACCTCTGCTGTTCTTTAAAACGGTTATTTTACCCTATGTCCTCTAGTGTTTAAAACCACCATTCTCCCCCCCTTTGCATCCCTCCCATAGCTACTGCTGTGGTGCAACAGTTCCTTTTTGCTCCCTTTCGCTACTCCAACTTCATGCAAATCCAAGACTGTGATGAAACACAACCAATCCTCCAATGGGGGCTGCGTGATGACAATCTTATTTATTTGCATTTATTTTTGTAGGAAAATAAAAACCTAGTTTTAGGGTGCTTCCAGACAGGTATTTAATGTAGTATTTATTACATACTGCTTAATAGTATTTTTACAAAAAATGAAGTGGTTAACACGAGATATAAGTAGAAATAACAATGACATGTAAAAAAAAAAAATACAATAACGTTCATATGAGCAACTAAGTAGAAACAGAATTAAACTATCTCATAAGTAAAACGGGGCAGTACATGAGGCAAGAAGCTTCAGTTGCAAATGCAGTGTGTCAGTACAGGGATGGATCTGAGAATGGTAACCGGAGTCTCACACAGTTGAGGCTAGTAAGTTACTATAACCAGCCAATGGCAGGGTTGCCTTAATGGGTAAGGTCTTGTCTTTGGGGCTTGAAATAAGAGAGTGGGCTTGAATCTTATGATGTCCATGTATAAGTGGAACAGTCATTAGCTCATGACCCCTCCAAAATCTGTTTCAGATAGATGGGAGACCAGAGCAGATCTAGAGGACACCTGGGGGAGAAGGGGAAAGCCAGTTACTCTACTTACACAATCTTGGATTTCACCCAATTAAATTGTCTTTTTAAACTGAATTGTTGTGCGAAAGCATTCAAAGTGACTATTGAATTTACTGTTCTTTTCAGCATTCTATATCATAAATGTCAATATTTATACATCTTGAGGAAATGTCAGGTTTTGCATCTTAAACTTGGTGAACCTAAATAACTCCCAAGTCTGGAAAACGCAGCCTGCTGATTAAAATCCCAAGCTGTCCTAAACTCATTAAAATGCATTTTAATTAACATTGTGTGCCTGTTATTCTTGCTGTTGGCTGGTGGGCAAGATTCTTCCATCTCCTTGGATACCGAAGATAGTGACTTCATCATTGCCCTGAAATAAGGTGGTTCCATTGTGATTCACAGAACTCGACTTTTTGTCTTCACGTTTGGATTCTTGAACTCTCTCGATGTAGCCTCTGAAACAACATTTGATGGAGTACTTGAAAACCAAATAGGTGAGTTCAATTACATTTAAGATGATGCACAAGGAGGACGTCACCACCACAATGTACAAGAAGACTTTTTTCTCTGTGGGCTTGGAGATGTAGCAATCGACGGTGTTGGGACATGGACTCATGTCACATTTCACAAGGCGGGGGACGTTGAATCCGCCGTACAGCTTGTAAAACAAAAAGAGGAAGCCGAGTTCAAATCCTGTTTTGGAAAGGAGACTGATGAGATAGGTGCATAGCAACCCTCCATCCATGCTTCCTGGGTCCTTATACAACTTCTTTCTGTGTCTCTTTTCCCTGCTTTCTCGATAGGCAACATGGAGAACGACAAGAAGGGATGGGGTGGAGACCATGATCAATTGTAAGGCCCAAAGCCTCACCTGGGAAACTGGGAAAAAGTAGTCAAAGCAGACATTTTCGCAGCCAGGCTGCCTAATGTTACACTCAAACTCCTTCTGTTCATCCTTCCAGACTTGTTCTGCAGCCACAACGTAGACAAGGAGGCGGAAGATAAACACAATAGCCAACCAGATTCTGCCGATTCCAGTTGAGTATTTGTTCACCCCGCTTAGGACATCACGGAGGAATGACCAGCTCATTGCTTCCACTTCAGAAAGGGGAAAGGAACTGTAACAAAACAAATACACAAAATGAGAATGCCCTCACTTTATTTACACAACACCCAGGACATCCAAACTGAATTACATTACTTGTTAGATTGTAAAAGTGATGATCAATCCAATTATACAATAACTCACGATTATAATTGGGTGTTCAGGGAGACCAAGTGCTGGATTTGAGTTTAAATTCTATCTGTAAACTGGAAATAACAAAACTTTCCTTAATTCCTCTCATTAGCTCCTCCCATTGGAATGTAGATGCCAAGGGTATTCTTAGGTGCTGGGAACAGTTCATTATCACCCCATACATGAAAATATATAGAACATACATGTAATATATATAACAGAGACAAGGGTGGCACTGTGGGTTAAACCACAGAGCCTAGGACTTGCCGATCAGAAGGTCGGCGGTTCGAATCCCAGCAACGGGGTGAGCTCCCGTTGCTCCGTCCCTGCTCCTGCCAACCTAGCAGTTCAAAAGCACATCAAAGTGCAAGTAGATAAATAGGTACCACTCTGGCAGGAAGGTAAACGGCGTTTCTGTGCGCTGCTCTGGTTTGCCAGAAGCGGCTTAGTCATGCTGGCCACATGACCCAGAAGCTGTACCTCAGCTCCCTCAGCCAATAAAGCGAGATGAGACCGACCCCAGAGTCGGTCACGACTGGACCTAATGGTCAGGGGTCCCTTTACCTTTACTAATATATATAACATATATATAATGTAATCCTACCAGTTATCATAATGCAGAAACAGTGTGGGGAGCTTTTCCACCATTGCTCTGTCCCAGGTGTGTGGAACCTGTGGCCCTTCAGCCATGGTCAGACTCCAATTTCTCACCCCTAACCAATGGTCATGTAGGATGGGCCTGAAGGGATTTGGAGGGGCACAGGTTCCCCAATCCCTGCTCTGCCTCTTGCCAGTCTTGGAATGCCTGAAGCTACAACTGAAGATGGGAAGTAACCATGTCCCGAGAGCCTCCCATGTGATCTGCCTTAAAGATGGCTTGGGAAAGGTATCTTATTATTTTCTCATGTCCATGATTTCTTTGGTCATTCTAGATTTGACTAGTATACCTAGTACTTTAGTCATTCTAGATATAACTAGTATGGTTACCTAGTTTCCAAACCAGTAGTCTTACTAAATTCCCCATCCCCAAGTATTTGCTTAGGCCAAACACACAGTGTAACGGTTGGACTTGTCAAAGGCTTCAGTGGTGTAGAGGGCAGCTCCAGGTCTGAGGGGCCCTACAAGTACTTGCGGGGATAATTATTATAATTATGAAAAGATTGATAGGGATGGTTAAGGTAATAACATATAGTACTTGTAAGCCTCCTTGTACTTCAGTTTACATAATATTTTATACTATTGTGTTCACGCTTGGAGATATTTTTGATAAAACGGTATATAAATCTGACTAAGTAAGTGAAATAGGAATTTGATAGCATCATTAAGTGTCTACAGAATTGCTTGATGATGACCTATTATTTACTATTCATTAATCATCTACTGCTATCTGCTTTCATATCATTTTCCATGTTTTCTCATAGCAAGAACTCCTTTCCATTATCAGACTTCTCAAAATATGAGCAAGTGAAATGGCTCACAGGTTCTAGCCTACAGCTCCTAGCATTAGCATGAGGGAACAAATGATCCTCTGGGTCCCTTCCGACTCTACAACTCTATGATTCTCCCATCCTTGCTGTATAGTCTGCAGAGTAGACCAACTTTCAGTTCCACAGTTTTGCTGAGAGGTGGCACTGTTCTCTCACTTTATCATTAGTCTGTGTTACTTTCTCTTGCTGTATCACAATAAAAGGCCCCAGAGCAGCATCTATTCTACTGTAACACCTGTCAAGTCATGTACTGTGGAGTCGAGGCCTTGATTCAGAACAGATTGCTGCAAATAATCAAGGGGAAAACAGATACAAGGAGAGAGCGCATCATGGCAGGATGCATAAAGCCCATCACACGCGGAGGCCCTTTGCATCAGTGGAGTGGAAACTTTCTAAATCTTATTTATAATCAATTAAACGTAAAGCACAGATGGAGCCTGGATATATAGCCAGCCAGGCAGATCCATAGAACTTAATTAAGTCAAGGAACCATTTCTCTTCTAGTTACTCCTTAAGTTGACCTTTAATTATCAGTTGTCATGCCTGCCTGGATAGCTCAGTGGTGCTGATAACGCCAAAGTTACAGGTTTGATCCCTGTGTGGGACAGCTGCCTATTCCTGCATTGCAGGGGGTTGGACTGGATGACTCTCTGGGTCCCTTCAAACTCTACAATTCTATGATTTTACACACTCTCTAGGCTGTGGATACTTAAAAAAGAAAAGGAGGATTCTATGAAAGCGATTGGCCAAGATTCTGACAATGATTCACAGAACATCACATGCACTCCATTGTTTTAACCCTGCCTCCTGAGTTCTGCCAACTTTAGCTCCCCAGGGTTGTGAAAGCTACTCATAAGGACTGAGGAAGAACCTTTAGATAAGGATACTGGAGGAGATACTAATCCCAATGCACATGCCCAGTGAAATTGCTAGGTGTGCCTTCCGCTAAGAGAAATGAGCAGGCTGCTGGTGGAAGGCAATAGGGTAGGAGTGGCTAACCTGTGGTCCTGCAGGTCCCATCAGACCCAGTCAGCATGGGCAAAGGTCATGGATGAAGGATGTTCAGCAACATCTGGAGGGCCAAAGATTAGCCTCCCCTATGGAATACATCCATGAATACAAGTCCCCGCCCCCCATTTTTGAAAGAAATCACATGATGGGGGGGGGAATTCAATGAAGAAGAGGAGCAGGTCAATGCAGGACTTATTTCAATCAGCTGCAAGGTTTGCACCTTTTTAAAAAACTACCAGCTTGCATCCAAAGTAGCCTGTTCATGGAAGGCAATATAGGCTGTGTACACGTGACATTTGATTCTAGATTCAATAGCGATTGAGTAGTTGTTTATTCTACACAGTCCACACACAATCTAGATATATTGCATGTTTTTTTGCTCCTGAAAAGTGGGTTCATAGAATCGTAGAACTGGAAGAGACCATGAGGGTCATCAAGTCCAACCCCCTGCAATGCAGGAATCTTTTGTGCCCAATGTGGGGCTGGAACCCACAAGCCTACGATTAAGAGTTACATGCTCCTTAGCCATTGACTCCTTAGATCTATGGAACTGTGAATCAAAAACAGCACTGTCCACCAAAATGGGAAAACACTGACAGGTAACATGGAGTTAAACATTAAATATTCCACAGCAGGTGCCGCTCCCATCATATGAAGAAATGTAAGTAGACATGTCATTTGATGGAGGCTCTGGAGACTGCTTTACTCTTTACAGGTGATCATGTTTGCCACAGGTACTGTTGCAACACACAACGCAGAGAACACTGGTCACATTCCAGGGGCATGTATCAGACTGGGGCACCCAGTGGGTCTTTTCCTTTCTCAGCACAGCAACATTGCAAGCAAGGGAGTGGCTGCTGCATCTGTGCTTGTCTAGCCTGGCGGTGAAAAGGTGAAGCATGTGTGCCACAGGGATATACAATACCCTCATTAGGGTTAAGGACATAACAGACCAATCCTGTGAGTTCTTGTATGAGCAAAGCAGCTTGTAAGATCAGGTGTTATGACAGAATTCTGCAGATTAGCCTTCCCTTTCTCCTAAAAATTTAAAAACTACTGCCATGTAACATGGAGAGAAATCCAGCAAAAATCAACCCTTTTCTGCCCACACCTCTTTGCCCTTTCCCCCCAATGTGTCCCCTCTGTACATGATGACTATATACACCCCACACACCTAAAGCACATTGAAAGGGCATAGCTTCCCCCAAAGAATTCTGGGAAATGTAGTTTAAGGGTGCTTGGAATTGTAGTTATTTGAGGGGTGAACTACAGTTCTCGGGATTCCTTGGGGGGAAGTGATGCGCTTTAAATGTATACACGAGAGAGAACTGAAACATTGAACGCTTTCATATATGTTATTACCTTAACATCAATCTTTTCATAATTATCAGTTGTGAAATTCCATCCTGCTAGTACTTAATGCTAATACTTAGGAGAAGCCACAAGAACCACTTAATAAGCTAGATTCAGTTAGGTAGCCGTGTTGGTCTGACATAGTCAAAAAAATAAAATTTTTAAAAATAAAAAATTGTCCAGGAGCACCTTATAGACCAACTAAGTTTGTTCTGAAAGAAGTGTGCATGCACACTAAAGCTTATACCAGAACAAACTTAGTTGGTCTATAAGGTGCTACTGGAAAATTTATTTTATTTTATTTTTATTTCCACTTAAAAAGCTGTTCAGGGCAATGTCTTGTCAGGAACTAATTGTCTTTATATTTTATAATGGCCTTTAATGATTATGTACATTGTGAAGTCCCGTTTGCTTTAAGGCAGGCATGTCCAAAGTCAATTTCGGGGGCCTAATCCGGCCCACCAGTTGGTTTAATCTGGCCCCTGTGGCAGTTTATCTCCTGGGGTAAAATCCTAAATTTTCCACCTACAAAATCGGCCCTCACGCATGTTTACTTCATCAAATCTGGCCCTCTTTGAAAAAAGTTTGGGCACCCCTACTTAAGGAAACTATCCCCTTGGGTAGTTCAGTAGGTTCATCATCAAGAGAACTCCAGCAGATGCAAGTTCTCCTACCACAATGCAGGAACAGCTTATCTTTCTCCTAAATCATTTCCAAAGGCACAAAAGCTCTACCCCACATTGCAAGGGCCTCCATCCTTCCCATACCTTGGGGGAGGGGCATTTCACACCAGCCTTCAACAGGGGATTCACATCAGACTCTTCATCTTAGACATCCTTTGCCAACCAGAGGATTTGGTGCCACAACTTCCAGTGCTGGTCAGACACCAGGTTGGTGAAGGCTAATTCTCACCTATTCCTTCCTAGATCTGCCCTCCTATTGCCTTAGTTTTACGTTTGCCTTATTTCTCTTTCGCTTCCTTCTCATTCTCCTTGTTAAAAAAAGCTGACACGGTGACCTAAGGCAGGGTGTGACCCACCCTAGGTAAGGTTGGTGGTGATGCACTTGTAATTCTAAGTGACATGGCCCCTATTAAATTTGTTCCTACAATACAGGATTAGCCTTTTTAATTCTCACTTTGTCTCTTTATACTTAAAAAAAAAGTTTTTATTGAAATATTTTCATGGATGACAAAGGTACATATAGCAATGCTGCAAGTAGATTTCCTGCACATTCTTGGCTACAACTACTAATTCTCATCATATTTTCTGGTTAGTTGAATTGGAAATATTTTTTCTTTTGGTGAGAGTTAATAGAGTGTAAAGAGAGTCCCCAGAGTAATCGATAAGCAAGTGGTCGTGTTTACAAACGCTAACACTTTTTAACAACCAGCACAGTAAAAAATGGAGAAGGACCGGGATCCAAGCTTTAAGTCCCTCGCAACTGACCATTACAGAATGACAGGTCTTCTTGCTACTTATGATAGCAAAACACCCACCCACCCACTTCCACAACCAGCTCCCCCCCCCCCGACTCCTATCCCATGAGCATTTGTACATTTCTGAGCAAAACACTTTTGCTTGGCTCTATTCTGTTGCTGCTGATGCTGCACTTAAGATTTTAAAAAGCTGTTATACTTCCATCCTGTTTAAAAAGAACACACATATACGAACACTTTATCATAAGTGGTAAACAGACTTACCTTGTAGAGCAGCAGATGGCTGTCAAAAAAAAGCACGCAGCAGGTTTCTGGTACCATTAAAAATTAATCATTTGCTTTCCCAGAAACGGAGTTTTACAGCGTCAAGCGTTGAAAATGGAGTATGATGGTTTCCTAGGCAGTGTAACCTAAACAGGTGTAACCTGATCATTTGTTCAGGCATACTATTCAAATGAGGGTGTCTAGAGGAGTATCAGGGTAAATAGAAACTAAGAACAAATGCTTTAAGCCATATATTGCTGCTGTGTTGTATGTATGCACACACATATATACACAGTACATTCAGATTCCCAAGACTGATGTATAATTTGGAAATTCTCATCAGACAGCATGGTATAGTGGATTGTGTATTAGGCCTGGGGCAGGGCAATAGCTCAGGGGTAGAGCATCTCTTTGCATGCACAAGGTACAAGGTTCAACCCTGGCATCTTTAGGTAGGGCTTGGAGTGCATGCTGCCTGAAATCCTGGAGAACCACGGCAAGTCAGCATGGCCGGTGCTGAGCTAGTGGCATGACTTGGTAGAAGGGCAGTCTCCAATGTCCCTGTGTCAGCAATGAAGCTCACTTGGTGACTTTGGGCTAGGCACACATTCCTAGCCATTAAGACACTGTGACACAGGAGAAAACTGCTCTGAGTCCATTGGAGGAATGGTGGGATCCCAATACTACTAAGATATACCCCAACCTCTGTTGTTGTTGCCATGCATGTGTCTTGAGAGATAGAATGGAGTGTGCCTCTGAAGTCAAACTGTTAGTAACACCAAAGTGACCTGTCTGGGGCGCAAGCCTGGGCAGTGTGTGTGGAGGTCCTGGGATGCCAGATAACAATGCGGTCCAAAGGGAAGCAGAGCAAATGTTTGGCAGCAGCTTGGCTGCAGGAGTTGCCAGAAGGAGGCACACAGGGCCCCATCCAATTGTCTTAGGGACTGCACTCTGGTTCTGTGTAGGTTTTACTCCCTACATTATCTTCTCCTGAAGATTCCCCACAAGGCAGCAGAGGTTTAGGATCTGAGTTTTTCTTCTCTATGCTTAAGTTATTGTCATGCCGATCACTGTGGGCTTCCCATCCCACCCACCCATCATTCCGATTGAAAATAAATGTTTGGAAAGTCTGCTTAATCCTCCTCTCTTTCTAAACCCAAAGCTATCTAGTGATTGTGATTCACTACCCTAAAATTACAACAATCACCTTGCTTCAATTTTGTTTCTTGAAATTTGCATCTATGGAAAGCGATTTATAAATGGCAACAACGCAGCTGGCTTCAACTGAAGCATTCTTTTAATGGGAACTTATTTTCTTCTGAAGTTGACATGTGCTTCCAACGATTCCAATGCAGACACCCTCTAGTTCTAATACAATACCTTTCAAAATTGGTGGACCTTGCTTGTGGGAGAGAATCCCACAGATTATGTGCTGTATGCAGGACCGTAGCCAGGGGGTGGTGAGGTGGGCCCCCACCAGGGGCACAGGCAAGGGATGCGCAAAATTGGCTAAAAATATGTCCATAAATAAAAATATTGCATCATAAGAAAAGGTTTTAAATAGAGGGTGAATTGAATGGGTGGAGGGGGGGTGCTGGAGGAGAGCTGGAAAGAAGAGTTGATTTGTCCATGGCTAGGGGACACAATCTGGACAGTTCAGACAAGGGCGCAAGATCACCTAGCTACAGCTCTGGCTGTATGAAGAAGAGTTTTAACTGTCAGTCCTAAATCTTCCAATATCTGGTTTAACTGGATGTTCCCAAGTTCTAATATGATGAGCTCTATCCAGTTTCTCTGCACTAGAGAGTGTAGACTCTGCCTACACATTACTACACAGTTAGGTGGTTAATTTTCACAAATCAGATCAAAACTGGTTTTGGGGAAATTGCATCAAAAAGCAGTATTTCATCAGAAACGGCCAAATAGATACAGGATGCTGATTGTGGCTGATGTCATTCCAAACCAGCAGTGGAAGTGCACTGGGTGCAGAATAAACAGGAATGTGTATATAACCCAATGCAGTTTCTGGTGTCTCAAAGCATCACAAGCGTATCATCTACCAAGGGACAAATCCTGATATGTAGGAGTGGCTGCCTGGATTCTTGCTGCAATTTTTAAAACCTTTCTAATTTAATTTCCTATGTTTGGTAGAAATCTGACTCTGCTCTAGGGAAAGTTTTTGGCTCTGGGATGCAGCCATTACTTTGCAGCATTGTTGAGTATGACTAGACCATATTACAATGAAGGGAACAAAACACTATTTGCCTACCGTGTTCTCTTCCTCTGAGATGATTCATTCTGTATTTTAAGGTGAACAATTGCTTTAATCTTTGCTGACAAAGGGCAAGGGCAAGCAATCTAATCCACCTGCTTCTTACAACAGATGATAAGATGGAAACAGCAGGGCTTTACTTCTGATATGATCTTTCATTTTAAAAATGTAAGTATTCACTACAATTGCTTTTTAACATTACCTCTTTGAACCTTCACACATATGCAAAGCTTAGTTCTTTTATATATCAGAATTCTTGTTAATGGAAAGATACAATAGGATAGTAGCCAGTCTTTTGATAAAGACTAGATACAATGGTTTTTTTAATGGTGCTGGGAACTGTAGCTCTGGGGGGAATAAACTACAGTTCTCAGGATTCTTTGGGGTAAGCAATGTGCTTTGAATGAGTGGAGGCATATTTGCATCTAGCAAAAGGCTCTTGATTGTTTTTTACATTTATAGTTTATTTTAAAGACATTTTTTACATTTATACTCATTTTTAAGTTAAGAGGGAAAATGGTCATTTGCTGGTGTGGTTTGAATCCAAGCCACATCTGCAAATGGACTTCAAAGGGGTCCACCAATCAGCTGGTTGACTGTTACAGTGAGCCCCTGCCCACCTTTAAAAGTTCACCTATGGGAAGGGAAAGGGATTAAGGATCATGTCTCTCGGATGGATCCAGTTAGCCACACCAGAGATAGACAATACTGAGCTAGATAGATCACTGGTCTGCCCTGAAATAAGGCAGCTTCCTACATTCCTTTGTTTTAAATAAAAAGTATCTACAATAACAGAAAGAGTGGGAGGGGAAGCAGATGTTAAATATGTCTGTTTTATAACACTGTAAATATGAATATAAACCTCAAATTATAATACAAAGTGATCTTTTTAATAAAATTGGGTGTGCCCCAGTTTAAAACTGAGCATTTCTAAGCCCCACTGATTTCCACATAAAAGAGAAAATCAAATGCCTAGCTCTTTCATTTAAATCCGTCAGCCGCAAATGTCCTTAATTTTTATTGTCTGTAAATGGAGTGAGGAAAGTTTTGAACCATGTTTTGATTTTACTCCAGATAATCACAATGGCAACACACACAAGGGTCTTGTGAAAGCAAGCTTCTAATCTCAATTGCACATTATATGATGCAACACAGCAGTATATGATCTTGTCTGTTGACTTTTCAGCTCAACTACCATTAGCTCAATATCTGTGCTCATCATTGTGAATATGAGAGGGACAATCTGTATGCTCCTCCTGATATTGCTGGAGTACAAATTTCCTAATACATGACCACTGGCCATGGTTGTAGTCCAACAATATCTGGAGGGACACACAAGTTCTCTATAGATTTTCTTCACCGCCTCTATTGCATCTGCAGAAAACAGCAGCAGGAGACTTTTTCAGGTGGTCCGCAATTTAGCGGAACCACCTGCTACATCGGGGCCCAGTACGGGCCACATGATCTCCTGCAATGATTTTGCAAAGATTATAGCAGATAAAGTCGCTCAGATTCGGGAAGAGGTAGATGCCACCGTGGGAGCAGGGCCGGGGCGGGAGAGTGCTAGAGTCCTGTCTAGTCAAATTGCGTGGGATCAATTCCAATCTGTTACCTCCGAGGATGTCGACAGGCTGCTTGGACGGGTGAAACCAACCACCTGTCTCCTTGATCCTTGCCCATCCTGGCTTATAAAAGCTAGCCAGGAAGGGCTGGGCAATGGGCTTCGTGGGGTGGTGAATGCTTCCCTCCGTGAGGGAGCCTTCCCAGACCCGCTGAAAGAGGCGGTTATTAAACCGCTTCTTAAAAAACCATCTTTAGATGCGGCCACGATGGCCAACTATCGCCCAGTCTCAAATCTTCCATTCTTGGGCAAGGTGATTGAGCGAGTGGTTGCTGAACAACTCCAGGCATGCCTGGAAGAAGCGGACCATTTGGATCCCTTCCAGTCGGGGTTCAGGCCTCATCACGGGACTGAAACTGCCTTGGTCGCACTGGTTGATGATCTCCAGCGGGCTAGGGACAAAGGTGAGAGCTGTTTCCTAGTTCTGCTGGATCTCTCAGCAGCGTTTGATACCATCGACCATAACATCCTTCTGGACCGTCTTGAGGGGCTGGGAACTGGGGGCACTGTCATACAGTGGTTCCACTCCTTCCTCCTGGGCCGTGTTCAGAAAGTGGTGGTGGGGGATGAGTGTTCAGACCCCTGGGCTCTCACTTGTGGGGTGCCTCAGGGTTCTGTCCTCTCCCCCATGCTTTTCAACATCTACATGCAGCTGCTGAGAGAGATCATCAGGGGGTTTGGGCTGGGTGTTCATCAGTATGCGGATGATACCCAGCTCTACCTCTCTTTCAAATCAGAACCAGTGAAGGCGGTGACGGTCCTGTGTGAGTGTCTGGAGGTGGTTGGAGGATGGATGGCGGCTAACAGATTGAGATTGAATCCTGACAAGACAGAAGTACTGTTTCTGGAGGACAGGAGGCGGGCAGGTGTGGAGGATTCCCTGGTCCTGAATGGGGTAACTGTGCCCCTGAAGGACCAGGTGCGCAGCCTGGGAGTCATTTTGGACTCACAGCTGTCCATGGAGGCACAGGTTAAATCCGTGTCCAGGGCAGCTGTGTACCAGCTCCATCTGGTACGCAGGCTGAGACCCTATCTGCCTGCGGACTGCCTCGCCAGAGTGGTGCATGCTCTGGTTATCTCCCGCTTGGACTACTGCAATGCGCTCTACATGGAGCTACCTTTGAAGATGACCCGGAAACTACAACTAATCCAGAACGCAGCAGCCAGACTGGTGACTGGGAGCAGCCGCCAAGACCATATAACACCGGTCTTGAAAGACCTACATTGGCTCCCAGTACGTTTCCGAGCACAATTCAAAGTGTTGGTGCTGACCTTTAAAGCCCTAAACGGCCTCGGTCCAGTATACCTGAAGGATCGTCTCCACCCCCATCGTTCTACCCGGACACTGAGGTCCAGCGCCGAGGGCCTTCTGGCGGTTCCCTCACTGCGAGAAGCCAAGCTACAGGGAACCAGGCAGAGGGCCTTCTCGGTAGTGGCGCCCTCCCTGTGGAACGCCCTCCCACCAGATGTCAAAGAGAACAACAACTACCAGACTTTTAGAAGACATCTGAAGGCAGCCCTGTTTAGGGAATCTTTTAATGTTTGATGTATCACAGTATTTTAATATTCTTTTGGAAGCCGCCCAGAGTGACTGGGGAAGCCCAGCCAGATGGGCGGGGTATAAATAATAAATTATTATTATTATTATTATTATTATTATTATTATTATTATTATTATAGCTGCTATAGGTCTTCAGCATCTCTGCATATGCATCCTGGGCACCACATAAAAAACTTCTCTTCCCAGTTTCATCTCTATGGGGATATAGTCCCCCTGCTGCATTAGTAGGCAACATTTTTAACAGGAGCTTTCCTAGTTATATGGAAAATAATGGAATCCAGCTAATATTATTTATTTGTTTACTTCTCTGCAGATTCATCATAAAAGCTGTTGCCACAATAGCTACCAGTACAGCAGTTGAAGTGTGAGTTAAATATTGACAAAAAACACAGATGGCCCATTCAGTTCTCTAGTACCAAAGTAGATTCTCCGCATTTCCTACTTTCTAATGTTTGCAAACTAGTGATGCACGTGAATTGCATTCATAGTGGCTGGCGAATTCTCTTCCTTTAAAGTTCTATTTCTTTTAATCCAGCAGTTGTGTAAAAGAGGAAGAAAAAGGGGAAGAACAAAACCCCCAGCAGGTGTCGCTTCTTCTTACACCGGTTAAAGGCGCAGGAGGCCCGCTCTGGCGTTTGAAGCCAAAGACATTTTTGGAGCCCGCTTTACAGAGCAATCTTCAGCACGTTTACTCAGAAGTAAGTCCTGCTGCTTTCAACGGGTCGCCTCCTTAATTTCCTCCCGCCTTTTGCATGGTTGGCCGCATGATAGCTGCTAGATTATTGTCAAGGGTCCCAGTTGCGGTGAAGACCGAAGCTTTCACAACTCCTACATTTCTTTCCACCCTCCTCCATTCCCCTAATGCGGAAACAAAGCGGGGCGGTAATGGGGGGGGGGGGTTAACCCTTCCTCTGAAGCGGCCTGGTGCCTTCCAGACGTTTGGACTTCAACTCCCATCAGCCTCAGTCGCGGTCCAAAATAGACGGCCTGACCGGGGGCTGATGGGAGTTGTAGTCAAAGACGTTGGGAGGACGTTGTTTAGAGGAGAGCGCCGGCTTAGGTTTCGGAGGCGAGCGAGAGAGCGAGCAGGAGATATCTTTCTCCTAGGCCGCCCCGTGTGAGGAGCAGATCCCGAAGGTGCCCCCCCCCGCTCCCTTCTTTCCCTCAGGTCGCGGCTGCAGTATTGAATGCGGTGCCAGGTTGAGGGAGGTGTGGGGCTTGTGCTCTAGTTAGCTGGCTTTGAGCTTGTGGGTCTGGAGTATCAAGATGGTCGCGCGCACTCATGGTCCCAAGGAGGCGCAGTTGGGGTGGGGGAGAAGGGTGGGATCAGCTCAATAAATATTTGTGCAACTTGATGACCTACAGCTAGTTCCCCCCACTTTTGTTATGCCTGTTCTGCAAAGTGTGTAGCGAGCCACTTGTTTTCAGTTGCCTAGAAAACTTGAGGTGAGTTATATATAAGTTTTGAAACTTCTGGTAGTGAAACGCCCACAGCGTGAGGGGTGAGATTATATTTGGTGGAAGATGTAAGGCCTGCTGCTGCTCACATTTATCTGGAAATAAACTGCTCTGGGCTCGGACAGATTTACTGCCAGGTAAAGTATGGATATGAACAGACTATGCGACATGTTCCTTCCTGCAGGCTGGAGCTGAAGCTGGGACCCAGATGGGCTTGAAATACACATAAATAATATGCTTTCAAATTGGTGGGGGAAACTCATTAACTGGCTAAACCAGGCATCCCCAAACTTTGCCCTCCAGATGTCTTGGGACTACAATTCCCATCATCCCTGCCCACTGGTCCTGTTAGCTAGGGATGATGGGAGTTGTAGTCCGAAAACACCTGGAGGGCCGAGTTTGGGGATGCCTGGGCTAAACACTCTGGCTGTAGTTGGGGCAGGGTTTGTAGGAGTTGAAATGCATGTGCTGCTGCTATGGTTTATTTACACATATACTACCTGGGCCTAAGAGGAAAGGGTTCACAGCATAACATCCTAACAGATCTTGCTTCTCCCTCAGTCATAGCCTTGGATTCCAGCACGAATCAAGCACAGAGCTGTGTATTGTTCATGTTACCTTTATACATGTTTTTAGAACAGAACCCCTAAGCGAGCACTTGCCTAAACCAAACTGTTTTATGCAGCAGTAAGATGTCTTCAGCACCTCAGCCTCCAGATTTACCACATGAAGCACCCAAAGAGAAAGACTATCGAACTCCTGGATTCCGAAGTGTCCGAACTACCACCTTATTCCGTGCTGTGAACCCAGAACTTTTTATTAAACCTGTAAGAAGCTTGTTAAGAAAAAGCCATGATACGTGTGTGTGCATTCATTATACAGTGGTACCTTGAGTTACAGATGCTTCAGGTTACATACGCTTCAGGTTACAGACTCCGCTAACCCAGAAATAGTACCACGGGTTAAGAACTCTGCTTCGGGATGAGAACAGAAACTGTGCTCCGGCGGCACGTCAGCAGCGGGAGGCCCCATTAGCTAAAGTGGTCTTCAGGTTAAGAACAGTTTCAGGTTAAGAAAAGACCTCCGGAATGAATTAAGTACATAACCCAAGGTATCACTGTATTACATATTACATTTAATTATAGATTGGGCTTTTTTTATTATTCACAAGCAGCACTTGCTTTGATAGAAAGAAATGACGCTGGTAACTAGCTAATCATAAGTGTGTGGCATATTTGGAGGTGGGGGGAAGCCAAACTATCTCCAGTGTGTTTTTTCATGTTCACAGAATGGGCAAATTGTTATGGTGTATGTACATTCATGATCTAATAACTAGCTACTGTCTACATTAAAGCATTTCATAAATACCGGTACATGTTTTGACTATGGAGTTGGGTAAACTTCATTAAATCTATGAAGCAAAGTGGAGTTAAGTGCACCAAGTTTTTGGATGCAATAGTTATGTTGTTGTTGTTGTTTAGTCGTTTAGTCGTGTCTGACTCTTCATGACCCCATGGACCAGAGCACGCCAGGCACTCCTGTCTTCCACTGCCTATACTTAAAAAGAGCAATGACTATCAGGCAAATGGTCTCCTGTGACTGTTTATTTATTAGATTTATATCCCACTATTTCATGAGTTCAGAGTTGACTATAGCAGTTTTTCCACATACAAAAACTTCATCCCCAAGTGTCATGCAATCAAAGTAATTAAAATGTCTGAGGGATAAAAGAAGTCAAATCAGTCTACATTTTTACTTTTTATATATGTTGAATTGTAATAGTAGTTAAACAGTTTGATTCTGTACGTTTCCATTCCCCATACTGAAAGCTGAACAAAAATGAAGAAGTAACTGAAAAGTTGATAGCCCCCACCCACCTGTGCACACACATATGTTTGTATATGAATTGGATTAAGTACAATATTTTGGATTTAAATACTAGTATGTATTTTTTCTTATCTTCACAGAACAAACCAGTTATGGCTTTTGGGCTTGTAACAATTACTCTTTGTGTAGCCTACATTGGATACTTGCATGCACAACAAGAGAATAAAAAAGATCTTTATGAAGCTATTGACAGTGAGGGAAAGCGACATATGAAGCGGAAGACTTCTAAATGGGACTAAAGAAACGCATGACTTGCACATGATCTGCATGTAAGGCGACACAAATTGGTGTATTTAGTTTTCTGATTTGTGACATTTCAGGATTTTGTGTGGAAAGCCAGCATTTTTCTTGGCAATAATGGATTTTTCTTTCGAAATATAATGCCTTTTAATAACTAGGAAAAATGATATTGCCTGTACTGAATAAAAAGCCAGCATTATTAAGAAATGTAATATTTGTAACAACTGTTGCAGATATTCTAAGAATAAGCACCTCTCTTTCTCTCTCTCTCTCTCTCACACACACACACCCCTGTTCTGTGTTTGTGTATAGAATGCTACACCGACTTACAAAATTTTAAGAGCAGAAAGGATAACAGAAAATCAGAAAAAGAACAATACATGATAATAAAAGCCATACAATAAATAACCTATAGAATAGAGCCAATTAAACAGCAGCAAAAGCATCATAATCTGTCTTATTATCTGGAAGATAACCTAAGCTTTTATTAAATGCTTGACTATCCTGTGTAAACTACTTTGAAGAGCACACAAAACTTTTTAAAGTTATTTGTTTCTTTAAAGGATCTAAAATGCTTTTGTGAGCAAAGCTTACCCAGCCTAGCAACAGTTACTGGGTGAGAAGTTAGCCTATATTATGAGACCTCTCACAGCCACATGATAGGCAGAGCTCCTTAACACCAGGGCTGCAGCTGGTATCATCTTGCCATCAAATAATCTCACCAAACAATGGTGAAACCTTTCTCTCTCTCCCTAGCATGCACAGATTCTAAGAAAATTCAGTTAAGGCTATGAGAACTAAGATTTCACTTCCTCATCTCGTCCACATTTGTCGTTGGAGGAGGAAAAATCTTGACTGCAATCATGATTAGGAATCCAGATTTTGACACATTTGTTTGTTGTGCTGTTTGTTCAAAACTAATTCCACCACCTCCTAGACCAGAGACCTTTGAGCGGATTAGAGAATACAAGCCTTACAAAACTCGGTATTATACACACAGAGATATATTGGGTGAGTAGATAGTTACTTTATTTAATTTTAGATACTCACGCCTGTCCACCAAAAAGTCAATATATCTGGTGCTCAGTTGTTTTCATGCAGACATTGATCTCTCCGATACACTTAAGGAGTATCCATACATATTACAGTAATTACAGTTGCAGTAATCCCCATGTTAAACAGGATAAGAGTAAAATCTGGAGAAAATGTAGAAAGAAGGCCACAAACACAAGCGGGTAGAGACCTTAGTTAGGTAAAAATACTTCCGTCAGTTAGGGGAAGTGCTTTTAGCTTATAAAAAGATGTAAGTGTGTGAGAGACATGATGGAGAGTTTATGAAAGTTTAGGAAGAGTATAATAATTACTTGTCTCCCTGTCAACACAATCAATGTAGTCGCATGACACTGGTTTGGGACAGACCAAAAGCAGTGCTTTGTACAATGTCTAATATACGTATGGAATTTACTGCGGCCTCTAGAACCTTCAAAAATTATTTGTCATGAATACATTTTTTCTTGATAAATATGTTAATGGATGAAAGTTTGACCAGTCATTTGATTAGCTTGTCTTAAGATCCGTGGGCATGTTAGCAAGAGCCAGGACCCGCTGCCCTGTGTGGCGAATCACCAGGGCTACAGGGTTTGGAGCATTCCTAGACTCCCAAACTATCCTGCTCATTCAGCCACTGCTATCCCACTGCCGTGGCTGATGCTTGATTTGTGACCACCGATTACTGGTTCCTGCATCTTGCTTCGCAGTGGCCAAAACCCAGTCTCTGACAAAAGCCCAGTACCACTTGATGCCATGTTCATTATCGCCCTATAGTGCCAACTGCTGGAACTGCACCCTTACCACTGTGCTCCATGTTGCAGCTGCTCATGTAGGTGCCTGGTTGGTATGGTCTTACTACGTGTGAATCCTACAAAGGCTCTCCTGAATGGGGCCAATGCATGCCATCACTTCTAGGTGTAAGCCTGATGTTAGTGCTTGCTTGTGTTCTGATGTAGCTCACTTGGTAGAGCATGAGACTCTTAAGCTCAGGGTCGTTGGTTCAAGCCCCACATTGGGGGAAAGATGCCTGCATTGCAGGAGTTGAACTGGATGACCCTAGTGGTCCCTTCCAGCTCTACAATTCTATAATTCTAAGCAGTCAAATCTGCTAGCAAGTTGATCTGGGTAATCATTTTTTACGTACTGAAATCAACCCAGGTCATTAAAAATGATGGGGGTGCACCAGCCTTCAGGAAATTATACATGGTTGAATAATATTAAATAAAAATACCTTAAATCTTAAAGCATCTATCTTAAATGTTCAAGCAAAGGAACAGGTGGCATGCGTAGTTTATGTATAACCTGTAGTGTTATATTCCCCAATTTTTTTTATTTTTTTGGCATACGTAGAATTGGGAGCTGACATTAAGCAAGCAGAAGCAGATAGAAGAGAAGCAGAAGTACAACAACGAATTGAAAAAGTGCAAGCTAGACTATTGCTTAAGGTACAACTGTTCTGCTGTCATCGCATTATCCAGTCTGTTGCACTGGGGCCTTTCTGCGAATATTTACTGATGTATAATGCAGACAGCAAATTTTACAGAAATATGTGATATATTGGGTGGGGAACCTGTGAATCTCCAGAGGCTGAGGGGCTCCAGCTCCCATCAGCCCTGGACAGCATAGCCAATGGACTCGGGGATGATGGGAATTGCAGCCCAACAATATGGGCTATAACTTGCCTAACCTTGCTATATATGATTACATGAGTTTTATAAGTTTTACAATGTTTTGCTTTTCATGTTTATTTTGTAATCCACCCTTTCAAGACTATATTCTTCAATGTGGGATATAAATATTTATTTACATAATAAAATAATTGAATAAAAATACCATTGTATGGATCAGTTCTGTATTTATCTTTCTGATGTCTTAATTTAGGTATCTAACTCACCAGTGTTACAGATCAGGGTTCAGATTTGCTCATTAGCAACTCAGTATGGCAGGGAATAAAGCATAAGCCAGTGCCAAAGACCACAGACTCTAAATTGAACCAAATCAATTGATTTATCGGTACTACAGTGTTTCATTTAAGGCATGTTATTGTCTTCATGTAGAAGATAGATATTTTGAAATTAGAGCAACTTAAAGATACTGTAGAGCGGGGACGCGGGTGGCGCTGTGGGTAAAACCTCAGCGCCTAGGACTTGCCGATCGCATGGTCGGCGGTTCGAATCCCCGCGGCAGGGTGAGCTCCCGCCGTTCGGTCCCAGCTCCTGCCCACCTAGCAGTTCGAAGCACCTTTAAGTGCAAGTAGATAAATAGGTACCGCTTTATAGCGGGAAGGTAAACGGCGTTTCCGTGTGCTGCTCTGGTGCCGGTTTGCCGGAGCAGCTTTGTCACGCTGGCCACGTGACCCGGAAGTGTCTGCGGACAGCGCTGGCTCCTGGCCTCTAGAGTGAGATGAGCGCACAACCCTAGAGTCTGTCAAGACTGGCCTGTACGGGCAGGTGTACCTTTACCTTTACCTTTAAAGATAGAGCAAATTAAAGCAATGTAATACAGCAATATAGTACCTTTAGAAAATAAATTTCACAAATGACATATAGCATAATAATTACATTGACAAAACAATGAATCAGTGTCTTCTTCCTGCCCTTCTAGTTGTAACCTAGAATTTCTAAGTTTTGCAGAGTATTAGCATTTTGGAATAAAGTTCATGGTTACCCAGCCAGCGTTGTGAGCTAAGATCTTGTGACCTTCAAAAGCAGAGTTAGATAAACTGCAAGCAGAGAGAGAGGGGGGATTCTTTAACTCAGCATCTGGACTGTGAGGATGGAATTTCCCACTTTATATCAATTTCATTCCTCTGTCTTGGAGTAGGGAGAGGGAGTGAAACTGCAACCCTTGCCTCTTCAGCAGCTCTTCACTTAGGACAGGGATGGGGAACCTGTGGCCTTCCAGATGTTGGACTACAACTGCTGGGGCTGATGGGAGTTGGAGCCCAAAACATCTGAGGGGCCACAGGTTCCCCATTCCTGGCGTAGGGCTTGTGCGCCATGACACCTCCCAGCACTTGCTTTCCAAAACAGTTCAGTGTTCTGATCCTACATTTGTTTAGGCATTGTGGTTCGTTGTCTTTAAGTTCCTTAACATCTCATTACACTGATGGTATGGTGTTTCCTTCTAATCTTCCCATCCAGGATGCCGAGGTCTCCCATAGACGGCAGAGAAACATGGCATAAAGTTCCAAGCCACCTTTGTATAGTGTCATAGAAGCAAATTTTTCATCCTTTTAGTGCATTGTGGCTGCTCTCCTGTGTGCTTGACATTGGTTCTGCTTGTGCAGCAGGGTCCTGAGTAACACAATCTACATGCAACACTGAGGCAAAAGCTATGAAATAGCCATTAAATTACTCCTGGGGAAACTACTGCCACCAGCCATGTAGAAACAGCAGCATTTGTCTTTTCATGGCAGCAATTGGGAATTTGTGGCCTTCCAGATATTGCTCTCTCCCCTGACCATTTGTCCAATGGCTCTTGTGTCAGCTCACCACCTTCCCCAGAAAGCTCTCTTTAGGGGTTTTCCACTGGCTAATGCGAATTCTTCTGGTGCCACTTCTGCCTGCCCATTTGGAAAAAAAGGTTTGGATCGTTCTGCCAACATGTTTCTGGGCTGTACCACTTTCAGACTGCAGGTGGCATGTGCACAGTTGAATGGTTTGCTGTAGAAATAAAATCCCTGCAAACAGGTTTGCTGTAAAAAAACAACAACAAACCCACAACCCTTCACATAGAAAACGTAGACATTTGACAAGGCCCAAACCCTTCTCCCTGCTACTTCTCTGTACAGTGGTACCTCGGGTTACATACGCTTCAGGTTACATACACTTCAGGTTACAGACTGCTAACCCAGAAATAGTACCTCAGGTTAAGAACTTTTGCTTCAGGATGAGAACAGAAATCGTGCTCCGGCGGCGCGGCAGCAGCAGGAGGCCCCATTAGCTAAAGTGGTGCTTCAGGTTAAGAACAGTTTCAGGTTAAGAACGGACCTCTGGAACAAATTAAGTACTTAACCCGAGATACCACTGTACAGTGGTACCTTGGTTTACAAAATTAATCCATTCTGGAAGTCTGTTCTTTGGATTTGCTGAGATAATTAATAACTAGAATACAAAAAAGGGAGGTGCGAGGAGGTCGATGAAACAAGTTAATGAAAGATAAAGATTTGGGAATATTGGATTTGTTTTTAAATTTTTTGTTTATTTTTGTTTTTTGTTTTTGATGTATTGTGTGTTTTGTTTTTTTCTTTGACTTTGGTTTTTATTGACTTGTATTGTTCAATTGCTATTTTTGTCTACTTTTTTCTTTCTTTTTCTTTTTTTTCTTGTTTCTTCCTTTCTTTCTTTGTAATTTTAAATTCTCAATAAATATCATTTAAAAAAAAAAAAAGAATGTCCTCAGCACAAGTTTTCTTCATGGCTATGCCTTGTTTTGTAGGCTGCAACAGAAAGAGAGGATGCTGTGGAAGATGCCCTCAATCGTGCAGCTGCTCTACACCAGCAAGATATTGAAGCCCTTAAAGAGAAAGACGAAAAAGCATTACAAGTCAGTAGTCGTTTTATTTTTGTTTGCAACATGTCAAGAGACAATGCCTTGCATTCAGAGTTGTGTGGGGACGGATTCCTACCAATTGACACCCCCATGTCTGGACCCTCTACAGTATGTCCTGCACCATTCCCAAAGCCCCCCCCCCCCCCAGTTCTTGGGGAAGGGAGTATGGGGCTGCAGAGGGAAGGGTGGAAGAGGCAGAAAAAGTCCCACTCCATGAACTGAAATCTCCTTTATTTATGAATGGAATGTTGGGTCCAAACCTACATAAACATGCAGAAGCTGCATGTGGCACAATCTCTCTTGTAACAAGTAGGTGGAGGGAGGGGATTGTTCTTGAAAACTCCGCTGAATTAACAACAAACAAACCACAAATGAAAATCTAGGGTGTCAAGGTAAAGATTCAGCTGAAACCTCTCTGACATGCAAGGAGGGTTTGTTTGTTTTTTAAGATGGGAGCAGTGCTTTTTTTCAGGGAGGATGCAGGGGTACGCATACCCCTAAACATTTTGTGAATCTAAGTTTGGCCTCATTGAGGGGCAGTATTTCAATATGAGTAGGGAAATGAGACTATCCCTTAACATTTTTTAGAAAATAAAGTACTGGATGGGAGAGTTCAAAACTGATTCATTACTGGCATTTTGACATCCTTTCTAGTCTGTGTCTCATTCTATTTCTACACATAAGAGCTAGCAGTAAAACTTTATTTTAGAACTACATTTATCTATTTATTTAAACTGTAAAAGGGTATTTCATTTTTCATAAATATATAAAACTTAAGCGTTCAGTGAGACAGTCACCAGAAAGATAACCTCAGTAAGCTATGTGGCTGAAGCATTTGAACTTGCATTTTCTACATCCAAAGTGGTTTATAAAGCGTGGTGCGTTCTTTCTAGGCTCGTCTTGTTTAAAACAGGGATGAAGCAGCCTAATTCCTCCCTTCCTATTCTAATTTGTTTTTCTAATGCTGCTGCAGGAGGCTGTGAAGAACACAAGGATAGAAATGCTCCATCACCTGGAACTGGAACTGAAAAGAGAATCAGAAGCTGCTGAGCAGAGGATGACACACAAACTTCAGCGACTCATGCTGGAGCTCGCGATGGAGAAGTCGAAAGCCGTTGCTGAAGCTAGACAAGAAGAGAGGAACAAAATATCTGGAATGCTTGACAAGCAAAACAAGTACTTGGCTCAACAACCCCATTTCATATTTTAAAGCAGGGATGGAGAAACCACTGGACTACATCACCCATCATCCCTGATAGTTGACCATGCTGGTTGGGGATGATGGGATAATGAGTTCAATGCCACCTGGAGGGACTTGGGCTTCCCATCCCTGTTGAATATAAGGGGATGGGTTTAAGAGAGCTGCACCTGACCTTGTTTGCCTCCAGATATCTGCAAATAGAGTACTTTCCACCACCAGTGTTCCTCCAACTGATCTGCAGGAGCTGGATGTGCACTGGGTGCTTTGGGATTGGTTTGCTAATGGGTCACTGAGATATTGCAAATGGGACATGGGCGGCAGTAAATTGGATTAAATTGATGGGTATTTTGATGCCAATGGCATTGTGTGGATGTAGCTTGTGGTTAGTGAGGAGAGCAGTTAAGCACAAGCTGAGGTTCAGGTGACATGCTAAATCAACTCTTAGCTTTTTAAAAGAGCCTCTTTTAGGTTGGGCTCCTCCTGGAAGCCTGCATGTTGATACAGCCTTGGTAAGCCATTGTTGGGCTTGCTGTGATTTGCAAACAAGGCTGATGTGATCAGTGGAGTTAACTCCCTGTTATGTGTGCTGTTGGATAGTACCAGATTTAATAGAATCTGATAGTAAAGATGGGCAGGGTGGGGGTTAGGTCTTCAGAAGTTTTGCTATCTTGTTTCCACCTACAGATTTAGTCCAGTTTATTGGAAGGCATTTTGCTTTGCTTCCAGCTGAAAGAAATATGCAGTTCACACAAGACTGGCTTTCAAATTGCCAGTAATGAAAAATTATGTTGAAGTTATCATATGATCTTTTCTCTCACCCCTCCAGGAGGTTTTTGGAACAATTCAGGAAAGCTGGAGAGATTGCCAACGAAATTTATCAGAAGAACCTGCAGCAGTTGTCTGTGGAGAAAAAATATGAAATGGAAATGGCCTTTAAAATCTCCCAGAAAGAGTTTCAGGAAGAAACTGAGAAACTCATCAAAAACGCAGAAAATCTCCGTGAGGCTCAGTTGGAAGAGGTGTCACACGAGGTGAGCAGGAAAAATGGCGAGATCCTGACCCTTAGCCAGCAACTGGAAAGCATGACAGACTGGAAAGATAGCCTGGAAGCAGAAATATTAGAAACAAGAGAAGCATTTCAGAAATACATTAACGTCACATTTCCACAACTTGCACCAGGGCAAGCAGACTTTATCTTACCATTCAGAAAAGTATCTCAGTTTGTTGACTCTGGTGTAGAAACGTAAGCTGAATGACAACCAGGAAGGAGTTCTGCCCGTTTGCTGCAGCCATCCAGTCTTGCTGTAGAGGAGTTGCTTAACTGCTGGGGAAGGAGGAGAAATAAATCCATCTTCTCTCACTAAGGTTTAACTGTGAGCCTGTGTCTATATTTCCCTTGGATAACTCATGAACTCCCCTGTGACTCAGACTGTGAAGCTGTGCTCTTTGAGGGGTGGATGGAGAATCTTGCTTCTGTATACTAAAAGCGAGCTGCTTCTGTAAAAGTTAGGGAGTACGGATGTCTCAATTTGAGCCCTGAAACTAGCAAGCATGCCTCTGGACATGTGCAGAGAGCCTGTCCTACCTTGCCACGGGGTTAACTGTAAGCTGCCTCCATACATATTTTATTTGAAGATGATATATTGCCAACTCAAGAAGGGTGGCTTCTAACAACTGCAAGCCCCAGCACCTTAAAAAAAAAAATGAAAGGGGATGGAGGAGCTAGCAAATTGCTCCTGATTTACTGCAACACATTCTAAGGCTATGTGTACCTATCATAAAGGTGGCAAAGCTGTGGACTTCCAGGTGTTGCTGGACTACAACTCCCATCACCTATAAGCTCATTGGTCTTGCTGGCCGGTGCTGATGGGAATTGGAACACAATCAGATATAGGTGTGCCCTATTAAAGTGCATGGAAGTGTTGAGGCACAACAAATCAATCACCCCATGACTTTGCAGTTAGGAAAGTGATGTGGAAATGCAGTGAAAGATGCCGAATAATGATTGATGGACACCAAATGAAAGCTCTATAAGCTCAATAAAGAGCAGACACTGTATAATCTCTGCATCAGCGAGGCTGGGGGTGGGGTCTTGTCACCTAGCAGTCAAGGACCTACATACACACTGCCCAGGCTTGCGCATCAAGAGTTCACTGCTGTGCTGCTAATGCAGCAAAAGCATGGGAGATCATGATTACCAGCCTCTACAGCAACAGCAGTGCTGTGATTCTTCAACAGTTTGACTTCACCCCCCAAGGTGTACCCCATTGTCTTTTGAGAGACAGATGCCAACAATGTTGTCCTGTGAGATTGTCAAAAGGATCAAGCAGATGGCATTAATTAGCTGGCAAATAATGTTCCCTTGCTCAGTGGATTCACTTTAGGAAAGTCCTCCCGTAGGCAGCATGCCGAAAACAGTTCTCACAATCTCGTGTGGCTCAACAGTAACCAGTGTGTCCAACACAGTAGTTCCACAGTAGAGGCTATTAAGAGGGGTGCAGAAAACAGCTTTCAAATGCCTCTTAGGTGGATTTGGGAAGTCACAATCTCTTGAGTTTTGTGTGTTTTAAAACCTAGCACATAGCTGCTAGGACGAGATGCTGCTTTGAAGAACATTTCTCCGGCTGCGTTTCCAGCAAGAGCAACAAAGAATGACAGGCAGACGATGCATCCTCCAGCAGGATGGGACACGTGCTTGGAGACCCCAGTGGGCTATTACGATTCGCACCGTGTCCTGTCAACCATAGGCATTGCCAGGGCGGACGGGGGCAGCTGCCCTCCCCCCAGATCAAGTAAAACAATAGAAATACTTAACTAACTGACCAATCACGTCGGTCCTGCTCCCCCACAAAAGTCCTGCCTCCCCTAACCAAGTCCTGCCCCACACCAAAAAAAACCCCTAGCTACGCCCATGGATGCAACGGGTGTGTGTGTATGTGAGAAACAGGGGAGGACAGTGGGGTAGGCAAGCGTGGGGACAATAAGCTTCGCGGCGGGGAGGCTGGACCTCACAGAGGTCGGGAGGTGGGTTAAGTTCCCCAGCGAACACGTGTGCGCCCATTCCGAAGACCACTGAGCCTGACCTAAGACCGCGCCGCCTCCGGCCTTCTAGCTCCGCCTACCTCCTAGGCCCCGGCGGTCTCCATGGAGACGCGGCTCTTCAGCGGAAACACGACGCGGGCGCTTCTTCCCTTTCAGGGGCCGAGACTGGAGGCTCCGAGGGCGCCGCGTGAGGCGGGAGGGGAGAGGCAGGTAAATCTCCGTGCTCGTCTTGGGGGGGGAGAGACTGTTGTTATTTACAGAGACGGGAAAGTCAAGGAGTGGCCGGGGGGGGGGGAGGAGGGAGAGTTTTACTGGAGCCAGGTGAGCGGGATGGCAGACCACATCTTGTTAAATTCCTTCAAGAGGGTCGCCAGTATCCCCTTCCCCCATCTGCTCAGGACTCTGGTGCGTTTCCTTGCTATAGAGAACAAAGACATTACACAGGTGAAGTTTTCCCGCTGCTGCACTTCGGGGGGGGGGGGGGGGGAGAATTAAGCACCTGTTGAACTTCTTCATGTCTGCCGCACAGCTGAGGGGCAAAGGAACCCCACCAAGCGGGAGGAGAAAGGGGGGAATAGAGCGCTGTTTATACCACTAATAATAATAATAGTAGTAGTAGTAGTAAATTTGTATACCGCCCTATATCGCAGGTCTCAGGGCAGTTACAACATAAAATCACAAAATAGATAACAGAAACAACCCAATAAACCTGCACCCCTCCCCAACATTTAAAAAGGGCATGGGCTGTAATTAACTCTGGAAGCCCAAATAATGTAATGTGGAGCCCAAGGACGGGACACAGCCAGGCAACTCTGCCATGAGTGCCAACATTTTTCTTGTAGCTGTGTATTTTTGTAATATTTTGGCTTAAATTGCCTGGGAGTCAGGAATTCTCACTCTTGTCACTGATATCACAGTGGTGGGCAACCTCAGGCCCATGTACCAAACATGGCCCACCAGGCCATTTTTAGGAAGTCATTCCCACACATCCCGCACCTGATACCATGCATGACATTAGATGTGGTGTGGGTAAAGATGGGACTCCAAAGGAACCATCAGGAGCCAAAGTTCCCGGCTGTTCCTTGGATCCAGCAAGGCACGCTCCCATCCACCCATCTTGTTTACATAATATGATTTTTATTATTAATCACATAAACATCAATATCCATAATAATGAATAAATCATAGTAAATATTAAGATATACATACACACAGCAAATAAGGTGTGTGTGTGTATATATATACACACACACACTAGCTCTTAATTATAAGTTTAAGAGAAAAGGTGGAAGAATGGAATAAGAACATGTAAAAAACAAAAATAATTATAATTTCATCTCATAAAATCAGGATTATCTATTTTATTACATCAGCTTGAACAAAGGTTTTTTGTTTTTTTTCAAAAGGCAACTGATAAAGTTAAATGCCATAGCTAGTTCACATGAACAAGGCCTGATACATTTTAGAAATACATAAACTGAAGCCTTCCATGGCTTGAGGCATGCTCAAAAAGAGTGTCAAGCATGCCTCCCTTTCTCTCAAAAATGCACAATTTCAAATCTCAATGAAGATACAGGTATGTATAATCCCTAACTAAAGTATTATATAGTATATTGTTTCTTTATGCAGAAGTAGGCAGCTTCTTGGAAACTTAAAAGACTGAGGAAGTTTTAATTGAATGTGCAATCACAATACTGTCAGTTATTCTGTGAAAAAAATTACCATGTATTGTAACAACGTGAGCCCTTCATATCTTGATAATGCAGAATGACTCACTCTCAAGCTGAAAGTGTCATAAAGAATATCATCCGTGAAATAGGACAAGAATGTGCCATGAAAGGTCAAACCGTATCAGAAACTCTGGTGGCATTCATGGTAAGTGCAAAATACACAGTTTGCTAATGCGTTTCATTTAAAAGCTCTTCTTTCTAGCAGTGTTAGAAACTGAAATGTGAAAGCTAGGAGCTAAATGGCACCTTAAACATGGGTGCCACAACAGAATGTCTAGGTGCTCTTTTTTAAACAACAAGAATACCAAGCTGAAAATGAATGAACTGCAGCTAAACCTATCAGTTTGCCTGACGCTGCAGCAATCTCTTGGAAATCGAGGTGGGGGGAATTTCTCCTCTTAGGCCCTCAGCGCCAGCAGTGGCAGTTTTAATCTGAAATCTTAGACGCGGTACTGTGCCCAGAGCTCAGAAACTGCTCACGCGAATGAAATCCCCTGTCGCAAAATGCGCCCAGAACAATTGGAGTTTCAAACACTGCTTTCTAGTCATGTTAACATGTCACTCCTGTGGCATTAAAATAATGTTAAAGGAACAGAACATCACAAAACACGATTGTCTTGGGGCTAAAATGCAAGTACAGTGGTACCTCGGGTTACATACACTTCAGGTTGCATACGTTTCAGGTTACAGACTCCACTAACCCAGAAATATTACCTCAGGTTAAGAACTTTGCTTCAGGATGAGAACAGAAATCATGCTCCGGCGGTGCGGCAGCAGCAGGAGGCCCCATTAGCTAAAGTGGTGCTTCAGGTTAAGAACAGTCTCAGATTAAGAACAGACCTCCAGAACGAATTAAGTTCTTAACGTGATGTACCACTGTAACACAAGAGTTATGCAGGCAACCCTTGGAACTCTAGAAGCCATGGACAACTAAGGAAGCTGAACGTTGAAAGGTTCAGGACACACAAAAGAAGATGCTTTTTCACGCAGCACATAGTTAAACTGAGGAACTCACTTCCAAATGGAGCAATGAGGACCACCTACCTGGATAGTTTGAGAAGAGTATTCATTCAGTGGCTACTAGCCGCAATAGCAGTACTCCACCTCCACTTGCAGACTGGGAAAGACGCATTGCTTCTTGTACTTTCCACAGTAGTACACCTGCTCTAGCATTTTGCTTCGTGAGCTGGGCAGGTAATGATGACATTTGTATTTACTTCCCCAAATGCCGGGAATGAGGCCCCTATATTTGTTCTCTGGAGCTCATAACCACACTTCTCCAAGCAATGTTTTAAAGGAGGCTAGAACTGAGAGCAGAATAAAACCTCATACTGGGTTGCTTCTATCCAGTGCCACCATAAGGGCTGTACCTCTGGGGCTCTGCTCTATATTTTATTTAATAGAATGATAAATTAACCACTCAACCATTTATTGCATATTTAAAAATCATTTTTAGTTCCCATTGATTTTGATAAAATTTCCAAGTAAGTATGCTTGCTAGGACCAGGAAGTTAGTCCTCATGCCTATTAAATTAAACTGGGAAATGACATTTAGTGGGGAAACCTTGAGCAGTTGGGACATTTAATCTGTTTTATTCTGCGGTTGTATTTGGCAGTAATATATCTTTAAGAGCACAAGATAAATATTTAACTGGAAGCCTGGTGTTTTTTCTTTCTTTCTTTCTTTTTTTTTGTTTCTTTTTACTTATAGGTGAAAGCTGTTGTATTGGATCCAAGGAATGGATTTAATGTGGACAGGACCCTTACAAAGGCTGATGTGCAAAAACTTATTAAGGTAATTTTGTGAATCTAAACATTTGTTTAACTATTTTTATACTGATTTCAGTGAACTTACTAAGACTTATCAACAAATTAAAGCAGTCTTCCAAGCAACTCATGAAGTCTGTGGGAATTAAGCAGCCTAACTCTACTCAGGATTGCAGCCTAAATTATTGTTTTGTGTATAGTGTTTACCAAATTAATAAAAACCTATGTTTCAGACCACAAAATCATTTAAAGCCTATGCTCTCAGAGTCATCTAAAGCCACATATCTCTCAGTGATAAACCTTTGACTGCTGTCCATTTTCTCATTATCCGTTGAAATCTCCCCCAACTGCTTCTCCAAACCTGCACAATTGGATCATAATTTTGTATACCCAGTTGATGAACACAAAATATAATGTTTGATTTAAATGTAATGGAAATTTGGCGAGCAGATGACACTTAATGCATTCAGCCATAATAAGTAGAATTTAAAATATGCCTCACATAAATGGCTTTATAAGCACAGCTACATACATATATCATTGCTTCAAACTGTGATACATGCCCTTTTGAGGTGTGTAGGACACCTGAAAGATGAAAATGCTTTGTTCTAAAGAAAGCCGCCTGTGTGTGATTTTGAGGTTGTTAGATATGTTAGATAGATTTTAAGAAGGTGGTTAGACTAGTTCATTGCCACTAGTGAACTAGTATTTCAAGCAACAAATCTCTCTGTGTGTCCGCAGCCTAGTGCTGCTGTATTATGCAGCAACAGGCTGCATGCAGTGGTATATGAGACTGCTTGTGTAGAAGGGATTATTGGTTTCAAGGCTGAGGGCTGCATATTTGCTGCTTTAGAGTGTGTTGAGCTGCTTGCCTCCTCTCTGTATTGAGAATGAGTAGCTTCATGAAGCTATGTGCACTTCAAAGTTCATGCAGCCACCTGGAATCAGGCAATAGCAAAAAATCTAATCCATATTATTCAACTCCACGCAGCAGTCCACTTATTATGCTATTTAGGAACAAGTAAATTACAAAAACTATGAACGTTTTGTGTCTTGAAGCTACATTATGGCAACGCAACATTTTGTTCTTGCAGTGGTGCTTCTCAGCCCCTTAATTTGTTTTCTCAAGTAATGTTTAAGCAAAGGGCACCTTATTTTTTAAAACTATTAAACTGATGGATTCTGTTTCACATGTATAAATTCTGTAGCATAATGTTTCCAGGTGCCCAACGGTAATATTATTTTAATAATTAGTTAAGGGGCTTGAAATAACTTACATCAACATTTTCTCTTTTTAGCTTTCCATTGAAAGACTGCTTGACACAAGCAATCCATCCCTGGACACTATTAAGATGCAGGTTTATTTTGATATGAACTATATCAGTCGAGGTAATCAATGTGTGGAGTAATTTAATGTGAATATGGTGATGGTACAATCCTATGCATACTTATTCAGAAGTCACACTGTGTTCAAGAGGACTTGCTGTCTAGTAAATTTACATGGGATTGCAGCCGCAATGTATCTATTCTTGCTACATGTGAAAACTTATAGTACTGTAATACAATGAAACAGCAAATCCAATAATATGTGAACATGCTAAGAGATGCAATCTATAAGGAGGTTATAAATTAAATTGCCTCTTTAAAAAATATTCAACATTTACTTAAGATTAGAGCAGTTAATATTTATTGTGCATTTAAAATCCTGGAAGTGCATTTGTGGTTTTTTAAAAGTTATATCCTATACCAATAAATGGAACCGATACATTCCACTGTCTCAGTTTACCTACAACTGAGTTTGTGCAATTATGTTACATAGTGCAGTCCTATGTGTGATTACTTGTATGTAAATCTCGGCATGATCACTAGATAATGCCTTAGGATGGCAGCCCTAAGGTATCAGAATGAGAAGAGCATGGGAGGATTTAAGCATGTGAAATATGAGCATTTTCAACTAGCTAAGTTGAAAGTCTGTTGATGCCTATGCATGGTCCTCTGTGTTTCCTCTTAGTTGAGTTAATCAAGGAACAGCATCGTGTTTTGGATTCTCGCCTTGCTCCAGTGGGCAGAGAAATTACAGATAGCCGTGCTCGTACCAGAGAGGAATTGGAAAGTGTTTATCGAAAAATTGTCAGCTATGTCCTGCTGCGCTCTGGCCTTGGATCCCCTACAAACATCAAGGTCATTAGAGAGGCAACTGGTTGGTAACTGTTTCAGATATATGCCGTGAAGAGTTTTGCCAATATGCACGTTACTGTGGTAGTCATTGCATAGGAACTGAGCAACAAGCGGTGGCTAGTTGGGGGACTGTCTTTTTACTTTCTTTTGTTTTGAAGTATTTGTATGCTGCTTTTGTGCCTCAGTATGTACCTGTGGCAGTTCACAGCAAATCTAGAAACAATCCAGAGTATGTATACCTCCCCGGTAAAAAAATTCAAAGAAAACACTCAAAAGCACGTATGCAAATATCTGCTCCAGATAGCAAAACTAGTCTGAGAATAGAACATAATCTGAGAGCCAGAAAAAGACACTTCACATATCCAACAGGCCAAATGCAAGCAACCATCCAACCCTTTCCTGAAGATATGGAGATCTTCTGAAGCAGCATTCAACACAGCAAGAAGGGATGCAGACAGAAGGACACAGCCCCTGTGCTGTGTATTAACCAAGTCACAAGTATTGTGTCAAAGGAGCAGTGGTGGGGTTCTTGGCACTTGACAACTGCCCAAGCTGGCCATTCACCTCCTTACTCACTGTGGCCTTCCATTCAAACTAATTGCTGATAAGGGCATTATACTATTCTGCATACAAGATTCTATACCTGAGATTCTAGGTAGTTCATGCAGAACTTGTAGTCTGGTTGTCTGCTTTAATGCCTTGCACAACTCCATACTCCATACTCCAAGCCTCCATCCCGCTGATGATATTCCTTGACCACTTACTCTTGCATGTCATTCATCTCCATCCTAATCCTTCCTTACACTCTTCAGGTCCTTAACCCCCTCAGTCCCCAAGTCCAAATTATTCCGACTCTTACCTCTTGGAAGGAGTATTAGTAGCGCAGAATTAGCAAATGTCTCCCAATGGCCTTATTCACTGACATTTATACTGGAGGGGGAAAGTGTGTTAAGAGTCTCTAAATTCTGTAGAGGCTCTTGACACACTTTTTTTTTTAGAGAGAGGGGGGAGTGGGGCAGTTTAACACACGTAGCTTTGTCCATGTTGAGTGTTAGTTTATTGATTATCCTCTTCAGCCGTCATAAGATTTAGCATTTTATAGCTCTTGGTAAGTTAAAATACTTATACTTAACTATGTCCATAGGAGGGGGGCATGCAAAGGGGACAGCAACAGGAAGAAAAAGATTGGGAAATTCCCATTCCACAAGCAGAACATTCACAGTTCTTAGGATTCAAGCAATGATCTTCAGCATAGTGGGATCTCAAATGTGAATAAGTATTTTACTATACTAGGGGTGTTTCCATGGAAAATCCAGTAAGATACACCCACACCAGGTACCTGTCGGTGATACCTAAATGATTGATTTGCAAAACGAAGCCCCGACTAGGAGCAACCCAATGTGAACAAATTGTGGTCTCGTCCCCAAATAACTTCTAGTGCTCACCTTTCTGTTTTATTTGATGTTACAGCTGTTGTCTGCCTTTTTTTTTTTGTATGACATTTTCCAAATTTAATATTTTACAGCTGCCCTGCAGAGTGTCTTCCCTCAAACAGAACTTGCTGCTTTCCTCTCCCTTTCAAAGAAGGAGAAAGAGAGGCAGTTGAAGGAGCTCACCATGATTGTCACAGGAATTCGGTTATTCAACAAGGAGTGTGGGAAGGGAGGAGAAGGCATTGATGAGTGTAGGTATATACTAGTAGGTGCTAAACTTGATGATGTGTCTGTATTAGCCATTTAAGCCACTTTCAAATGTGCAGAAATGCTCAGTGCTGACTGATCACCAATTTTGTAAGTAGTCCCATCTGAATTGCTTCATGCAAATACTGCATTTACCGTATTTTTCGCCCTATAGGACGCACTTTTTCCCCTCCAAAAATGAAGGGGAAATCTGTGTGCGTCCTATGGGGCGAATGCAGGCTTTCGCTGAAGCTTGGAGAGCGAGAGGGGTCGGTGCGCACCGACCCCTCGCTCTCCAGGCTTCAGGAAGCTATCAGCAAGCCTGGGGAGCCCGCGGGAGTTCCCGCAGGGCTCCCTAGGCTGCGGATAGCAGCCTGCTTCCCGGAGTGCGGGGCGCGCTGAAAGCAGAGCGCCCGGCGCTTCGGGCACACATCCGTAGGCTGCGGATAGCAGCCTGCTGCCCGGAGCGCGGGGCGCGCTGAAGCTGCGACTGGGGGGGGGGAATAATTTTTTTTCTTCCCCCCCCAAAAAAAAACACTAGGTGCGTCCTATGGGCCGGTGTGTCCTATAGGGCGAAAAATACGGTAAGTTGATCTTCCAAATGAGATGTGATAACATGCTGTTCAGCTGCAGGTTAACTTTATTGAATATCTTCAAAATTGATCATCTGTACTATATTATCTATTAAAAACTCTGTTAAATTGGCTTGTTGTAAAGCCTTTCATAGGATTTTTATATATTTATATAAAATAGAAAGCCGTGTTAGCCCCCTGAGAGAAAAAAGAAATGTTTTTTAGTCTCACCATGAGACTAACTTTAAATAAGTTTCGTATTAGAAAAATAGTGTGAGCTTTCAGAGGTGACAACATACTACTTCAGATGCTTATTTTTGGAACTAGGAGAAGCAAGGTGGAAAAGTCAGTTAGCATATGATAGTTTATTGACTAAAACCCAGTACTTTTAAAAGGTTATTGACCCAAACCAGGATCCAAAGATGCCAGCAATGTGTGCTTAAGAGTCCTTTTGCAGATGCCCAGTCTTTTCTGCAGTCATTCAAACTACGGTATGTTGGATGCTCTTCTGAGTTCTCTCAGTCCTCAAGAGAGAGCTTTCAGGGCAGGCAAGGGCGTTCAAGAGGAAGGGAACCCACAAAAGCCTTGGTGTGCTCATATGGAAGGCTCCATGCATCTCTTTGGATGTCAGCCCTGTTTATTATAGACAGAAATAGGTGGGGAAAATGCTTGTGGTTAGTTACTGAATTTGAGGTTGGCATGCTTAGTACGGTAAATACTGCCATGTCCCTTCTATATGTTTCAAACCAACCCTGTGTCAACAGTACCAGCTATTCTGAATGAAGCTATCCCAGCAGCCAACCACCATGTAGAAATAGAACTGCAAGCTTCCAAGGATTTGGCATACCAGTACACAGCCTTGATTGAAATGATGCACCTGAGTCAAAATGCTGAGATAGAACTTAAAACGACAATGTTAAAAGAAGTCCTGTACAACGTGAGACAACACGAGGCTTTCCTCTGCATCATTCTGGTAAGGTTGTTTTATACTTTGCATCCCTTCTAGAATGCTGGCATATACAGTGGTACCTCGGGTTACATACCGTATTTTTCGCTCCATTGGACGCACCGGATCATAGGAGGGGGAGAACAGGGAAAAATTTTTTTTTCTTGTTCTCCCCCTCTAAAACAAGGTGCGTTCAAGGTACATTCACCAGAGCTTGTGAGGCTGGCGGTGGGGAAGCGCTGCTTCCCCACCGCCAGCCTCAAAGATCCCTGAAGCCTTTGGAGCGCAGCGCCCCGCTGCCCTGCACAGGTTTGCGCACAGCCGTCCCCAAGCTAGAGCAGCGAGACGGAGCCCTCCGTCTCGCTGTTCTGGCTTGGGAACAGCCTTGCTAGCTTCTGCAGGACAGCGGGGTGAAGGCACCCCACTGCCCTGCAGAGGTTTCTGCGCAGCCGTCCCCAAGCTAGAGCAGCGAGACGGAGCGCTCCGCAGTGCTCCGTCTTCCTGTTCTGGCTTTGGGCTTAGCGGCGCAGCCTGCATTCGCTCTATAGGACGCACACACATTTCCCCTTAATTTTTGGAGGGGGAAATGTGCGTCCTATAGAACGAAAAATACGGTATGCTTCAGGTTACATATACTTCAGGTTACAGACTCCGCTAACCCAGAAACAGTGCTTCAGGTTAAGAACTTTGCTTCAGGATGAGAACAGAAATCGTGCTCCGGTGGCACGGCAGCAGCAGGAGGCCCCATTAGCTAAAGTGGTGCTTCAGGTTAAGAACAGTTTCAGGTTAAGTACAGACCTCCGGAACGAATTAAGTACTTAACCCGAGGTACCACTGTACATTAATTGTGCCCGTAAGCTTTTTGTATACTTATAACTATGCTTATTAAATTTATATACAGTATTGCCCTTCATTTGAAGATCACAGGGCAGTTTGCAACATAAAAATAAATTTAAAACCCAAATACAAAACACAACAAAAAACCACCTATAATCCACCCACTCCCCTGAGACATTTAAAAGACCACAGATTGTTTAATCAGCGATTAAACAATGGCCTGGTTGAAGAAGAATGTTATTGCTTGGTGCCTAAAGATCTGTAATAAAGGAGCCAGGTGAGCCTTCCTGGGGAGAACATTCGACAAACAGGAAACCACCATAGAAAAGGCCTGTTTTCATGTTGCCACCCTCTGGACCTCTCATGGAGGGGTCACAGAAAGAAGGGCCTCAGTTGATTATCATTCCTTTGGTACATATCTTTAGACACTAGGCAAAAACATGCCTCTTCTCCCAGGCCTTTGGCTAATTAAACAATCTGTGGCCTTTTAAACTGTGGCGGTGGGGGGTAAGAAGTGTCATTCTCTGTAGTACATGAAGCAATATAGGAGTACATGTCCAGATGACTGAGAATCTAATTAGAGATTGTCAGTGTGTGTGTGTGTGTGTGTGTGTGTGTTCCATCCCATATTTCATTTAAAGAGCTCAAGATGGCATACATGGTTCTCTCCCTGCCCCCTGCTTTGTCCCATTATTTATCCTCACAACAACCCTGGGACATTGGTTAGGCTTGGAGATACTGACTGCCTCAAGGCCACTCAACGAGCTAAGGTAGATGTGGTAGATTCAATGAACTGTGGAAATGTCCTGAATTTCCATTGGTAATCTGCTGTATGCTGTCTTTTCAGTCTGATGTGATCACATGTGCACAAGAAGTTGATATGATGCAGAAGCAGTTTGCAGCACAGATGGAGCACTTAAAAAGTATTGTTCAGGCAAAGACAGCAGTGCCTACGTCTCTGGTTTATGTAAGTTCCTAAATTGCAAGAATGTAAAAAGGACTAGCTTGTGTTTGTGTGCTGAGTTAGTGACACAGACCTCTTTTACACCGAGAGACAGAGAGAGCCTGGATCCTTGCCTTTCTGTTCAGCTAGTCCAAGGGAGTTTTGAGCTTGTTGATAGTGCTGAGAGAGAGGTCTTGACCCGCCCCGGCCGCTGCCCCCGATGTTTTCCCAATTTCAACTGCCCCCAGGAACTATACAATTTGTTACATACAACAAAGCATACAGGTGCCCATATGATACCATAGAGCATATTGGGGTGGGGTATTCAGATTAGGGAAATAATCCATTACAGGGACAGGGGAGAATTAACCCACCCAGCATCTTCATGCAGCTTTATTTAAAACAAAAAACCCTGCAGGACATCAGATCTGTCATCGTAGCAAGTTTGTCTCTAGGATTTTACACAGAGCTGCTAAAAAAGAAAGTACTGTAAGTTCTGTAGGTTTGTACAGATAGCTTTCTGTCAGTTTAACAGCATGAAAATTCCCTGTTCTCTGTTTAACTTTCATCAGAGGAATCTATTGCTTTATTGTATACAAGGAGTAAATATCCTGGCAGTGTGATAGTCTTTGGTCCTATGCTGTGCTAGAAATAACATAAAGAAATCAGGGATGCATGTTAAGGAGAGGAGAGAGGGTAAATATTCCTTCAAAAATCCTTTACAATTAAAATTGTTAGGGTTTAAGATAATGAATTGCACCCCCTGCTTTTGTCTCCTCACCTGTAGAGTATATATAAAGAACAGCAGACTACATACTTTTGGTAAGCAGGCAGCATAATTTTGCAAATACAATTTCAATTTCTTTGTTTTTCCCCCCTCCCAGCCTATATTTATTGCACTTTCTAACCTTTGGACCAGTTTTCAAGACGAGATCCTGGTGCTGAGTTTCCTCAATAACTTGACTATCAATCTCCAGCAGTTCCTAGGAGCCCATTCAGTTATTTTTCCAGAAGATGTGATGGAATCTCTTCTTGAAGATGTTATTGTAAAAACTGATGAGGAAAGGTTAAAAGAAAGTGCTGGTACTAAAACCATAATTATGCATTTTGAATTAATGTATAAATTCCATGGAATACTCTTGCTATCTTCAGATTCTTAGCCCTTTGAGAGCTAGAGCTTCCATTTTATTGCTAAATAAGGATCGTGTGTCATAAAAACCACTGAGCCTCTTTGGCTTGCTGATTGGAAGGTTGGTGGTTCGAATCCCCACAACAGAGTGAGCTCCCATTGCTCTGTCCCAGCTCCTGCCAACCTAGCAGTTCAAAAGCACACCAGTGCAAGTAGATAAATGGGTACTGCTGTGGTGGGAAGGAAAACAGTGTTTCCGTTTGCTCTGGTTTCTGTCATGGTTTCCCGTTGTGCCAGAAGCGGTTTAGTCAGACTGGCCACATGACCCGGAAAGCTGTCTGTGGACAAATGCCGGCTTCCTTGGCCTGAAGCAAGTTGAGCGCCACACCCCATAGTCGCTTTGACTGGACTTAACCATCCGGGGTCCTTTACCTTTTGCCTTTACCATGTGTCATGCACTTATGGCTATATATATATATATAATAAAAAATTGTATGGCTGCCCAATAACATATGTTTTCTGGGTTGCTCTTAGAAAATTAAAATAAAAAAATAAAATGCAGTATCAAAACCTCCTGTTCCGCAAACTATTCCTAGGCCACACTATAGCCTCATCTTTCTAGAACATCTGAAAATAGTAAGTCTTTCACATACTGCTGCTTTTTTATTCAGTCTTGAACATGGTGTGCATACCTCCTCTTCCTCCATGAAACACATAATATGCAACATAAGCCCTACACAGGGAGGCTATGTAGTGCCATGCACACAGTTTTCCAACACATACATGAATTGGAACACTTGTCTAGTAAGCGTCAGAACCATGCCATGTCTGTTCTGTGTGTGGAATGAGTATCTTGTATACTCCTGGCCTTAAAAGCTGTGCTATGATTCTGTTGTTCTCATGCAAAGCAGAAGCATTTCCTTCTAAGCTGAGTGTGGTGAGACCTAGTCTATAAACACTAATTACTGGGAAGTTAGCTGCTCCATGTAACTTTGTTAGTTTCCGAGTCAGAATCTGCTCATAGTTTCAACTAAGAGATCTGGGAAGAAACAGCAGTGGTTTTTATTTATTTTTTAAAAATATTTTTAATAATATTTTTAAAAAGTTTTAAATATAGAATCATAGAATCATAGAGTTGGAAGAGACCACAAGGGCCATCGAGTCCAACCCCCTGCCAAGCAGGAAACACCATCAGAGCACTCCTGACATATGGTTGTCAAGCCTCTGCTTAAAGACCTCCAAAGAAGGAGACTCCACCACACTCCTTGGCAGCAAATTCCACTGTCGAACAGCTCTTACTGTCAGGAAGTTCTTCCTAATGTTTAGGTGGAATCTTCTTTCTTGTAGTTTGGATCCATTGCTCTGTGTCCGCTTCTCTGGAGCAGCAGAAAACAACCTTTCTCCCTCCTCTATGTGACATCCTTTTATATATTTGAACATGGCTATCATATCACCCCTTAACCTCCTCTTCTCCAGGCTAAACATGCCCAGCTCTCTTAGCCATTCCTCATAAGGCATCGTTTCCAGGCCTTTGACCATTTTGGTTGCCCTCCTCTGGACACGTTCCAGTTTGTCAGTGTCCTTCTTGAACTGTGGTGCCCAGAACTGGACACAGTACTCCAGGTGAGGTCTGACCAGAGCAGAATACAGTGGCACTATTACTTCCCTTGATCTAGATGCTATACTCCTATTGATGCAGCCCAGAATTGCATTGGCTTTTTTAGCTGCCGCGTCACACTGTTGGCTCATGTCAAGTTTGTGGTCAACCAAGACTCCTAGATCCTTTTCACATGTACTGCTCTCAAGCCAGGTGTCCCCCATCTTGTATTTGTGCCTCTCATTTTTTTTGCCCAAGTGCAATACTTTACATTTCTCCCTGTTAAAATTCATCTTGTTTGTATTTAAAAAATATTTTTAGTACACAGGGTTGTCATCTTTAACAGAGCTTGCTGTGTACTTCCCCAGATACTTGCCGAGTCTGTACATTGGTAAGGAAACACATTATTCCATAGGTGCCACCACTGGCGGAGGAAGAAGAGTATGGGGGGAATGCACTGGCCCTGGCAGTGCGATCCCGGCAGGGTGCCATCGCAGCTGCTCCCCCCGCCTGCGCTGGGTGCCACGCCCCCACAGGCAATGTGCCCTGCCCCCGCCTGCTCTCCGTCCCTCGGTGCTGGAGCATGAAGCTCCGCCACTGGGTGCCACATGGGTACAGGAATGTCTTCTCTGAGGGAAACCTTAAACAGCAAAAGGTTACCTGGGTCTTTGTTTTTTGCTGCAGCTGTTTTGATGAATTGTGTTATTGTTTGGGGAAAAAATACGTTTTAAAATAAATGTTTTGTGAGCTGTTCTGAGGGCCAATATTGTGGATATAAGTAATAAATAAAAGTTGCCTTGAACCTTCCCACCTAATATGAAATACTAGATTATTCAGTACCTCACTAGGTACTTGTGCCATGGGATTCAGTGGTCTCAACCTTACCCAGTAACCATGTGTATACATGGGTATGATCTGGGGTGTTTCTAGGTAGGACCTCAATGTTGCAAATGGGTTATTGAGATACAGCAAATGGGTCCTTGGCAACAGGTTTTTAACATCATATTGCCCCCAGAAAGGGAACATCTTGATTAAATGCTGGGGGGTGGGGGAAATATACTCTTGTCATTTTTACACCAACAATATTGTGTGGACATTGCAACTAATAATAATAATAAAAATCTGCACGCATAAGCAATTTTCTCCTGCAATAAATACCTGTCTAGAAGCACTCCCATTTTTTTTCTGATACTGAAAACATATCCTAAGCTGCTGTTTTATTTTAATATTTCAGATAGCAAAGTAAATCCCGCCGACTTTACCGTAGAAGAATGGCTCTTCCCAGAAACCACCATTAATTTCAGCCAAGTGCAAATTCAGTACCATGGGTTTTGTGCTTACACTTTTGCCGTGAAAGATGGTCTTCTTATCCCAGGTTTGCCAATTGTAGATAAGTCCCGTTTGCTTTTTAAGAGCATTCTTACTGCTTCATATTATGCTTTAAGTTGTAGACTGCCTTGCTTTATTTTTATAGAAGTTTCATGTATAAATAAAATAAAAATACCTGACATATAAGGAGCTTGCCACCCAAACTACTGGGGCTTGGCTTATAAATGGAGATGGAGAAGAATTTGAGGCAGTAGGAATGTGGGGGTGAGGAGGGAAGGAACAGTGACAAGCATTTGGTAGGCGGGAGATAAAGCTGAGGAAGGGAATTAGAAAACTGGTATACACAGTGGTGGTAGCTGGGACAGAGAAACTACGGAAAGGAAGACCACACATATCAACAAGACAAGGGCAAATCCAATCAGTGCCAGTCTACTGGAAACTAATTCTTTAACAGCACCCTGTTTAGAATTCCATTCAAAGCATAAATTTGTATTTTTTTGTTCAGCAAAGAAACTAGAATTTAACAGTGCAATTTTTAAAAGGGTATTACTCTTTTTACTGAAGTAATCCACATCATGCAGGATTAGCTATGACATACTTTACTCTTGTTCTTAGTTCATAGAAAGTGGTTTGCTGAGGGAGAGCATGGTTTAAAGTTGACTGAATTTTCAGGCAGGTTAGAACTAGAGCCATTCTTAATTTCAAAAGTGAAAACACTATAATCTGCATCAGGAATGTCATGAAGAAATCCTCTGTTCTTTTGTGCTTTGTTGTCAGCGAACCTTGCTGTTGGAATCCTGAAGTTTCGGGAGAAATATTATGCCTTTAGTTCCAAGGAAGCGGCATATAATTTTGCCAAGAATCCAGAGAAATGCGTTAAGATGATTGCAGAAAAAGCAAAGGAATCTGCAGAGCTTATTCAGCTGCTTGAACTTCATCAGCAATTTGAATCCCTTGCCCCTTATTCTCAGGTATTCAACACATTTATCCTTTACTTATTTAGGCCACTCCAAGAAAGCTTCATTCTAGAGAAAAGCCAAATAAGAGGCAATATGAGAGAACTTACACATAGCATGGAGAAAGTGGATAGAGGAAAGTTCTTCTCCCTCTCAAAATGTGTAGATATCCAAGGAAGATGAATGCTGGAAGATTCAGAAGAGATAAGAGAAACTACTCCTTCACACAGCACATAGTTAAACTATGGAGTTCTGTCCCACAGGAAGTAGTGATGTCCGCCAACATGGATGGTTTTAACGGGAGTAGACAAATTTATGGAGGACAAGGCTATCAGTGCCTACTAACCACAGTGGCTGTGTTCTTTATCAACTGTTGGATGCAGTATGCTTCTGGGAACCTTAGGAGAGAATGTTCTTGTGCTTGGTCCTGGTTGTGGGCTTCCTATAGGTTTCTGGTTGGCCACAGTGAGAACTGGATGCTGGACTAGATGGGCCATTGGCCTGATGAAGCAGGCTCTTGTGTTCTTATGCTCCAAAAGCAATATAGCTACCATTTTATTTTTATTTTTTTAAATGATATTTATTAAGGTTTCCAAAAAGAAAAGTTACATATATAAAAAAGAGAAAAATAGAAAAAAGAAAAAATACAAAATACAGAAAAAATAAAAAAGACTTAAAAAACAAATCAATCTTTCCATACCTTACATTTCATTTACTTGTTTCCCTGACCTCCTCACGCCTCCCTTTTTTGTATTCCAGTTCAGTTAATTAATTCAGCAAATCCTTTCCCTCTTTGTTTTTATCTTAATCCTTTAACTTAATATATTATAGCTTTAGATTCTCTCCTGTTAACAATCCATTTTTACATACACCTTATAACATTACTGCTAAAACCACTTAACTTCATTCTGACATCATTCTAACATTCATTAATTTTGCAGTATTTCTGTAAATAGTCTTTAAATTTCTTCCAATCTTCTTCCACCGACTCTTCTCCCTGGTCTTGGATTCTGCCAGTCATTTCCGCCAATTCCATGTAGTCCATCACCTTCATCTGCCATTCTTCCAGAGTGGGTAGATCTTGTGTCTTCCAGTACTTTGCAATAAGTATTCTTGCTGCTGTTGTGGCATACAGAAAGAAAGTTCTGTCCTTCTTTGGCACCATTTGGCCGACCATGCCCAGGAGAAAGGCCTCTGGTTTCTTCAGAAAGGTATATTTAAATACCCTTTTCATTTCATTATAAATCATCTCCCAGAAAGCCTTAATCCTTGGGCACGTCCACCAAAGGTGAAAGAATGTACCTTCGGTTTCTTTACATTTCCAACATTTATTATCGGGCAAATGATAGATTTTTGCAAGCTTGACTGGTGTCATGTACCACCTGTATATCATTTTCATAGTATTCTCTCTTAAGGCATTACATGCCGTAAACTTCATACCTGTGGTCCATAACAGTTCCCAGTCAGCCATCATTATGTTATGTCCAACATCTTGTGCCCATTTAATCATAGCAGATTTTACCATTTCATCCTGAGTATTCCATTTCAACAGCAAGTTATACATCTTTGACAAAATCTTGGTTTTGGGTTCTAACAGTTCTGTTTCTAATTTTGATTTTTCCACCTGGAAGCCAATTTTCTTGTCCAAATTATATGCCTCCATTATCTGATAATAATGAAGCCAATCTCGCACTTTATTTTTTAGTTTTTCAAAACTGCAATTTCAATCTGTCTCCCTCTTGTTCCAAAATTTCCCAATATTTCGGCCATTTGGCCTCCATATTGAGCTTTTTCTGAGCCTTCACTTCCATTGGTGATAACCACCTTGGGGTTTTATTTTCAAGTAAGTCCTTGTATCTTATCCAGACATTAAACAATGCTTTCCTGACAATATGATTTTTAAATGCTTTATGTGCTTTAACCTTATCATACCACAAATATGCATGCCATCCAAATACATTATTAAAACCTTCTAAATCCAAAATGTCTATGTTTTCAAGAAGTAGCCACTCTTTCAGCCAGCAAAAAGCTGCTGATTCATAATAAAGTTTAAGGTCTGGCAGGGCAAATCCACCTCTTTCCTTTGCATCCGTTAGTAAGCTACCATTTTAATAATACAGGAAGTTGATCAGGAAGTATCTCAAAGAAGAGGTACTTCTTAATGCATAAGATTGGTGCCACACATCTTGTTTTGGCAGTGTCTTGTCCTTACTAGTTCATTGTGGGTTTAGCTGCAGTTAGCATGGAGAATAGCACAGTTCCAGAGTGGCTTGTGGTAGTTGGATGCATTGGTTCAGTACACTCAACACTCCAAACAGCCCCATCTGGAAGTGTGCTAAATGATGTGGTGTTGAGATATCTTCCCCTTTAGTTTTTATCTAATGCTTGGTTGGAAGGTGAAAATGTGGAAATAAAAAATAGCTATTCCTTTTTGTTGTTGTTACAGATCAGAGCCAAAGACAAGAAGAGTATGAAACCCATCACAAAATGTGACACCAGTACTCAGACGGACATCCATATTTTGCCACCAAATATTGTGAAGAACTATGAGTGGAATGAATGGGAACTGAGAAGAAAAGCCATCAAACTGGTTTGTGTCAACATGATTTGAGAGACTAGTTCAGACAAACTACAAATAACAATTACCTCTCAGATCTTTTCAGACTTAACTCCATGCATTTGACCTTAAATTTTTGAGCCCCTCCATCTTTTGTTTTCAGCTTTGTTTGGAATAGCATAGTGCAACATTCATGCTGAAGCTTTTACTTTGTTACTTTAAAATGTCTAAACTTCCCTTCATCGTGTCTGGGTGGTGTACAATAATGATAATATAAATAAATATATAAACATCACATATCCTTCATAACAATAAAACTGACAGGTAACAAACCTATGAAGCAGACAGTGGCAGTAAAATGAATTAAAATGCCTGGGCAAACAAAAAGAAGTCTTGATCTTGCACCAAAGAAATGGAAAGTGCTTTCCCCTTGCTAGTTCATTGTTGACATAGGCTTTATACACATCCTAGAATTTGATCAGTTTATTCAATCCACCCTTGATAAGAAAGTATAAATCATTTATAAGTCTTTCAGGCAGTGCAATCCTTTAACATAATCTCACATTATGTTAAATGCAACTGTGATTATTCTTTTATCTTTTTTTTTTATATTCAGGCAAACTTGCGCCAAAAGCTAACTCACTCAGTGCAGACCAATCTAAGTCACATGAGAAGGGACAACTGCAGCCAGGTGTACCCACTGAAGGATAATGGCACACAGACCAAGCGCGAAAGCAATACTAATGTACCCAAGCCTCAGATTTTCCTGGCTGGTCTCCGTGGAGGAACACCTCCAACTACCCGCATGATCAAAATCAACTTAACAAGAGCAGTTGATGAAACATAAATGACAAGTCCTTCAATAAATGAACTTTAAAAACAAAAAGCAAATTCATTGTGTCTCATTATTTGTTCTATTATTTCAAAGGCAATCTTTGTATCATTAATGGGGCCAGATGAAAGGTATCATGGGTAAGTTGAGTCTTCTATCCCCAGCCTTGTCCCACTGTAGCATCCTGTATTGGAAGGTGCAGTACTAGCTATATTTGTGGACCGCTACCCCTCACCATGCAATGCTCCCAGCTATCCTGTGTCAATCTTAGCAATTAGCCCTCCCATTCTGAACACCTTTTTTCCCTTCTTTTTGAGGGGACAACGGGAAATTCACTTTTCCTTTGGTCTTGGATTTCATCTTAAGAAATATTTCGCATGACTGTAATTGAGCTAAAGACACTGAAATTCTGGTTCCTTGAGGCCTGACTGTAAAGTGTAAAGTAGTGAAGAAATCTAGAATTTTAGTGTCGGCGTTTCCTGCTTGGAAACAAAAGGCAGAGGCAAAGTCCCGACTCAGAATGAGTCGGGTATCATTTTGCATTGAAAATGCGTTTTTGAACGTTTTTAAAAATTCCCGGCGGTACATCCCGTTATCCCTATATTGCTACGGCAAGCTGGAGGCGGGACTGTGAGTGGAAGAGCGTGGCTTGGGGTTAAGAAGAAAACAAAATTAGCAACTACATATAAAAGCTCTCTCTGTGTGAGAGAGAGATCTATAGCTATATGCAAATCACAAACTGTAGCGCAGAGTAACATGCTATATACGCGAAAGTATCCACTATGAACTCGGGTAACGTTTTAAACCGGGGCAGGCTGCGCGCGCACGCGATACCCTCCTCCTGCGGACATTCCCTTGGCTTCCGGCAGCAGTAACGACGCATCCTGCGCTCCAACCATAGAGCGGCTAGTCCGCTCTAGCCTTCCTACTGTTGCGCTCTCTGGTATGCTGGGAGGCTTGGCGGGGAGGGCTTCAGCGCTTGCCGAGACGGATTCCTTTTGGATACCATGGCGCCTCCGAAAGGTGAGTGAGAGGCAGCCCGCCGCCGCCGCCGGTTTCCCCGTTATGCGTAAATGGAACAGTCCGTTCTACTGAGGCAAATAGCCAGGCGTCGTCCAGTTACTTGGAAGGCGGGGGGGGGGGGAGGAGGTTGTGAAGCGGGGGGGCGGGGAGAGGGGAGTTTGGAGACCTTCTGCCTTGATAACGCGAGCGCGGAGGTGGCTGGCACCGGGGACCCCGGGGGCAACAAAACCGGCCCGGCTGCCTGGCAGCTCTGCTGGGAAGCGGCTGTCGCTCAGCGTCTCTCTCCGCTCTTGTGTCAAGCAGGCGAAATAGTATAAGGGTTCCTCGGTGGAAGATAATGCTTCCTCCCCTTCCTGCCCTTCTTTAAAGACATGACATGTCGGGGTCTCGCTAGGATTTGGGGAGGGGGGTGAACCCAAAATGTTAATTATAACGAGTTTCCGCTCCCCATTCCCTCTCCTTCAGGTTGCTTAGGCGAAAGAATAGTCCCCCTCGAACCTGCCTTCGAGCATGCAAATATTGCTGACTTTGTCTGTGAACAAAGACTTGGAAACCTTTAAGCAGCCGCGTCTGGCATCATCCTCTCCTGCAAACGGTGTACGATGATGCTCTTGTGTCACTCACTTGGCAACGTATTGTAATGGCTGTTCTTGTGCAATGACCCTGGTCCAGAAGGCAAGCTCTTCCTCTGGATCCATGTGTACAGTGGTACCTCGGGTTACATACGCTTCAGGTTACATACGCTTCAGGTTACAGACACTGCTAACCCAGAAATAGTGCTTCAGGTTAAGAACTTTGCTTCAGGATGAGAACAAAAATCTTGCTCTGGTGGCGCGGCAGCAGCAGGAGGCCCCATTAGCTTCAGGTTAAGAACAGTTTCAGGTTAAGAACTGACCTCCAGAACGAATTAAGTACTTAACCCGAGGTACCACTGTATTTATTAATCGGTCTGAAATGCTAGGACAGACGTTTTCACATTAGAAAATAAATGCATCTAGGGATACATGAAATTGTAATGGAAGAAGTGGCTTGCCTATCGTGGTGTTAGAGACATGCTTTCTCCCGTTTCTGAAAAATTGGGCCGAATAGACTTATTGATGCACAGCACATTTTTGTGTGTATTGTCATAAGGCTGTTAAATGATCTCTGTTGGATCAGGCCAATGGACCATCTAGTCCAACATCTTGTTCTCACAGAGGCCAACCAGATGCCTATGGAAAGCCTGCAGGTAGGACCCGAGGGCAACAGCACTCTTCTCACAATTCCCAGTATGATATTCAGAGGAATAGTGCCTTCTACAGTGGAGGTACAATAGCTAATAGCCATTGATGGGTTTGTCCTCCATGAATTTGCCTGTTCTTTTTTTAAAAAAGCAATCTGAGATGGTGACCATTGGGTTACAGACGCTTCAGGTTACAGACTCCGCTAACCCGGAAATAGTACCTCGGGTTAAGAACTTTGCTTCAGGATGAGAACAGAAATCGTGCTCTGGCGGCACGGCAGCAATGGGAGGCCCCATTAGCGAAAGTGGTACCTCAGGTTAAGAACAGTTTCTGGTTAAGAATGGACCTCCCGAATGAATTAAGTTCTTAACCTGAGGTACCACTGTATATGTGCTGCCTGAAGAAGTACTTTCTTTTGTCTGCCCCGAAGCTTCCAATATTCAGCTTCCTTGAATGGCCCTGGGTTTCTTGGATGAGAGAGGAATCTGCTTTCCCTACACAGTGATAATTGCATCTTTTGCAGATAATTCTGCTGTTTGCATTTAGCTTGATATACACCCAAATTAGGCTGAAGGAAATAGAGTTATATCTCTACCAGGGTGTACTCAGTTTAAATTATTGCAACAGTGCATCTATAATTGTACCTTGCAGGGATGTTTACACAGTGAAGGTGATAGTATGAGTAACAGGATTTAGTAATTCCCAGCCATATCATAATGTGGTGTAATGATTCAGGCATTCACTGTTGAGTTAATAAAGAAATAGAAGTTTATACAGATAAAGATAAATTGTTTAATCAACAGTCTGATTCAACTGTAACTGTGTTATTTTTGGTGGCCAGAGACTAGATAATGGCTGCCTCTCCTATGAAGTATCTGAAGTTCCTTGATTAGTAGCTTCTTATTTGCTGATCCTAAAATCAGCATGTGGAAATAATTTCATTTATTTCTGTTGGCCTTTGGTTTCAAGTAGAGTTATAGGTGCCAGATGAGGTACCATTTTGAAAATAGCCTACATTTATCTAGACCAGAGCTTTCCAAACTGTGTGTCGTGATATGTTAGTGTGTCAGCTGCAGTGTGTCAGTGTGTCACACAAACACTCCCCACCCTCCTCTCAGGGCTGGAAAGGGGTCAATTTAACCTCCAGTTTGCTAATAAAACTGAATTACTGTGTCACAAAATGATGCATATCTAAAAAGTGTGCCACTAACATGAAAAGTTTGGAAACCTCTGATCTAGACAGCCGAGAGTAGGATAAGGCACTCTCCTGCACCAGTTTGAAGGGCCTTTGAGCCTTGGCCCCACATTAGCCCTTCTGACAAGGGATGAGCAGGACTATTTTGGCATGCTAATCAATGAATCAATCGGTTAATGCTTATCAATTAATTAATTAAATGTATATCCTTCCCTCCCAAAGGAGCCCAGGGCAAACACACTAGTGATAAACCAATACAGTTAAAAATAAAACAAAACATGTTTAAAACATCCCTAACCAATTCAAAACATCTGAAAGCAGTAACTTACTCTCACAGCTAATAATTTCAGAGTTGCCACGATCAGTATCTTTTGGCCATCAAATGCCTTGGTAAACAGGAACATTTTAAAGTTCCTCCTGATTGTGAAGGAGATAGATGTGCCTCACCAGGGAGGGTGTTCCACAAATGGGGAAACCACCACCAAGAAGGCCCTATCATAAGTCAGTGCCAACAAGGCATCCCCTAGTGGGGGCACCACCAACAAAGTCACCTGCAGGTTTTAGGGTGCAAATCCTTCCAATGGTTAACCGTAATGTTTCTGCAGCAGGCCTGCCATAGCTTTTTGAATATAGAATGTTCCTGTTTTAAAAGCTGTTTTCTAAGGACCAAACAGCAAACATAACTTCACTGTAGTTGTCAAGGTGGTTCACGTCTCATGTCCAATAGAGTGATGCTTTTGTTTTTCAGAAAATGTCAGCTTGCTTTTTAAGTTGTACTGCTTGACGGTGATGACCTTGGTGGCTGCAACGTATACAGTAGCTTTGCGGTACACGAGAACAACAGAAACAGTTTTATACTTTTCAACTACAGCTGTCTGTATTACAGAAGTTATCAAGCTATTCCTAAGTTTGGGCATTTTAGCAAAGTAAGTATAAATGTCGATGAGTAAATTGGAGTGGCGTATTTGCTCTTTTTTCTGATTCTTTTATTTTACTTGTTTTGTTTCTTGCTATGCTTCATGTGGACTGTGTTAGGCTTCTGTGAGCAGGTGGTATCAGAGGAGTCCTTCTCGAAAAGATTGGTTTTGCAACAAGTGAAAACATGCACATTTTAGTTTCCTAATCTCTCTTATGAATAGGCGTCACTGCCTTGAGTTCATTGCTTTGGATAAGGTTCAGAAGTCTGTGTAAATTAAGTATGGATGCTTGGCTGGCAGGTTTCTGGGTTGGTGTAGGCAGGAGACTTCAGAGTCATTCAAGAAGAACTTGTATTCTCACTAAGGCGGCATTTAAGGATTAGAAGCAATCCTCTGAACCATGTTGACCTGTCCTCCCTCAAATATGCCTATGATGTTCTAGAAGGATTCTCAATCAGAGGGCACTTATGATTTCTTTTAGCCTACACAGAAACTATTCAAATGGCTTCTCCCCCATGCTGGTAACATATGAATAATTGACTTTTTTTGGTCTTTTAATGGGACCCCAGGGCTGCTGCCTCATCTTGTGTGATGGTAGAGCTGGCCTTGAGCCTCATGGTGGGATGCTTGGGCACTTTCAGTAATAGTCACTGTTCTTGCTGCATCTTGTAACATGGTACAGTGGTGCAGCCTTGGCTAGGAATTTCTCTAGCCTCTCTGTCTCTCAGAACCTCAATATTTCCCCAAATCTGTGAGTTTATAAAGGTTGTTTATGAAACTCTAGCTTATTCAGTAACATGCTCTGCAGCAAGGGGCCCTCCAGCTCCCATAATCCCTGGCCATTGGTCATTCTGGCAGAGGCTGATGGAAGTTGTAGTCCAGCAACAGCTGGAAGGTCACAGGTTACCCACTGCTAACTTAAATCACGGTTAAGTGTAGACTCCAAATTGCAATGTAGAACTTCTGTCCTGAAGTGGGTTTGCTAATCTTGGTCTCATTCTGTCAGGGTGGGTGGGGCCACCCACCTGTCAATTACCTGATGTCACAATGATGGTGCTTTAAAGTGCCCGAGGCTTTGGCTTTACCACCCATCAGCTTTTTGCAGGCATTGGGTGTGTGGGTGAATTGCCCGCAGGGAGCTCAGTAAAGCACAGCCTTATCCAACAAGTGAAGAGCGGTAGAGTCAAAATCTGATTTTTCTTTTGCCAATGCACAATTGGGAATGCATGTTAAGGCTCCCAAATATGAATTGGCAGCTGTGCCTCTATCTGCCCCACACCTGACAACGCAGGTCATGTCAGGTATGAGGCAAGCAGGTGAGTGTGGTTTTGGGGAAAACTGCCTCTAAGGCCAAAATTGAATCCTTGGGGGGCAAAGTTTGGCCAATGGGGTAGAAGTTGTCCACCCCAGAATCTGGGACAGAACCTGGGAGAGAGTTTAGTTCTGCAGGCTGATATAACCTCTGGTTTGTGCTAACCTTGGTTGAACTTTTTGTCTGCATTCAGCATTTGTCTTTTTGAATAAAAATCAGTTTGCCTTTTTGAATAAGCCAGCAGTCAGTCAGACTTAATCTCTTCTCCTGCAGTTGTCTTTGCCGCCCTCACCTCTACTTTCCAAGAGATGTAATCTAATATGCATAAATGTTTTATTCGCCGTCTCTTGCAGTTGTGTCCCACTCGCTTCCTTTGTAAAGTGAGCTGAGAAGCACACGTTAGAACGATGGGGGCTGATATGAGGGAGTGTTTAATCCCGGGTGTTCTCTGTGTTCAGAGTGAAGCAATCTTCTCCTTAACACTGCTAGATCCCAGAATTGAGTCTCAAGGGGCAAAAAGTAGGTCACCAGTTATGAGTGTCTTTTCTGAGGCCTGGTTTCAGCTGCATAATCACTTTAGTCACCCTATAATTATGAAGGCCATATAAAAAAAATGACATTTCATGCTGTGCTGACTCCAAATGCATAATTACTATCCTATCAAATTCAGAAATGACATGAATTCTTGAAATTGGGTCCCAGGAAAGCCCAACTTCCCTGGCAGGTATAGTTTAAACAAGCAAGTCACAAGCAATGGCTTGGACTTTTAAAATATAGAGATAGCACTGACACGAAGAGGCTGTCCTCATTTTAGTCACAGGAGGTAGATTTAAGGGGAAACGGCTTTCTTGCTGTTTCATAATATTTGGTGACATGTCATACTGTACTGGATTTTGTGAGATTGTGTATTTTGCAATTTTCCTGTACATAAGTGTATGTACAATGCCCATGTACAGGCTCTGTTACTTTTGTTCTCCCAGATCTGGTTCTCATACGGGGTAATTTCACATGCACAGGAGTAAAGACAGTGTTCCTCTGCCTCCCCACAACCTTTTTTTTTTTTTTTTGCCTACACTACGAAATCACGGAGGCGGATAAAATGCATGTGCGAAGCTGTTCCTTTTTGAAGCAGGAACAGGTGGCATCTCAGGTGGCTAAAATTAGGCCATCTAAGTGGTGTACTGTATAAGATAAAAATCCTGAGATTCACCTAATGTAGAGTTGCCATATGTCCGGAATTGCCCGGACAGAGCCAGTATTTGGGTCTCATAAACAGTGTCTAGGCGGAAATCACTTAAATGTCTGGGAAAATCCAGACGTAAGGCAGCCTATGTCAGAAGTATAGATTTTGGCAAATTTCATTTATAATAATTAAAATAAATTTCATTTTTATGAAAAGCTCAATAACTTTGCCTAAAAAAGCTCACTTTTTGAAATATGGCAACCCTACCTGATGATCCCCAGCAGAGGACAGCTGCACAGCTTCTGCTGTTTTTATGGTGCCTTGAAATGGTATGTAAAGGGTGATACGTAAATTTAATTAATTAAGTACTTTAAAAATCTGCCTTACTGCAACATTTAGAGGAAGTTTTAAAACCAACCAACCCAACCGAATGTTGTCTTCATTTCAGCACTGCCAACTGGAATGTCTGGTTTGCATTCTGTCACCGTCACGGCGGTTACAGTCTTTGTTTGCCCTGCGGAAGGAGGAAGAATGTGGATCTTAAGCTTTCCAGGAGACGCAGCACGATTCTCCTTCCTCTAGTTGGCTTCTGCTTTTCTCTTTTTTTGGAGGGCCTCAAGATTGATACAGGATAGGAAGCGGGTGTTGTTGACTAGCTCATCCTGGCAGCTGAGAGGTTGTGGGGCTAGGCCTCTGTTGGGCTATTTCTGGATTGTTCTTGTTCTGCTGTACTATTGTCAAGCAGCTACAGTCATATTTGTGCTCAGAGCTTCTTCTTCTTTAAATGTTTTCCAGAGAGACTGGAAGCCCGGGTAGACTATTGACATCTTTAAAAGAAAATGTCTTGGGCAGCCCTAAAGAGCTACTCAAATTAAGTGTTCCATCTCTCGTCTACGCCATCCAGAACAACATGGCCTTCCTGGCTCTTAGCAATTTGGATGCAGCTGTTTACCAGGTAATGGTTGATGTTTGGAAGCTAGATGCAGACTCCCTAACCTTACCAGGCCACATTGGTCCTGCTTTGTAGCCACTGTGAGTGTTCTTGCCTGCTTAGAATGAGCCCTGGAACTCTGACCACTCTTTGTGCTTGTCTGGGAGAGAGAGATTTTAATGTGCCTGAAATTAACATTCCATCAATCAATCTTTATTGTGGTCATAGTCCAGGCAATAGAAAGAAATTAACATTAGTTTCTATGCCCACTGGCATGTGGCCCCTGAAGCATTGTCCAGAGGGGGCTGTGGCCCTCAGGCTGGCAAATGTTCCCCATCCCTGAGCTATGATGGATGAGCTCATCGAGCAACATGTTGAGCGTGTGAAACAGCTATCACAAACAGAACACCCGAAACAGAACTTCTGCATTGTCTGATAGGAATTCAGACACAGTATCTTTTCGTGGAAAATGGTTCACACTTTCAGCTGCAAGTCACGGAAGGGAAAAGTCATCCTGTGCGTGTAACTCTTTCCTGAGAGGAAGGGGATTGTTCACCAAGGAAGATCCTGCCATGAGCATAACATCCTTTACATGAACCAAGTAATGATGTTGGATGCAAACCAATATGCTTAGAACATGGGCGATACATTAGTATAATAAAATCATAGAATCGTAGAGTTGGAAGGGACCACGAAGGTCATCTAGTCCACCACCCTCTACAATGCAGGAATCTCAACTAAAGATTCCAATCTCTGCTTAGAAACCTCAAAGGAAGGAGAGTCCACAACCTTTTATTGTCAGAAAGTTCTTCCTGATCTTTCATTTATTACATTGTTGTTATAATGGTTGTGTTATATTGTTGTTATTAAATAAAGCAGGTTAGATATTAAACAGATTGTCTTTCTGCCTTTTCCCTAATAGCTAAATGAAACATGCCCTTTCTTTCCGGCTTCTTAGGTGACCTATCAGTTGAAGATCCCATGTACCGCTTTATGTACAGTCTTGATGCTGAACCGCTCTCTCAGCAAACTACAGTGGTTCTCAGTCTTTATGTTGTGTGGTGGAGTCACGCTTGTTCAGTGGAAGCCAGCTCAAGCCACAAAAGTCCAGGTAAAGTTGATCACTGGGAGCCTTTCTCCATACCTGCTTTATGAAATAAGTTTCTCGTGCATCAAGTTGCATAATCTTACCCTAAGGGCATTGTGGAAGAGTATACTGCAGGGGTGGAGTAATTGCAGCCCCCCCTGATGTTTCTCTGGGGCAGCTTCCATCTTAATCAGGATGTCCTTTCCACACTGTAGGAATTGGGCCTTCTGTGTGTTGGCATCTGCCTTTCGGAAGCCCCTCCCTTTGAATATGAGGCACTGTCTCTGTTGCCTTTTTGGTGCCTACTGAAGGCCTTCAACAAGTTGAGACCTTTCCCAGTCCGCATCTGTATTGGAACCATTTTAAACAGATTTTGTTTTTTCGCTGTTTTAGCACTTGTTTGCCACCTTACGGTCCTCTGGGAGAAAGGGTAGTATATAAATATAAGTAAGTGAATGAACGAATGTCCTCATTGCATTTCAAGAATTAGCTAAGCTGTGGTACCCTGCAGCAGCTGGTTGAATAAGCAGGAGAGGAAAGGAAGGAGAAGCTCTGTTGAGTGATGACTTCCTGTGTTACATTGGCTCTCACCCTCTTTTCCCCAGAGACAATTGAGCAGCCTGGGAGTCAAATTTTGTAGTGCTGCTTGCATAGCACTGGCAGATGTTGCCAGATGGCCTAAGTCATCTTTTGTTGTTGCAATAAATAACAATCTGGCTTGGCTTCCAAAAGTGACTGCAGCTATAAATAAACTTCCTATGTTTTTATTTGTTCTTTAGATGGAGCAGAGCCCATTGATAGGCTTCGGTGCGATAGCCATTGCTGTTTTATGTTCAGGATTTGCAGGTAAAACCTTGTAGTTAAAGTTATCTTCAAGTAGCAGGCATTTATCTGTGACTGTGGCTAGTCCGACAGTGAAGGCCCCCTCTTACTTTACCTTGCCAGCTCAGAAAACACCATAGCACAGCTCCTTCCCATCCTTCTCAGGTAACATGGGAGAAGCTCTGGGTCACATCCACAGCATACATTTAAAGCACTCTTATACCACTTTTGGGATGCGGGTGGCGCTGTGGTGTAAACCACTGAGCCTTGGGCTTGACGATCGGAAGGTCGGCAGTTTGAATCCCCGTGACAGGGTGAGCTCCTGTTGTTTAGTCCCAGCTCCTGCCAACCTAGCAGTTTGAAAGCACGTCAAAGTGCAAGTAGATAAATAGGTACCGCTCTGGCGGGAAGGTAAACAGTGTTTCCGTGCGCTGCTCTGGTTTCGCCAGAAGCGGGTTAGTCATGCTGGCCACATGACCCAGAAAAACTGTCTGTGGACAATCGCTGGCTCCCTTGGCCAGTAAAGCGAGATGAGCACCACAACCCCAGAGTCGTTTGTGACTGGACTTAACTGTCAGGGGTCCTTTACCTTTTTATACCACTTTAGCGGCCATTGCTTCCCCCAAAGAATCCTGAGGACTGTAAGATGTTTGTTGTGCAGCTACAATTCCCAGCGCCCTGAACAAACCCAGTGCCCAGGAGCCTTTGAGGGAAACCAAAACTGTTAAGAGTGGTGTAAGAGTGCTTTAAGTGTACAGTGGTACCTTGGGTTACATACGCTTCAGGTTACAGACTTCGCCAACCCAGAAGTAGTACCTCGGGTTAAGAACTTTGCTTCAGGATGAGAACAGAAATTGTGCTGTGGCGGCAGCAGGTGGCCCCATTAGCTAAAGTGGTGCTTCAGGTTAAGAACACTTTCAGGTTAAGAACGGACCTCCGGAACGAGGTACCACTGTACATTGTAGATGTGACCTATGTCGTAAGCTCAGGTCTGCCCAACCTAGGTCTCTTTTGTAAGACAACAACTATCATCTCTGAGCATCAGCTCTACCTGTTAGGGCTAATGGGACTCAGGTGACACCTGTTGGAGGGCATCAAGTTGGGGAGGGCTGCTGTAGCTGTTCCCCACCTCAGCATCACCTCCCCCACAAACTTGTACGGTGGGAAGGTGGTGCAAGTTGACCCTGGGTTTCTTATCTCTGTGGTGTAAATTCCCTAAATCAAAATGTAATGTATGGCGGGAGCTGTACATTGTTTCATCTCTCGCTTCCCTTCCCTTCCCTTCCCTTTCAGGGGTATATTTTGAGAAAGTGCTAAAGAGTTCGGATACATCTTTATGGGTCAGGAACATTCAGCTGTACCTCTCTGGGATTGTAGTGACCTTGGTTGGTGTCTACATGTCTGATGGAGTTAATGTAATGGAAAAGGGCTTCTTTTATGGCTATACCCGTTATGTCTGGTTTGTCATCTGTAAGTATCTGATTGCCTTTTATCTTCAGTTCTACTTTTTTCTTCTTCAAGCTGGGGCCAGAGGTGTAGGAGATCAGCTTGGGGAACATATGGGGCAGAGACATCACTGAGCAGCAAATTAAATTCACTGTGGTCTACCGTCCTGCAGGAAATAATTCGGAAGCATGCAGTTTCCAGGGGAGTCTGAATATTGGCAAGAATTTAAGAATCATGGGGTGACTATCAGCTAGACTGCCTGAAAGGGATTAGGGATACAGGAAGACACAGGCCTTATTTCCTGGGTTACACAGAAATAAGTATTCAAAGTTAAGACTAACTGCTGTGCTGGCTTTCCAAAGGGACTTTGGGTAGCATAAGAAATGCAGGTAGGGCAGGTTAGTCACACTGGTTCCATTCAGAGAATAAGCCAAGATGTAAACCAGCCTTTTTCCTTGATATGCAGACCCCTTACCTGTCCAGAAATCAAACCAGGACATTGCTAACCATCATTTCCTATTTTGTCTGAAGTCCAAAACTTGTTACAAGCTTTGGAACAAGCCAGGATCCTAAACCAACTCCAAACCATGGTTCTGAAGCACTGTTTCCCAGTTTGGACATGGGGAACTATGATTAATTGGACACTTCCTGGTTTGATTGGCTGTGCCATGTACAAGTGTCAGTGTGTATAGGAAAAAGTCTTGTTTGGATCTTACTGTAGACTTTGATCTCGCCCATCCTTGCTTCCTGCTGTCGTATGTTGCTGAATCGGCTGTTTATGTTCCCATATTGAACAGACGGGAATTAAAAGTTCTCTTAACGGCCTGTACTCGAGACTAGCACCAGCAAATATGGGCTCTAGATGTGCTGTGTTGAATCTTGCTGGGTGATGTCCAAGGATAGCCATACTCAAGAGCAGACCCATTTAAATCCATTCACTTAGTTACTTAGGTATTGCCCCATGACATTTAGGTCAATCTAGTAGGGATGTAAACAGCATTGCTGGCGCAAGCTAATAGGTATAGACTAATACCAGGTTTGGTGTACCCTGGGACAAGGGTATGCCATGCTGGAACACAAATTTAATCCCCTAATGAGGTTGTGATACATGTCCCAAATGGACAGTATCTTCCAACCTTCAAAAGTTTTGCTATAAAAGGTATTTTTTCTTCTTCGTTTCTTTGAACCCATATGGTAAATAAGAAAAAGATTCCAGACACTTCATTAACAGGGATATATCCTTTTGCTGTCTAGTCCTTTCCAGCGTTGGAGGTCTCTACACTTCAGTTGTTGTTAAGTACACCGACAACATTATGAAAGGTTTTTCTGCAGCTGCTGCCATCGTTCTCTCTACCGTTGCCTCGGTCCTCCTCTTTGGCTTACAGATAAGTACGTTTCTTTTGGCCATAGTCCACAATCTTAGGTGACGCTCTTTTGGTGCGGGCTTGAATAACTGTTGTCAGCTAATTGTATTATTGTATAATATTATTATCTGATGTTGTCGGCCCACAAACAAATTAGCAAGGGTTAACATTTCAAAGCTGGCAGCATCTACTATTATTATCTTCAGCGCGCCCGAGGCTTCGGAATGCAGGCAGCTCTGCGCAACCTTTGGGAGCCCGGCTCCCGAGGGTTGCGCAGAGCTGCGTGGAGCCCGGGAGGGCAGGCAGCTCTGCGCAACCCTCCAAAGCCCAGCGCGGCTTGGCGCAGGGCTCCCGAGGGTTGAGCAGAGCTTCCTGAAGCCTGGAGAGCGAGAGGGGTCGGTGCGCACCGACCCCTCTTGCTCTCCAGGCTTGAGCGAAAGCCTGTATTCGCCCCATAGGACGCACACACATTTCCCCTTCATTTTTGGAGGGGGAAAAGTGCATCCTATAGGGCGAAAAATACGGTAAATATGAAGTACACAGCAATCTGATAACGAGTTTCATATTAAAAAAAGTATTCTAGAGTTTCTGTTTGGATCAGTGTGCTTTAAACCATGTGCTTTGTTTTTCCCTTTAGCCATCACCTTCTCTCTCGGTGCCCTCCTTGTATGCATCTCAATATACCTGTATGGACTGCCTCGACAAGACACCACAAAAATCCAGCCAGCAGAAGCAAAAGGGTCAAAAGAAAATCTTATTAGTGTGTGATGTTTTGCATCATGAAGAATAGAAAGAGACAATCTAAAGACTTGACATGAGTGTTTGTTCCCTTTTTTTCTTTTTTTTTAAAAAAGCCTTAAACTGGTAATGCAAGATTGTTTGAACTAAAAGTGAAGTAACTCATTAGTGAAATGAAGGATTACACTGGAGCATGGAAACTTCGCTAAATTGTGAAGCACTGCTTTTCGTGTAAAGTTGATCTATTTGTGTTGGACTATGAAGAGTCTGTTCACCAAGAAGAATGAAGAAATTGAATGTGCAGTTTTTAAATATATATATATATTGTATATAAAATAAAGGGGAATGCCATTGGAATTCACTTTGATGAAACATGTATAATAGGGATACTCTTCACATGTTCTTGTAAGGAAAGGTGCTACTACATTTACTAACTAAATTGTTGATTCAGTCTTAAAATATCTCAATCAGATGCTCGAACACACAGTACAACACATTTCCTAGTACAGTGGTACCTCGGGTTACATACGTTTCAGGTTACAGACTCCGCTAACCCAGAAGTAGTGCTTCAGGTTAAGAACTTTGCTTCAGGATGAGAACAGAAATCGTGCTCCGGCGGCGCAGCGGCAGCATCAGGAGGCCCCATTAGCTAAAGTGGTGCTTCAGGTTAAGAATGGACCCCTGGAACGAATTAAGTACTTAACCCAAGGTATCACTGTATCTGCTTGTGCCTCGGCTTTCATACTGTTGGTTGCTAGCTGTCGTAGCCAATATGAAACCAAGATGATTGTTGTGAGGGGAAGTGGGGTGTGTGGGAACTGTCATCTGATTGTTGAAGTGAACATAGGTGTAGCTGAAATGGATTCTATGTCTTTTAAGCTTTTGATCTGCTGAATCCACTCTGCGAAAGCAGGAAGAAAAAAAATGAAGCTGCTGCTCGTAAGAGGATTTTTTTCTATTGTGATTGGGTTTTTTAACACCATTTTGTATAATATTTATGCTTTTCTTGCACATCTAATATTCTGAAAGTGCTAAATAATTTTTTGTGCAAGTTAGGTAGGTCAGAGGCCATTTGGGTTTGAGCCCTTTGTTCTTGCATCAAATAAAACTTAATGGGGGTGGGACAGTATTTAATGCTACTCAGATGTAGTTTTTCATTTTTGTCAGCTTAATCCAACACTGAAATTAATGAAGGACAAGTGTTTTGATTTAGCTTTTCTGCAGCTTTGTAAAGATGTAAAGTTGATAATTAAACAATTAGGAGTGTGTAAGCTTCTCAAGTGGAGAAACTAAGACTGGAAAGGAGGTCCTAAATTCTAGATATGGCAGTCTACTCTAAGGGGTTAGAATCTTGATTTTTACCTTGACATTCATACAGCAAACTTATGTTCCTTGGGTTATGCTATAAATCCTTTTTGTTCTACACCATTAGTCTTAACACGGTAGTTCTTGTCCAGTTATGCAAGATGGATTGTACAGGGACATGAGGGCTGCTCCTAGACCTTCTCTGTGGCAGACTGCCCAACTCTGCTCTGCTTGAATCAATGTCCTATCAGCGGCTAGGCACTTACTTCATTTCTTGGCTCTGTTGGGCACTTAAAACAAAAAAGATGGAAAGGTCTTTAGATTTTAAGACTGCTTTATTGTGCACAGTGCACTGAACTTGCTGTAGCTGCATTTGCATTGCTGTGGGGTTTTTGTTTTGTTTGTTTGCATTTTACTGCGACATTTGTTTTACAAGGGCAGCAACCTCCTCCCCACGACATATTTTGAAGAAAGGGGTGAGACTGAAAGGACTAGCTCCTCTCATAAGAGTAATACAGACAAAATATAATGCAAAAGGGAATGGGATCTGTTCTTCAGTGGCAAATGCGGTGTGTGTCCAATGATCTCGTCTTTAGGTACTGCCAGACTACAACTCCTTTAATCTCTGATCCATTGTCTGGGATTGATGGGAGTCCAAAGACATCTTAAAAGTCCACACGTTTCCCACCTCTGGTCCAGGCAATATAGAGAAGCAAGGACAGAGTAACAGCTAGTCTTCAGCACTCGTATAGTTTAGAATACGCAGTGAAGGAGACCTTCGCTTTACATTTTATTGACAGGTGTGATTCCTAGAAGCTTCATTCCATTAGCCAGGACGGAGCGAACAGCCTGGAACAAACAGAGCCTTGCCTGGAAAAATAAAAGGTGGGGAAGAGGAGGACACTAATCAATTGCTCCCTTAAACAGAACTAATTCAGTAAATCTTGAATGTTTTGTGCATGCTCAACCATAGCAGAATTACAAACTACTAAAGAATAACAACAAATGTTAAGATGCCCACTTTGCACCAACAGCCGTTTCTTCCAGAATTTAATCCTAGTAATGCAGAAAGTCTGCTATTATCTGTTTCACAGACACATGCCTATATTTGTATCCTTGTTCCCCATGCATAATGAGAAGTAGGTTGAATGCTATTTCAGCTGAACATTACCTACCTCTCTGCAGTGAATGTATTTTTAGGGCAGAAAATACACTACGAACCGTATGATGTGAAGTACATATGCATGCACACACCCTGACTATGGAAATGCTGCATGGAAGACATGCTCATGCATAGTGATGAAGTCTTAATCTAAAATTACAATACATGAAGTGGTCTTAATACACCTAGCTCAGCCTTCCCCAAGCTGGTGCCTTGCAGGTGTTTTGGACTATCGCTTCTATGCACCCCAGCCAGTACAGAAGGCTAATCTAGCCACTGATACACGGTCTATGGCACCAGGAAGAAAAATGTGAAAATACTTGTTTCAGACAATTGCCTCTTGATGAAATACAAGGATATCCTACATCCTGCCTCGCCTACATCAGTAAATATACCAAAGGCAATGTGCTTTTATGTTTCACAAATAAAGGTGGACAGAAGGCTCTGGTGGGTGCTGTCAAGTTGAAGACAGATGAAGGGAAGAATTGACCACATACATTGGAGCAGTTTCTTTTCAGCACAGTTGCAAGAAATCTACCTGGTAGGTTAAATCTGTTTGTCATTAATTTGCCCTGAGTAACAGTGCAAACCCTATTATGTGTCCACTCACGTCTTTTGAGTACAATGGGACGTACTGCCAGCAGTCGTGTGTAGTACTGCGGCCTAAACAGATTTATTTAGACTGCAACCTTATTTGGGAGTAAGTCCTACTGAGCTCACTGAAGCTTCTGAGTAGGTATATAAGGTTGCGCTGTTAAGCCTGCAGCTGTATTTTTAGTTGATTAAGCAGCCGGAGCTTATTTTAAAATCGGGTAAACTCAAACATTAGTGCCACACGTTTTTTGTCTTAACGCCATTTTGATTTGGTGCACTACTTTGGTGTGCTGCCAAAATAGGAAATAAAGACAAGCAGAAAATAACGTTTTCCAACAAGGATTGGTAGAGTTTATTAACTCACTAACCCCATTTATATCATTATCTCAAAAGAAAACACAAAACCACACCAAACCGCTTTTCACTCTGCCTCTGTTTAGAACAGTTCACATATCTACAGTATTGGTAGTATTTTGAGTGGCACTATAAGGAGGGAAGTGGGTAGATTTATTCTCTCTGGCTACAAAAAGCCTGAGAAAGCTGAAGTCTAACCAGAATGGGAAAGATTCTCCACGCTAAGGAGAAGGCCTAAAGCGACCCTTGGCAATTGCAGGAAATGGCTTATTTAAGCAATGTATCTCCTCACCCCCACAATTATTAGTATGGGGCAAGAATACATTTTAAGCTAAACCAAAAAAAGTATGTACCTATTTGATATATACCCCACCCTTCAACAGACTGCCAGAACAGACTTCTTTGCATGTTACACATCTCAGGAGTAAAACATTCTATTCAAATAGTATCTATTTTATTTTACCTCTGCTAGTTCCGGAACACTGCCTTTCACAGGTAGCATTTTGTGAGCCACAGCTGCTAAGTGACTGAAACAGAAACAGTGATATGAAACAAACTTTTTAAAAGCTGCAACCCTCAGTACGCATCTAAATTCAGTCGCATTTGTTAGGGATGTGCAGTGAACCCAAGAATTGCATTGTATCTAGTTTTTTTAAGCAACCCAATCTGTTTTGGATCAGCTGTGTGTTGTTCTAATTCAATTCCATTTTGGGGGCCCAAATCTGATCCGTTGGGTATGAAACTCTATTTTATCCATCTCCCCATTCACTATAATGGGGAAATCTATAAACTGCTATAACTTTATTTACTCCTCACATATAACTGAATGATATTTGCAAGCAAATGACCCCTCAGAATGGATGAAACCTACCAAATGGATCAGGCATCATGGAAATTAATGGATTTCCCTGCAGGGAACCTTTGATGTTACTTTTTTTTAAAAAGTTTGAAACGTTTTCATTCTCTGCCAGAATTGGATGCAAATTTCAAACCTATTTGTTCCTACTTGAGAGGGATGAAGCCTGCCAAATTTCCAAAAGAGAGATAAAGCAGTTCTCCTGTAAAGGTGGAAGTAACCATTTTGGAGTGGAAAAATAAACATCACAATCCCTTCTTTCTTTCTTTTTGCGGAGGAAGCAATTAGTTTGAAAACTGGGTACATGAGGAAGGTGCCCCTGGGTAAGAAACTTGTCAGAGTTCAAACAAACAGATCCAGGGGCTATTCTGCCAGGTGATCTGACTTTTGCAACCCACCCCAATTTGCCTAACTCTAGCACTTGCATGGTGCTCTCGTAGCCCAAACTCAGAAAAAACACGACCCAGGTATTTAGTTCAACATCCCTCCCTCAAATCACAGTGGTTGGAGTCCACTGTGAAAATAATCAACTCTGTTTTAAAAGCTAGACCTGTCTATTCGAGCTCTGGGCATTTCCCCAGTCAGGTTGGTTTCTGTTTCTCTGAAAATAAAAGGGGTTGTGGGTGGGGGAAAGGATGAGCGTTTAATTAATGAATGGGAAAATGAAAGCAACAGAGTTGCTCGGAAGGTTGGGCACTCCCTGCTCCATCACAATAGGCCTTATCAAGTGTGTGATCCAACTTGATGATGTGAAAGGCTACTTCCGATCACCCCTATTTACCTTGCCATTGAGCTTTGTTACCAATGAAATTTACTTAAGAGCAGCTTGAGTTCTATAACACAAGGGTTACCAACAGAGAAACCACCACAGTTTGGATCCTTCTGCCAATAGAACAGTCATTTTCTGATCTATTAAGATGAGCATTACGTGAGAAGCGACTCCTCCCAAACCGGAAGAGTTTCTTCTGTTTGACAAGGTTTTCCTCAATACCTTTTTATAGCCCACTGGAATTTGATAATTTACTCACTATGTTTCTCATACTGTAATACGGAGGGAGAAGGAAGAACCTGTGGCTTCCCAGAGGTTGCCTGACTCCTAAACTCACATAAGTTCCAGGCAGCGTGGCTAATGGCCAGAGATGTTGGGAGTCCAGAAACATCTGGAAGGCCACAGGTTCCTCAGCCCTGATTTAACGCCATCCCCAAGGCACTGCAATCCTTCACTGGAAGAACTATTGCCTTGCCACACTTGCACAGGAATGCACTCAAATAATACCACAAATACCTTTTTTAAAAATTTTTAAAATTATACTTGTGGATCTCTGAATCCACAAGGAATAATCAGCAGGCTTGGAAAAATCTTTGCCCTTGTTTTTATAGGAGGGAAACCTTTGCTGAAGTAAAAACAAAAACAAACCCACAACTTTAGGGGGCACAAAACCGGGGTGGGAGCACCTCAACACAGCCACCATTGACTGAACATGCCATAAGATACTTTTGCAGGAGTGAATAGGAAAACCAGACCGTGCATTCTGGGAAATGGAAGGACACCACCACACATTTGTTTGCAGATCCCACAGTTAAAGTTATTACTGATACAATGGCACGAAACAGTGACTAATGCATAGCTCTAGCCCTCCTACAGAAGTTGTACATGAAGAGCCTGCTAATACTTGTGCAATATATTGAAGATGCTTCTGCAGAGTCTTCCCCTCACCCCCATAAAAGCAAATAAGCTTTAAATGTCATGTACATTTCAGTTCTATTGACACTATGCACTGTTGGCCTCAGTCACTGGACTGAAATCAGCTCATGAGGTGCCTTGGGGCAAAATGTCTTTATCAGACTCAGATGATGGACTTAACAGACCATTAAAAGTAACTGGTTTTTCTAGTTGAGGCAGATTCAAGTTCTATGAATTTGCACAGGGTTTCCTGGACAGTGTGCCAGAAAGAAAGGGGTGGCTCATTAAGGGTGGGAAATGAAATAACACTTGACAGAAGGCACATTTCAAAGTTTTCAAGCCTGATTCACAGAATGCATTCTCTTCTGAGGCTTATTATTATTATTAATGGAAATGCAGTATTAACATGTGAAACAATGCTCAAATGTTCAATCTAAAGAAGTTCATTCTTCAGTGAACCACAAGTTTAGGTTCTAGGTATAGATTTGGCTCTAAATAAAGCCTAAACTTCCTCAAGTTTAGAATGAGGGTCTGTGAATCTAATTATATCAAACTACTCCTTATCAAGCTTGATTTTTTAATTTTTTTAAGTAGGCTGAATTCTTGTCAAAGGGTAAGACGTTTCTCTCACCCACTCACCTACCTTAGTTTAAGGAGATAGGCAACAATATGCTTGGGCTGGAGATCTTGAGAAGACTTGTAAAGAATCTCATCATACCTGAAGAGAAATAAATTGAATAGCTGACACATACTTCAGAATCTGATCATAGCTAGGGTACACCCAGGTCACATCTATATTCCCATACTTATTCTCATTTAACACTAATGGAACACATGTGATTTTCTAAGCAATGTAGGTATATTAAAGGATGAGGTAGCCTGTGCCTGGAGTCTCACAATCTAATAGACATGATGCACAGTCTGAGCAGTATAGTAAGGATAGTATAGTATAGTATAGTATAGTATAGTATAGTATAGTATAGTATAGTTTTAGTACCTTGGGTTACATACGCTTCAGATTACATATGCTTCAGGTTACACACTCCACTAACCCAGAAATAGTGCTTCAGGTTAAGAACTTTGCTTCAGGATAAGGACAGAAATCGGGCTCCGGTGGCACCAGGAGGCCCCATTAGCTACAGTGGTGCTTCAGGTTAAGAACAGTTTCAGGTTAAGAACTGACCTCCGGAATGAATTAAGTACTTAACCCAAGGTACCACTGTCTAGTATAGTATAGTATAGTATAGTATAGTATAGTATAGTATAGTATAGTATAGTATAGTATAGTATAGGTCCTTCTATCACCTTCCTATACTGGCCACCAAGCTATATCCCCCTGAGTTGGAGAGCGGTGTCTCTCTGAGGCCAATTTGCCTCTTTTTGATGTTATTTATGAATTGCCTCTCCAGTCAAAAATGCCTGAGGTTATATAAAATTTAAAAATATCTCCAAAACTTAGTTTGCAGTCATGGCAAATCACAAGTTAATCATAAGTCATCAAGGAAACCATGTCTTGTTTCTCACAGAAAAAAGTATGTTTTGTTTTCCAGCTGTTGGGTTTACACAAAACAGAAGGCCTTAATTAAACTAAAGTTTATATGCCAACAATAATTACTTCCGATTATGGCAGTAAAGAAATCATAGTTAAGATGCTGGGCAGGGTTCACACATAACAATAAGCTTTGGTTTAATAAAACAATGGAGCCATTGTCTCTAATGGGACTTCAGCTCTCAATTAAGCAAGCAACTAAGTGAACAAGCAAGCAGAAGTTTGCAACCTATATTCTGAATACCTGAGAAGGTGCTGAATTAGCGAAATAGCCTGTGGATCTTGTAGGCATGCAGCGTTTATGCGAGACGCCTGATTGACTGCTCCACACATCTCTTCTAAACTGGGTGGAGAAAAAGACAACAGAAATATTAAACATCTAAAACGTCTACACAATTTTACTGAATGGAAAAGAGCCACATTGCCTTTTCATGAATATTTTCATTGCATTCAATGGAACAGTTTTGCTAAAACCGAACAAAAAGCACTTGAGGAAATTGGGAATCCTAAATCCCAAGATTAAGAAACAGTGGCTGGGATCTAAAGAGTTGTTTTAGTTGTGGTCAAGGCTTTGGGTTGGCCCCCTGAGGTTTTCTTGGAACAACAGACCCTGACCCAGACTCTGGCCATTTTCAACTGCACCTCTTACCTGTGCAGTCTGGCGTGTGTGTACTGCAGGAAGACACCAGTATCACCTCGGCTCTGGAGAATACGATCCCAGTTGAACTGATAATCAGATACTAGGAGGCCCCTGAAGTCCTGAAATGGTAAGTTATTCAAGCATCTTGTAAACCCTGACAGCATCACTTTACATTTTCTCATGAAAGGATGACAGCATCAACAGACCTGAATGATAAACGCTGCGAGCCCAATCCTCTCAGCTGTCTCAAGAGGGTTGTCCAGTTCTTTGGTTGCTAAGTAGATAACAAAAGGTGAGGTGGGGAGAGTGCCAATGGCTGCATTTCAATGTCACACTAAACTGTGGATTGGCGAAGCATATATGAGCGTTCTCCTGGGCTTGCAGATTCCTTGCAAACTCCCTTATGCTCCTGCTGCTTAAGTAGCAGAAGGAGTTCACAAGTTTTCACATCTGTTTTTGGTTAACCGCAGGTCACTGTGCCATCTGAACTGGCACATTGGTCAATGCCTATAGGGAATTTTAACAAGTCAGCTTAGAAACCAAGGTTTGAAGTTGTCTTGTTTGAAACTAATTGTAGCTAATGGTAAGCACCATTTGTTGGACTTGGAGGACACAACAAAAATGCTAAGGCCAGGCAGGCATTTCCATTTGCACAAGCATTACGTTAATAAGAGAGACTGGTGGCTAACTTTTTGCAGAAGCACTTTGTTCTATCACCATGGAGCGAGCTTCATCCAAAACATCGTCAAGGAAAACCACTTCTCCTCTCCGAGTCCTCATTCCTTGAACTCTTCCAAAGGGCACATGCTGGCACCTGCAGGAGGACAGGGGACCAGAAACTTCAGTTGTTTTATTTTATCACCTTAAAGGGGGGGAAAGTGCCATTTTCCAAGGTAAAAATGTTATTCCTTCTGAACAGAAATAATGTCAGCGCATTTGGGGATTCACAACTGTGCCCAGAAAGAAATTACTTTGTAGTTCTTAATATCCGGGCACATGTACAAACATGAGGCGGAGGAGAAGGGAGATCATTCTTTCTGGCAAACATAAATTGCTTGCACTGACTGAACAATCAGAAGAACTCAACACTGAATTCCTCCAATAGGGCACCTTCAAAGCCTTAGTATGCCATGAAAGCATAGATATACAGTATAAGGGTTGCCATGTATTTCAAAAATCGAAAATCTGGATAGAAAAGTTGTTGAGCTTTTATTAGCGACATGGACTACCATATGTCCAGATTTCCCTGGGCATTTCAGCAATTTCTCCCTGGACGCTGCTTAAGGGGGTTGCATATAGGACGTATGGCAACCCTGCTATAGATATAGATAGGAAAGTACACATTTACCTTTCTGCCCATTGGTAACCCATTAATTTTAGTATCTGGAAGACCTGTTGAAAATGAGGGATCTGGCTTTTATCTGTCTTGGAGAAGGGGGAAAAAGAAGGAATCATTAAATGTACATTCAAACAGACACACAAGTGGAAATGTTCATATCCACAGTGGGACAAATAATGGAGATGAAGTGAGGATGAAACTTGTGTATCTGAGAACATGATCTTCTAACATAACCTTTGGGAAAACAGTCAGGTATGCAAGATCAAACTCGACGGAAAGATCCAGTCTTGAGACCACCACCCATCTCCAAAAAAGTGTCAGAAAAACTCCACCCTCACAACTTTGAAAGCTTGTCACCTTTTTAGTTGTTCAGGCCACAGGTTGTGCCAGAGATTCTGGGCTATAGCCAATGGCGTCCCTCCATTGATGGAAAGCTCTGATCCAGCAGAAGCTTCCATCCCTGCCCCGCAAGCCAATCTCACCCCAGCACTATATCTACTTTCATTTTATCTTTCCTTTTGCTGCTGCCAAAGTCAGTGGGGTTTGAGGGCCGAATCAGAATTATGTGTTTGACGGGCTGGGGAGCTAGCCAGCCCTGCTGTACACCCATCAGTCTGCAGGACAGCCAGACTTACCACATATATCATAGTGTCAGGATTCCATTTTTCCACTCTGTCTATAGCAGCAGCAAGATCTCTGGAAAAGAAACACAAATACAGTCGTACCTCGGTAATCAAACGGAATCCATTCCGGAAGTCCATTTGACTTCCAAAACTTTCGGAAACCAAAGGGCGGCTTCTGATTGGCTTCTGGAAGCCGCAGAAGCCCCGTCAGATGTTCAGCTTCCAAAAATAGTTCGCAAACGGGAACACTCACTTCTGGGTTTGCGGCATTTGGGAGCCACAATGTTCGAGAACTAAGCTGTTTGAAAACCAAGGTATGACTATAAGACCAAACGAAACTTTCCAAAATTAAACAAACTTTAACTTACTCATTGTTAATCCTTTTGCGATTATGATTTGCCACTGGTCAATATTTTGTCATGTCCGTCTAACAGAGGATAAGGCTGGCTGCAACTCTATACTGAGAAGCATCTCACCAGGTAGGCTGGAGTCCCATTTAACTCAACAGGTCTTACTTTGGAGTGGATACGTATAGGATTGCTCTGTAATAGCATCAGAATGCTGGGCCATTTCTATGGCAGCACCTAGGCTATAGAACTCCTTAATTTTTTTATTTCACAGAGTTTTTAGTGTGGGTGACAGTTCTGGGTGTGGTTTTTTGCCAAATTATTTTATGTTTTTGTTTTTATTGTATTAAAGTTACTGCTAAACAATCAGGCAAAAAGAATAACACTTGCCTCGTTAGGTAGAGCGAGGTTCCATCACTCCGCATCACAGCAGAACGGTCCTCCTTTTCCGATAGGTAAACTACTCCTGTTCCTTCTCTAGAAAAATGGAGAAACAGAAAACAATGAAGCAACCATATGCGATACACAGATGAATAGTCATAATCTCACAGCACACTTCTAACCATAGTGTACTCAAAAATAAGTCCTCTTTAATTCAACAAGGCTTACTCCTAGGTGCATGGGTTAGGACTGCAGCTTGTGATCACAATTCTACAATCACACTTATTTCTCAGTAATTCTCCCCTCACTATCCAGAATTAAGGTTGTTTTCAAACAAGGATGATTAGGGCAAGAGGGACTTTTCACAAAAAGGTGATTACTCCCTTTCCTCAGCAACTTTACTGTACCCTCCAGCTCACTCTCACACCTCACTGATCACCTATATGGCAAATGTCTATGCTTCTCTCTCTACGAACCAGGCCAGATCCTGTACACCCCACACAAGAGAAGTATGGAGGGTGGTCAAATGAGAATGGGCCTTTTCTATGGAATGCTATTCCCAGGGAGATATGCTTGGCGCACTCTGTCAGTTTTTAGGCACCAGGATGAGATTTTTCTGTTTACTCAGGACTTCAATTAATTAATACTGCCCTCTATGGTGGTGCTGATCTTTAGGACTTTGTTCTCATTAATTCATTGTTAGATGAGCATTTTATGCCTTTTGTATTGTTGGTTTTTTTAAAAAAAATCATCTCTGGTTTTAAATTGTTTTTAGAAGCTGCATTTTTGATAAGTGACGGATAAAGTAAATAAAAATAATAATGAATCCATCACGTTTACATTACCTTCACCCTTCCCATTCTCACCTGCCTGCAGCCTGCCAACCCAAACAACCTAGAGCAAACTTTTCACTTTGTTATGAATATCAGTATCACTTCAATACATGGCCCTTCCCCGCACAAAGCATGGGTAGGGAAACTGAGGCCAGGGGCCAAATGCAGCCCTCTACACCTCTCCATCTGGCCCTCAAAACTCTCCCCAGGCCACATCCCTCTCTGGCCCTGTTTTGCTAACTGCTTGTGCCTGGCTAGAATGTGCACTTCAACCATGATAACACCTTTTGCTTGTCTGGATGGAGGACACAGAGGGGTGTGTGAATGGGTGTAGAAATTAGCCTACTGTACAAAGGTAAAATTTACATTAGTTGTTCTTCCCCCAAAACCCAAAGTTCAGATAAGCAGGAGAGGTGAGGATGGCAGATGGTTCAAAAGCTGTAAACAGAAGAACCTGTTCGTACTGAGTTTTCTTAAGAAGTCCTTTCGCGTCCAGCATCTTTAAGACTTCTTGGCTTTTCTCCTGGTAGAACGATTCTCCAGAATATTCATCAAAGCACACTCCCAGGCGCTGAATGGCCCCACCAGGACGAAAGGAAAACAGTGTTACCATGAGACAAAGACGACCTTCATTTCTGTATGTGTGTCATTCTGAATCAAGGTGGTGAACTGAACCATACTGATTTTGTGTGCTTCTTAGAATTCCCAAGCAATGCCAGATGTGAGGCTGTTAGTGATATATAAATACTGAAAATATGGACCCGAGTTAGCACCTTGTACATCCGGGCATAGTCGTCAATGCTAATGTCTCTAAAATGTTGCCACAATGACACGGCTTGTTCTTCACGTGCCTCCAATTTTCTAAAGAAATCTTGCGCCAGTTTTTTAATGTTTTCCTCCTCTTCTGATGCTTTATTGGCCTGTACATAAACCTAAAGGAAATGCGTGAAAAATATGGGTCAGTATTAACTCGGAGAACTCTCTCCAACTAGGAAAGGGACCTAAGGCAGTGGTGAAGCACAGCTTTGTACTGAGATGGTCCCAAGTTCAATCCCTGGTGATCATGACTCGGTGCCAATGATCTCAGGAAGCAGGGAAATATATCTGGCATGAGACCTTGGAGAATTGCCATGCTAAAGGAATGAATGGTTCAAGTCAGTATAAAGGAAGCTTCAAGATAAAACAGAGTCTGAATTGTCCAACAAGGTTATCTAAAACACTGTCAAATAAACAGTACCACAATTAAAAAGCTATCAGATGCTTATAGCATTCATTCCACACAGGTGCTCAGTTAAAAGAGGGCATGTTTGTACTAGAGATTTGTTAATAGTCATTCCATCTTTCCAGAAACCCTAGTTATATATGCCTCCAGAGGAATGGTGGTATAAAATTAAACAAATGTAATGTGAAAATAAACAGTATTTTAAAGCTCAATTACTTTTTTATAAAAAAAAACTTATATACTGCAATTTCGCTTAAAAATAAGCAGTGTACAACAAGCAAACACACACATGCACAATTTAAAAACCACATTTCATCTTCATTTTGGAGCATGCACTCTGATTAACCTCACTCTTTCAGATTCAAGCTCTTTCAGACTATTTAACTGTGGATTAACGTACCTCAAAAAGATGCTGCAAAGGATTAGATTTTAGTTTTTCTTCAGAGCCAAACTGCTGGAAGCCAGCTCCCAACAAACCTGTGTTATTGTAGCCAATACAGTATTTGTTAACAAAATAACTGCATGAACTGCAAATTAATGACACAGTATTTTTTGACTACTTTTCTGCAATAGAATCTTACCAACCTGTTAAGCAAATATCAAGGGTAGAATAGCCAAGAGCATAGTGGTAGCCAACACCTGTGTTGCACCTCACAATAAGTCCCTATGTCACACTGCTGGTGGGAGGCCAGGTCACAGCGCTCCTCCTCACCAGCTACCTCTGTACTATAGCAGAGATCCTCAGGATTAGAGTTCGAATACAGTCGTACCTTGGAAGTCGAACGCAATCTCTTCCGGAAGTTCATTCGACTTCCAAGAAGAAGAAGAAGAAGAAGAAGAGTTTGGATTTGATATCCCGCTTTATCACTACCCGAAGGAGTCTCAAAGCGGCTAACATTCTCCTTTCCCTTCCTCCCCCACAACAAACACTCTGTGAGGTGAGTGGGGCTGAGAGACTTCAAAGAAGTGTGACTGGCCCAAGGTCACCCAGCAGCTGCATGTGGAGGAGTGGAGAAACGAACCCAGTTCCCCAGATTACAAGTCTACCGCTCTTAACCACTACACCACACTGGCTCTCCAAAGTGTTTGGAAACCAAAGCGCGGCTTCTGATTGGCTGCAGCCAAGTGGAAGCCCCACCGGACATTTGGCTTCCAAAAATAGTTCGCAAACCAGAACACTCACTTCTGGGTTTGCGGCGTTCGGGAGCCAAAATGTTCAAGAATTAAGCTGTTCAAAACCCAAGGTACGGATGTATAACCTTCCAGGACTCTCCTTCAGGCTCCTAGAGCTCTCTCCCAATGCCACATCCCTCACTGTTCCTGCTCTAAAACCTCCTTTCAGGTTTTTTTTTGTTTTGTTTTGCGTTTGCCAAGATGGAACATGTCCCTGGACTGTTCCAGTGCCTTTTTCCTGCCTGACTAGAGGTTGGAGGTTTGTGAATGTAAAATCCCCTGAATTTTTGCATGGCTGGAATACAGTCTATTGTGTGAAGTGAAGTGCCACGCTCATGGCTCCACTGACTTTTGCCTCTGGCTCCCACCAAGACTGGCATGCGCCTGCCCACTCCCACAAACGTTTCCCACAAGGGAATGCAACACATGGACTGAAAAGTGTTCCCCACCCCTGCACTATACATATCCTGAATGAGAAAAGGGGGGGGGGAATTACTTACCAAACTGCATGCCCCAATCTCCAAGGTAATTTACTCTTGTAACATGATGTCCCGTTGCTTCTTTGATATTTGCTATGAAATTTCCTGAAAACAGAACGTGACAATTATTGATCCCAGCAGCACACTTTATCCCCAAACACTCAATTATATGTAACCCACACTCTGCTTTTCTCCGTGACAGCCAACAAAAATAATGACTCTATAAGGACAGTTTCCTGCTGGATCTCTAAATACAGTGGTACCTTGGGTTACATACGCTTCAGGTTGCAGACGCTTCAGGTTACAGACTCCGCTAACCCAGAAATAGTGCTTCAGGTTAAGAACTTTGCTTCAGGATGAGAACAGAAATCGTGCTCTGGCAGCGCAGCAGCAGCAGGAGGCCCCATTAGCTAAAGTGGTGCTTCAGGTTAAGAACAGTTTCAGGTTAAGAACAGACCTCCGGAACGAATTAAGTACTTAACCCGAGGTACCACTGTAGTCTGAATGTGCTTTCCCAGAAACACTATTTATTCTACACATTTAATTCAATGTTAAAGAGCCTCCTTGTTTGCATTTTGTTCCATTTATCCCAGAAACACAGTAAGTTGACGCCTCTAATCTGTGTAAATGTTATTACTCCCATGTTACAAATAGGTAAAAAAGGCACAAGGAGGCAATGCAACTTGGAAGGCAATGAGCATAACAGTTGAAAGAGAATCTCAAGCATGCCATCCTTGTGCAGCAACTGTTTCTCATTAAACATGCAATCTCAGTGTGATCTCTCTGGACTCCATCCGGAGTTGCAATTCTTCCCGAGCTGCACTCAAAAGGAGGTCATGTATCCGTATCTCAAAGTTGTGACCCACCTGTTACTGCATCCTCTGTGAATTTGTCCCCTCCCTTCTGTGCTGCGTACGGGAACCCAAAGCTGGGAAAAGTTATTCTAACTCAGCTTATTCCCCACATGATGATACAGAAATTCTCTCTGATCTATGTCACAAGTTTTTTAGGATAAATGTCTTAACTTGTTTCGTTAAGTGCCTGTCTCAATTTTGCCTTGACTGACTTTTCCTACGGCTGACCTTTGATTTTGCTATTGCAGAGACTCAAATTCCTTATGAACGCCTACATTACAAAGGGAGAGAACCACATAGTGCAACATCAGGATTATTAATTAATTGATTGCCTATTACTTGTCTCAAGGCAATTCATAAGCAGACCATTACAAGAGCTAAGAAGTGCTTACAATTATACACACCCACCCACCCCGAAGATAGGTTTAAACAAAATTAACACCCAAGTCATATAAGCCAGAGCAGTTGGGAGCCTATTATGGTGCCAAAGGCAAACCATCCATACTGTGACACCACAAGTTGGGGGGGGGGGGTGGAAACACCCACGGCAAGCAGGCCGGTCATATGAGCATAGAACACAGAGCATCAACTATCTTACCTATTATTGTAGAGCGCAAATGACCCACATGAAACTTCTTTGCAATGTTGGGTGAACTGCAAGAAACAACAACAGTTACCATTTGAAGCTTCTTTTCCCCCTTGTCCGTAAAAGGCATACGTGCAGACACACATGCTGAGTCCTCACAGCACCATCTCCCAAACAAAACGGTTTCTATGTTTACCCCACACAATGAAAAATGAAAATGAAAATACAACTGGCATGGTAATCCCCAAAAATAACCTATTAAATTAAAAGCAAAGCCACGGAGTAGGATCCTGGGAGAAAACCCCATTCCAAAATGCACTGGCAGCTTTTTTGTTACTCGAGAACTAAATGTACTTTAGCAGTTCCCTTTGTACAACAAGACTTCTATGCGCACGACAGAACTTCCCCTTCCTCTCCTGCCACCCTGCTGCTCACCACACAGCCTCAAAATGTGCTCCAGAGAGTTGGGGGACCCGCAAGAGCATATTTTAGAGACACACAAAGGGAGGAGAGGAAGAATTCTCACTGTGCAAGTAGAAAACTGATAGCACTGCAATGGCTATAACCCATTACCTTCAGAGATTTATATGCTAATCCATAGCTCATTCATATACTCTTCATGCGCGTATTCATTCATATATTTTACTAAATGGGAAAATGTTAGTGTCATAGCTGAGTTGAGAGGAAGGGAGGATGTAGCAGGCATGCTACAGGAGAGTATTTAATATGTTTGAAAACCTGTAAGCACGGAAGCACACAATCCCTTAATAGAATTTAAACTTTCCGCTGTCATCTTTGATGCGGTAAGACCACCAAACTACCAGTCTACATAGATCAAGCTAGATATTTCCCAGGCCACAGTGGGACACAAACCAGAGCAGTCACTTTGGAGAAAGGATCAAGAAGATGACTAAAAACACTGAGTCAAGCATCATAGTGCATGGAAACGAAAGAAGCAAACAAAACCACTCAGTCCAGTGAATCTATGTTGATTCATAAGCCAAATATATTTGTGTAACCAGACTGCAGACTCCCAAGGTATTTTAGAAATATGCTTCAAAATAACTGAAGCTGTAATCTGCATTGAGTAAACATGTGCATGATTGTGCCTATGAACTCACCTAAACTCAATCAGAATTTTTCTTTTTGGCAATCCTGAGAAAAGTTCACTCTTTATCCCATACTTGGAGCCATCCTCAAACACTTGCTGCAACACTGTCTTGGAAGGCAAAATATGTATACAAAGAAAGGCATTCATCAATAATGAAGAATTTCAGAAACAGGTTGATATCTCTTTCACAAAAAAGCAATCAGTTCCACCTGAAAGTAAACTTCAAGCATGTTAAAACTATATTTTTTTTTTTTTAAATCATATTTATTAAAGTTTCCAGAAATATAAAAATACAAAGAAAAAAGACAAAAGAAAGAAAATATTTAAAAATCTTACTTTCAGTCCCTACTTTCTGGGACGCCCCCCACCCCCCCCCCCAATTGTATTCCCCTTTCTTTAATTTGGTTCTACAAGCTCTCACTCCCAATTTAAAGCTTAAATTGTTTAACCCACTATCCAGATTGAATTGTACAAATCTTACCGCCGTCCCACATCATTAACAGAAAAAGAAAAAAGATTTTCCCCAAGATCCACCCCAGTTCCTTCCACAAATTCCCTTTTTTTTTAAACACGTCCGATCAAAGTAAAATAACATGCGTAAGTTATGTAAAGAAATAGAAAATAAGAGATATAGAAAAATTCAAAAATGGTTACACCGCCTTTGGCGTTCAACTCTCCCCCCCCCCTTCGCCGGTTTGAATTCCCCATGTCCATCAGTCTATACATTATCAGCTTGGAAGTCTCATTTCATGACCAGATTTCTCCCCAGTTCCATCTTGCCGGTTTTCTTTTAGTTTATTAATTTAAATAATATTTGACTTCAAATGTCCAATCTAACAAAAGCCTTTAATTTCCTTGATCTTTACCACTCCTCCCGTTGTTCTTTCCGTGTCGTAATCAGTCCTTTATTCTTCTTATTCCTCACTTTCTCAGGTTTCTTGTCCTGTTCAGCTGCTAAAACTTTCTAATTCAGAAATCTAGTGTCTCTGCAGAGGTTTGTTATTCAGGAACAAAAACTTACGTCCAGTCCCTTTCTTTCTTCAATAAAAAATTCCATTGTCTTCCTCTGTAGACAAAATACTCTTTCAGTTTTGCAGCTTTCCCAGAAGATAACAAATCCTGTGCGAATCCCAGGGTATTTTTCCACTTACGACCGTTCTTGTAATATCCCGAAACCCCTCTAGGGGGATTGTAATAACTTTGTATCCTCTAATCCAAAAGTCAAATTGTTGCTTATTTTCCAACAGTTTGTATCCATATTATAGCAAATTATAACAAAATTAACCAGCAAGGTCCTCATAACAAAGTCCTCTTTATATTCTCCAGCTTTGACAGCCACTTTGACAGCTGTCAAAGTCTCCGTCTCTCTTCACCAGGCTCCACGAATCGCCCCGGTTCCCAGGGGGGGGGTTGCATTTTTCTTCTCGCCCTCCACTCTTCTCCTCCAGCACATTTCTTATAATTTCCCATCGTGAAATTAATGATTTTTATCAGAAACATACTTCCCTTTGGACCTTGGTTACCCAGTCCTTGTTTTGGAATGCTTACAATAGGGGGGGGGATTGACTTCCTTTTTAAATCGCCCCCGCTCATGCCAAATCCAAAATTTTGAACCCGGTTTCCCAATTTACTCACGGGTTGTTGTTAATAGTCCAAATTTTCAATAGAAGAAGTCAGCGCTCTCCGTCGAATGGCATGCGGCTGCGCTCGGCAGGGAAAGCAGTGGACTCAAAGCACCACGCCACTCCCCGGCACCCGATCCGAAGCCTTTAAAAAGGCTCCTTCACAAGTCGGGAGGGCGCTAATGGTGCAAGCCGAGTCACCCATGTCCACGGACTCCGTGCCCGTGGATTTTAAGGGTCCCCGCGTCGCCGGCGCGGTAGGACCCAGCCCCTGCCGAGCAGACTCCCTCCGGAGCTCGGAGGGAGTCCGCCATTCGGCGATGGCGCTAACCCGGAAGTCCCAAGCATGTTAAAACTATAAACCATCAAGCACACATCTCCCACTCACAGGTCTAACCTCAACAGCAGCTAACTTCAGAACTTCAACTCACCACTTGACACTAGTATTGTCAAACTCTCCTTTTCCTGCCATTTGTCTCCCCTCATGTATCCTGTCTTCTTGGCTTGTAAGCCCGAGGTTTGCATCAATTTAGTAGGATTGATGTGAGGTGCTTTGGAAGACAATACTTGTCTGAAAATGGGATCCAGGCCCAATTGCTGGACCAACCCCAGGCTGGGAAAGTGTCGTCCTGCCCCTGGCCAGCAGTCTCAACAGGGCTGTGCGTGTGGCTGAGACCCTGCTGTTCTGTAAAGCTCTGCTGGGAAGTAGCCAAGTTAAGATCACACGCTTACCTTGGAACTCGATGGGCCTTCCTTTCAAGCAGACACATACAGGATTGCACGATAAAAGGAGCGGTTGGTTCTCACTTGAGAAGTGTTTCACCAAGTGTGTGATCTGCTACCCAGAGAACTGCTGATTCTCAGAATTCTACCACACCCCTATCTATGCTCACGCTCTGCTTTGAAATCAAGCCTGCTCATTTTAAGAGGCCAGAGCTCCAGCAGCTTTGAATCTCCAAGCATCTGTGACACCACACAATGTTATCAAATATCTGTGGTGGGCTTGGAAGATTGGCAGCAGCCAGAGCTTACCTCGGATTCTGCCTTCCGGTTCAGTTTCCTGTATCCTCCCTTGGTGAACTGGGAAAGGCAGTTTGTTTTGCAGCATATTTCAGTGCTTCAGCATTAAACACCTCGTTCAAATCAACATTAACTAAATTTCTGTTTCCCCAGCTTTTAGCTTAATAAAATGAAAACCAAATGGACTGTTGTGGTTTTAAGTTGTATGCTTCACTCCCCCCCCCTCCGATTTTATTGTATTTCAGTTGTTTTTATTTTGTTACCTACCTTGGAACAAACATTTATGTAAATAAAGACTGTAACCATCAACATGCTAGGTAGTAAGCCCCATTGAAAATAATAATAATAAATTACATTTATATCCCAACTTTCCTCAAGGCGGTATACATAGTTCTCCTCCTTCTCATTTTATCCTCACAACAACCTTGTGAAGTAGGCTAGGCTAGGCTGAAGGTACAGTGATTGACCCAAAATTACCTAGTGAGCTTCATGGCTGAGTGGGGATTAGAATTCTGGTCTCCCAGGTCTTAGATCAACACTAACTGCTACACCACACTGGCTCTCATAATGGGACTTACTTCCAAGAATACATGTATATGTTTACAATCTAAATGTTCTAGAGTAGTATCCACACTGAAACCATAAGCCTTGATTTAGATTTCCCCCCATTTATATCCAATAGCATTTTCACTGCTTATATATATTGGGTCTTACCTTTGCTAATAATTCTCGATTTATTGTGAAGTTTACTGTTCCTTCACCTGCGCTGATTTCACTCACCACTGGATCACATTTTAACTAAAATGAAAACACATTGACAACAGTGGATTACACAATCAATGAGTGGCACAGTTGACGCTGTTTTGTTATCAGTATTATCCCATACAGGTAGATCTTAATTATATTTTGAGAGATTTCAGAACTACTTTATGTTGTCTTTCACTGCTGCTGAATGATGAGAATGGCATGTCCTTTACACAATTAACAATGCGAACACTACCAGCAGATGGTGCTTTTTAGCACCCATTACATGTCACTTGCTAATGAGCCTTACAATTAAAAGTTTAGACTTCCAACCCGACATAGAATTTGTATAAGTTGTTTAAACTATACAGTACATTTAAACATGTAACAGACACAGACACACACACACAGTTAACAGCTTAGGGCCCCACAGTTAACACACACAGTACAAGAATGTTCAGGAGTAGAGCATTAGTAAAGTGACTGCTTTCCAGATTACAATTTTATATAAAAATTGGTGATCGTAAAACCTTTGTAGAGTGCTGTCCAGAAGACAGTCACTGATGTTAACATGGAACAGGCAGACATAATCTGAGGTGCATGAGTTGTGGGGTTGCAGTATCCAACACCTGATCATTTGCAACCTACAAAGGTGAAGGCAAGCAACCATTTTCCTGCTCACTCCCCCTATGTGCAGTAGAAGCACAAGGAGGAAAAGAGAACACAGGAATCAGCCTTTAGGCCAGAGGTTTCCAACCTTTTTGAGTCCATGGCTCCCTTGACCAACTATATCTTTCTGCTGCACCCCAGTGGGGCTCAGGAGCCCTGTTATGTCACCCCTTGCCTGCAGAGCTGGCAGCCTCTCACCCTATTTCGAACACCCTCCCTTGTGTTCTCTCAGCCTCCTCTCCTCTCCTTGGGAGTCCTCCAGGCAGCCACTGCTGCTACCACCCCTGCCCCAAAGAGGTGCCTCCTCACACTACCCCACAGCCACCTGGGACTTGTCTGTCCAGACTCCATTCCCAACAGAAAGGACTGGATGACTGGACTCCCTCGCCCGCTTACTCCAAGGCCACCTCAGCTTCTGGCAACCAGCACCCCCTGACCAGCCCCAGAGGCGCCATTTGCCTGGGAAGCTTATAGCCAGAGCTGCTGCAACAAACAGCCGTGCATGCCTTTGGGAGGTAGAGAAGTGAGAGGGCATCAGAGGAGGGCAGGGGAGGAAAGAAGGATGAATGCCAGTGTTGCCTGCAGCACTTCTGACCATCATTCAAGGCACCCCAGGGTGCCATGGCACACTGGTTGAAAACCACTGCTTTAGGCTATATCAGGGATGGACAACCTCTGGCCCTGTTTAACCATTATGTCTACGCTATATAAATAGTCCCAGTCTGAATGTTCCATGCATTCACATACCTATGGTTTATTTTATTTTTGTTTTATGTCTGCTTTTGTTCAACCGTGATCTATAGCTGTATATGGACTACAGTGGTACCTCGGGTTAAGTACTTAATTCATTCTGGAGGTCCGTTCTTAACCTGAAACTGTTCTTAACCTGAAGCACCACTTTAGCTAATGGGGCCTCCTGCTGCGCCACCGGAGCACGATTTCTGTTCTTATCCTGAAGCAAAGTTCTTAACTTGAAGCACTATTTCTGGGTTAGCGGAGTCTGTAACCTGAAGCGTATGTAACCCAAGGTACCAATGTACTTACATTGTCATTAGATCCTGTTTTGATAATACTATATTGTACAGGATTTTGTATAGCCTTTTGTGGGGAAATTAATACAAATTGCTATTTTTTTTTAAAGAAAACCTTTGGCCCACCAGATGGTTGGACTCCACCTCCCATCAGCCCCAGTCTGTATGGTGAGGAATGATGGATGTTATGTAGCAACATTTGAAGGATCACAAGCTTCCCACCCTGGGGCTATGCTGCCCTGTTTTTAATTGAATAAACACATTACAGTAAGTAGATCTCCACATACCTTCTTTGCCAGCTTCTGGGCTTCAAGCTGAATATCTGACTTTGAGTAATTGCTGGAGCTAGCATCCAGCACAGAACTCACAAAGAGTTGGAAATCACACGCCTGCCTAGGGGATGAATAAAAAGAAGCAAGAAATTAAGGGGGGAAGCTTTTATTTTATTACTGCATTCTGGCATAAAGACCTTTATTTATTTGCACACTTTACTGAATAATTTAAATACAATTACCAAACACAGGGAGTGATCTTCCAAGACAAATACATGTACAGATGTTAGGCATTGTATGCCACCATCCACATGTTATCCAAGCAAACTTGGAAAACCTTTTACATTACAGATTTAGCACACATCTACAACGTATACATTAATCTAAAGCGTTAAGATAATTTCTCCATAGTGGCTGCTGCAACTGTGATGAAAGGGAGAATACTGTGCTAGTGTTAAATAAATGATAAAATGAGACCATACAGAGTCAAACACGTCTTCGTCATTCCTCTTATCATCCTTCATATCAAAATAGCCAATGTTTATTTGTACTGGATTTCTTTTAAATACTAAAAGAATTATAACAATTCTATTAAAAAAATTCCTAAATTATAAACAATGGCTAACTGAAATATTAGCAGCATCCTGACTTTTAGTCATCATCTTGTCTTACCATGGCAAAGAGATTTGAAGAAATTAAAATAATTAGAATATAAATTAGAAATAACTCTACCCTTTTCTTGACACTGGAACAGCATATATTGACTTAACCAAGTTTTCTGGCGGCGTCTCCAGGATATGTGAAAGCTAGATTGAAAACAAATGATCCATATTAGTTAGGGCAAAGTCAAGGCACACGACTTCTGAGACCAACAGTGTCCGGCCCCCCAACTTGTCCATCTTTCACCAGTGTGTGTGTGGGGGGGGGGGTTAGCGAGCTGCTATCCTTATAGCTAACTGCTCTCTGCAGTGACTCTTATGCAACCGCTGCATTCTTCCATCCCAGCAACCTTTCCAGGAGCACTGTAGCAAGGAGGAACCAGGAACCAAGGCGAGAAGCCGGGGCAGGGCGAAAGCCGACACCCTGGCTGCAGAATGAAGGGTGAGTTGTACCTGAGCAGCGATGCTCCTCCGAAACCGACACGCCGCCATGGCGCGCCCTCCACCCCCTGTCGTAGACTCGGCTCTTGGGAGGAGGAGGAGGAGCCACTCGGCTCCCGCCGCCAATCGGATTGTACCACTTTCTGTCCGGCAGGGCAGGCGCGAAAGATTCGTACCCGCCCCTCCCTCCCTCCCTCTCTCTAGCCCGGCTATGGCGGAGTGAGGGAGTCACATGACTGGGAGGGGCACAAACTAGACCGGCTCGTACCATTCTCAGAGAGAGGGGGGGAAAGGAAGACTACAAATCAGGCCCCGGAAGTGGCGGGAAAGGAGGCTCGAGTCCCGTTCGTGGAGTTTGGCCGCTGCATGTTGAGCGGGCTGGAGCCGCAGCTATGAGCACGTGCTCAGTCTCCAAGGTGAGTCAGGAGGGGGAAGGTGCGCCGCCCCGCCCGCCCTCCGCTTCAAAGAAGCCCCCCCACCCGCGCGCGCCTGGCTATCGCGTAGCCACGCGGAGGGTTCGCTGAGCCCGGTCGACGGCAACGGCGGCCGCGCGTGGTTCGCCGGCCGTTCCTTGGAGCATGCGCGTAGAGGACCCCTGAAGCCGTATCCTCGCGTTTTGCCAGTCCACACGTCGCGGTTGTAACGCCTCAGAATGGGCTGGACTGCCAGGGTGGTTGTCAGAGACGCTTCTTCCCCTTTCCTGCTCAGCTGTAATGAAGAAAGAGAAGCGCAGGAGATTCTGAGTCTCTCTTGACCACCAAAATGTGGAAGGAGAAAACCGGGAGGAGGGACAGAAATTCCTCTCCCTCTAGAGCCTTATCCAGAAATATGGCTGTTGTAAAAAGCGCACACATTGCACATGCTCTAATACGCCCAGCAGGTGGAATATTTGAAAGGTGCAGCATTTTCTCATCTGGAGATGCAGTGAAGGGATGGAAATTTCCACCTGTTGACTGTCTGACAGGCCTACATCAAGTATTTATTATAATTATTATAAATTTATATCCTGCTCTTCCCCTGACGATCACTTGGTGGTTTATAATATAGAAGCACAAAAATGCATAACATAGTAGCAAGCAAAAATAATACCCCCCCAGCCTAAAAAGGCCCTAGATTGTTTAATTAGCCAATTAAAAGCAGCAGATCCTCTACATGGTGGGGGTGAGGAAAGATAGCAAGCCAGTTCTCAGAATAGACTATGCCTGCTCTAGCAAAACCAACCACTTGACAGCCAGGTGCTGGCATGGACTCCTGTCTGAATCGTCCCCACCTTTTTATGTTTTTCATAAGTTTACCTTGGTAAGGGTTAGCACTTACCACTTCACTCTGCATATGGATGCAAAGAAGTTTGGCTTGGATAAAGGGAGGAAAGAAAAAGATCAGGATAAATGTGATTTTTCACATACAAACTGGTGTACACTGCAAGAATTAACCTATCGTTTGAAGCCAGGGTTGTTGTTAACCAGGGTCTGTACCCAAGGTTTGTCCTATGGTTACAGGCTAGGGTTAAGGAGGAGAAGCCTTAACCATGAACTTAGATTCAGATGACATGTTAAATCAAACCTTGACTTTGCTGCTATGCCATTCTGAGTTAAAAGGATGGGGAGGACCACAGTAATGTGAGCTCTTATCTGATAGTCAGGAAGTTTGGCCAATGCTGATAACCCATAGTTTATCATGACGTGCAAACCAAGCCGTTACATTTTCCTGCCAATCTGGAATTATGGTAAAATATTCAGTAGTTTTAGTCTTCCTTCCTTCCTTCCTTGTTACTTTTTAGGGCTGCTTTGTGTTCAAGCCAGATTCTAAGAAGGCGAAGGCATCTTCAGCAGGTAAGTACACAATATGTGTTATGAAACTCCACTTCCTAACAGTAAATTCAGACAGAATTTATATAACGATGCCATCTTTATTTTCCCATCTGTTCTGGACATCTTTTGTAGTAGATATAACATTTCCTCCAGTATCTACAAAATCAAGGTCTTGAGGGATTCTTTTTTAAAGGATCAGGTCATACTGTAAATTCCAGATTTAAAATTCTGCACTTGACATTTTCATTGTTTCCAGTGCTGGTATAATATTGAAAAATAGCCACTCTCCTAGCTTTACGCTGTGAATTTATTGACTGCTATGAAGGTCCTTTGTATTTTTAAAGGCAAGGATAGTAGGACAGTATGTCTATCTGTTTTCAAGGTAAGTAAAAGTGAAATAGTGTTCTTTTGAGTATATGAGGGTGCTTCTTAGATGTCATTTTGCTCCTTTCTTGTTCAGTTCAATCAACTGCATCTCAGCCTTTGACCTTCCTCTCTTGTCTGGCCATGGTCAAGTCTATTGTTCATCTTCAGCTTCCCATCATAAACTTGAAATGAGCCTTGGGCTCATGGATGGGTGTTGAAGGATTTTTAGCCAACATACATATGGTCTCATCCTTGGCAAGTCATTTTCTGTGAGTCTCAGTTCCCCATCTCTAAATGGAAATAATGCAGTGGCTACACCTCAGGAACAAAGGCAAGCGCACAAGGATAGATGTGCAGCAGCAGTGAAAAGGTGAATTCTGTGCTAGGAAGCATTAGGAAAGGAATTGAAAATAAAATAGCCAATATCATAATGCCAATATTCAAATCTATGGTGCAGCTACACTTGGACTATGTATTTTTAACTAGGAAAGGTCTTTTAAAAATTGAGTCGTTGCTAAAATAATCCAAAGGATTATCACCATTCTTGTATTGATTATTTTTACCTTATCCATATCCTGCTAGATTAGATTTTTTAAAATTGCCCTCCATCATTGGGAACAATAAAGGTAAAGGGTAAAGGGACCCCTGACCATTAGGTCCAGTCGTGACTGACTCTGGGGTTGCGGCGCTCATCACACTTTATTGGCCGAGGGAGCCGACATACAGCTTCCGGGTCATGTGGCCAGCATGACTAAGCCATTTCTGGCGAACCAGAGCAGCGCACGGAACCGCCATTTACCTTCCCGCCGGAGCAGTACCTATTTATCTACTTGCACTTTGATGGGCTTTTGAACTGCTACGTTGGCAGGAGCAGGGACCGAGCAATGGGAGCTCACCCCGTTGCGGGGATTCAAACCGCCGACCTTCTGATCGGCAAGTCCTAGGCTCTGTGGTTTAACCCACAGCGCCACCCATGTCCCTTTGGGAACAATACCAGGAAATAAAAAGCAACGTATTTCCAAGTTGAGTGCTTTTCTGTAGCATGCATTGAATAATATGCAAGGAAACCAGTTCTGCATACGTTTTCCATGTATATTGTTCTCTTTACTATTTGCCCTGAAAATATTTTGCAGGGAGGGATAAGGTTTACCAAATATATTATTTATTTTTCTTCAAATTTTAAGCTACCCTTTTTCATTAAGTTTACAAAAAATACAACAAAAATGATCAAACTAAAATATATTTAAAATATAAAGCCTTTCCATTTAAAATGATATATTATCAACGGATCACTAAACTACAGCACCAAAGAACCCAATTATACTGGCCACAGACATCTCAACCTCAGAGACTTATTGACCAGTTCATGAAGCTTGGGCTCAATTTGGCTCTTCACCGTTGGGCAACTGACAAGAATCACCTTGTCTTCGGAAAAATTGTTGTGTGAATCTATCCTCTGTAGAGGGCTTAATCAAGTAAATATGATACAACATTGCTCAAGATTTTCTATGGGCAAACCTAAATACTTGGATCCTCTTTCTCTTCTACACGAAAGTTGGAGTGACACAGAAAACCTAAAATGAGGGTGAGAGATTATGGGAGTTGTAGTCAGTAGCATCTGGAGGGCCAAGGATTTCCCATCCCTGACTTAAAGGAACATGGTGGTGAAATGTAATTAGGGATTCTGGCTACAATTTTATACCTACTTAGCTGGTAATAAATCCCAATGAACTCAGCGGGACTTCATTTGGGTTGACATTTATGGATACAGCATTCCATACTGAGGCTGTATAAATCTTACATCTTTCATAGCTATTGGTGAGGGTTTCTTTCTTCCTGAGCTTTGTCCTGACACCAGTTGCAACTCTCAGTTAATTTATACCTCTCCTGTGAAAAGAAATCTTCAGTATTCTGTTGCACTTAAGCTTTTTGCTTGAGATGAATTTTGTTTTATAAATATTGAGTGTGAATGTCATTTTCCTCCTTGTTTTTGTAGCTGACTATTTTAGTAAAGGCAATACTGACTCAGAGGATAGTGAGCTACGATTTGATACTTGTCAGTTGTTATGGAAACAGATTAAATGTGAAACAGAGGTGAGTGTTGCTGCTTTTAACATTAACCATGAGATTTACTTAAGTCAGATGTGTCTTGGGTGGGGGAAGGAAGCATTGAAAATGCTTTCAGTGAAGAAATAATGTGATATGCAGTCTTTTCTTTTACTTAGCCTGTTTGATGGGTGAAACAGCAAGACTTTGAGCAATATTTTATACCCAAACTACTCCTTAACCTCTTAAGGTACTTTTTGCAGACTACCTGTATATATTGTGGGTATCTTTCTACAATGTGTGAGCTGTTAGGAATGAGCTTGTACAAGGAGACAGATTGGACATCCCTAGAGCAAACCATGCATATGCTTTTTCCTGTCGAGAATGAATTCCACATTCTTGGTCATCAATATGCGTGTAAATTCCCCATGGATAACCTGGTAGAGAAGGTTTTGTAAATTGAAAGAGGGTTTTATTTTACCTTTTAGACCGTTCATGTAGTGCTGTTATTAAGACTTCAGTCTTCTGCCCTGTTGCTATCTGTAAATATGTAGCAATTGACCTAAACATATTTAGGCTTGAACAGCCCCCCGTTCCAACAAATATTGAAGGGGTCGAAGACACCTTGGCCCCCTAGAGTTGGCGCACCTGCTTATGGCTGACAGAAACAAGTTGGATTCTGCTTGTACATCTTGTGGTATGGCCTCAGCATGAATTCAACAATGTCACTGTCTCAGTTACTACTTAATTTGTTCCTTTTTTGCTGAGGAGCATTTGAACATAAAAGCTACTCTGTGGAATTTAATTTCTGTTGTCTTTGAACCGCTAAAGATATCAGATCTTTGACTTTTTAGGGTCATATCTGTCTTAAGTAGCAACAAGTAAGGAGTTGAATTTTTCCTACAACTGATTTTCCATCCCCCATATCCGTCTAAATGGCTTTAAGAACCCTGTACTCAAATAGAACATTTAAATCGGAATCATGAGTTGACTGAAACAGCTATGGAAACCACAGGAACAGTGTCTATAAACAATTGCCAGGAAACCTAAATAATTATGTGTTGCTGTATCTTGATTAACCTTTGGGGACTGTTCTTTAAAAATACACAGAATAACAATACGTCTCTTCATTCAGGCAACTAACAAAGTTCTGTGCATGTTATCTTTTTAACAGCAACTACAAGAGGACTTGAATAAAAAATTGTTTGATAACCTCATAACATTTTTGAGACAATCTCATTCAGACTTCCAAAAGAAGAAAACAAAATGGGCTTGTCGAATGAAGTCCAGTGAAATTCCCACTGCAGCTGTTGTTCTAGGTAACATTTTATCTGGCATTTTTATTTATTTATAATAACTGCCTTAACTTGGTATGAATCCTAAAATTAAGAGAAAAGAGAGATTGGGTAGAAGACTTAATATAGGCAAGGATCATAACATTAAGAATTGTTAATGGGCAGATTAGACATGTTGGCAACGTATTTGCCAAACAGGCAATAGCTTAATGCTAACACAGGCTTTTCAGCAGTTTGCAAAGTGTAAAAGCCAGTTACACAAACATTTAAATATAAACAGCTATAATTAACATGGGCAATAATGCAATCCTATTAAAATGCAATGTTGTATCCAACATCGCAGTTCCATGCATGCAACATACTTCTGCTTGTGCAACGGAACTTCCACTTCCTCTCCTGCCACCTGCAGTCCCCTTCCAAGCCCCATCTGCTGCATAGAGTTGGGGGACTGTGGAGCAGATTTGGCAGGCATATACGTGTCAGCATCACCCTTGAGCCAGTGCCACCAACTGGACTCATCCACTTCAGCCCCGACTGGGCTAGGCGAGCTGGGTAGCACTTCCAGAGACCACCTTCTGCACAGGAACAGGTCAAAGTGCTGCGGACTCACAGCTTAGAGTTGTGAGCACCGGATTCACTCCCACAAGAAGAAGACAGTCGTCGCACAGCAGAGTACAGCAGACTCTAGCAGAGTATATAAACAACTCGGAGAGCAGCTCTGTAGAATATCTTCTTTATTCTATCTACAACTATTATACAACTATATACAGAGCTAAATAGGTCTAAGCATAAATGAATGCTGCACTGCACTGAGTGTCTGCAGCTGCTCTTAGCAGCAACCTTATCTCTACACACGATCTCTAACACTCAGTCTCTCTCTCTCCCTCCGACACTGACTGACTGACTGACTGACTTGGTGCTGGAGCAGAATAAGTAGAGAGCAGAACACGCCTCCTCCTCTCTGGAGAATCAGCAGACTCCTCAGGAGATTCTTGGATATGGGAGGGGTGAAATCTCCTCAATACGGGGAGGAGAGGAAGGGAAAATCCCATTGCACTAATGTGTCCATTTCCAGTGTTAGATACAACCCACAATCCCGAAGGCCTGGGTCAAAAGATGAAAGGAATATCTGTATAAACAGGTGCATCTTCTACAGCTGGTCAATTGCCAGTACAGATGGGTCCTTGGGTTTCAGCAGGGAGCGATAACACTGGTGTTGCCAGTGAAAACTCATGTCTGTGTTACCATAAGGCATTAATCATCAGGCCGTAACAAGACTAATGAGTTCCATTTGTTGATCTTAATGCCTGTACCAAGCAGTTGAAGGGTATTTGGTCTTTCAGTAATATCATACAGAGCAGAGTTGTTTGGGGCTTCTACTTTTTTTAGATCTGTATGTCGGAAACGGGATCTGCCCCGGTCACATAAGGTGAATCATTCACTTTTAACAAGAAAAGAGCACACAGGCAGATGCACATTGCAGAGAGACAAACCACAAAGAGCTTTTCTCAGCTGAGCTCCATCCAGTACTCCTTAAGTCTGCAATGCTAACATGGGAGTAAGTCAATTAAATTCAGTAGGCCTTACTTCTGAGTAGACTTGGTTAGGATTACACAACTCCCTTCCTCTGGTAAGAGATACTGCTTATATCTGAGAGGATCACTTTTTCCATAGTGTTGCGTTCCTAGCTTTACTTCCAATAATCCTTAGATATTTCTCAGTAGACATGTCCTAGCAATTCTCTAAAAGCATGAGTGAGGAAAATATATTTTCTTGAAGATGGTGGGGAAGGTATAGAATATACAGAGCAGATTATGTATTAAAACTGATGAAACTGCTATTAAATTAACTTTGGTGTCATCCCAGACCAGAGTTTATTGTCTGAGTAAAATGTTGTTGTTTAGTCGTGTCCGACTCTTCGTGACCCCATGGACCAGAGCATGCCAGGCACTCCTGTCTTCCACCTCCTCCCGCAGTTTGGTCAGACTCCTGTTTGTAGCTTCAAGAACACTGTCCAACCATCTCGTCCTCTGTCGTCCCCTTCTCCTTGTGCTCTCAATCTTTCCCAACATCAGGGTCTTTTCCAGGGAGCCTTCTCTTCTCATGAGGTGGCCAAAGTATTGGAGCCTCAGCTTCACGATCTGTCCTTCCAGTGAGCACTCAGGGCTGATTTCCTTCAGAATGGATAGGTTTGATCTTCTTGCAGTCCATGGGACTCTCAAGAGTCTCCTCCAGCACCATAATTCAAAAGCATCAATTCTTCGGCGATCAGCCTTCTTTATGGTTCAGCTCTCACTTCCATACATCACTACTGGGAAAACCATGGCTTTAACTATACGGACCTTTGTTGGCAAGGTCTGAGTAAAATAGTTTAAACATTTTGGCTCACGTTGGTAGCTAGCAGAGATTTGTGTTTGCCACAACCAGGTGGTGGAGGGGCAAGGACTCATTGGATGCCACCCTGTGACTGAAGCTCAGGGCAACTGTGAGGCCTTGCTCTCCTCCCAAGCTTCTGAGCTGGGAAAGAGGGAAGGATAGGACTCATCTTTCCTTTTCTGATTCATTACATTTAATGTGTTGCCAAATTATTGGATATGTGCCACCTTCATTGCCAGAGCCTAGTTATTTCAGTTTTGTGTCTACACATTCCTTCTAGGGTGTAAATTATTTCTTTTGCCTTTGCTTTTCTATGCCTTTAGTTGTTTTGTTGCTTCTTCACTCAAGCTGCAGATCCCTTTGTTATATTGCTAACTGTCTTTGAACTTCGTCTCAGTTTTAATATGGAGAGCTAAAACAAAGGCCCAAACCTCCCTTGGGCATGCATTACTAGTTGCATGATCTTTGGATCACAGCCGGTGTGAGGGGAGGATGTCCTTTTGGATTTCTAGCTCTTTGCATTTTTGCATTTATGCGTAGATTTAACAGTATGTCCTCAGTTCCTTTGTCTAAGAGCCAGTTCTCATGTCAGCCTCATAATGAGGCATAACAAGTACAGAAGCTCCCCCTCTGTCTGAGCAATCTACTTCCAACACCACAAATGGTTGTAGATTCTAATGCACCCTCCCCCTCCCATTGTTTCATTCAGTCTGTCAGCATCTGCTTTCTCCTTGAGAGCAGGACATGAAAAAGGGCAAATGAGAATGCTGGAACTGTAGCAATTTAAGTCTGTGTTGAAATTAAATACAATAAAAAAATATACAGTGGTGCCCCGCAAGACGAATGCCTCGCAAGACGGAAAAACCGCTAGACGAAAGGGTTTTCCGTTTTGAAGTTGCTTCGCAGGACGAATTCCCCTATGGGCTTGCTTCGCAAGACGAAAATACCTTGCGAGTCCTGAGATTTTTTTCGCTTTCCCCCTTTATCTAATCTGCTAAGCCTTTAATAGCCTTTAATAGCCTTTTAGCAGCTAATCCCCTAAGCCATTAAGCCTTTAATAGCCGCTAAACCGCTAATAGCGCTAATAGCGCTAATCCGTCAATGGGCTTGCTTCGCAAGACGAAAAAACCGCTAGACGAAGACTCTCGCGGAACGGATTAATTTCGTCTTGCGAGGCACCACTGTATCCAAATTGGCTACTGGTAGTGTTCTTTCTTAAAAAATGAGATATTTATATTTAAAAAAAAATGGTTTTCCTTATATTTTCCACCTACCCACACCAAATAACATCCTGGATATAGTTTTTTTAAGCTAGCAGGCCTATTGTTCCTGATATTCTGTGAGGTTAAGCATTATATTGTTGTGTCTGATCAGTTTGGACATCTCCTGTTTTATGGTAACAGTTAGTGGCTTAAATGTCTACAGCCAATTCTTTGCCACAGAGAAAGTAGTGAAATACTATTTAAACAGCTCTTTTAAAAAACCCTGACTTCTGTCCTTCACATATTAGAAATGGTGACTTTGCTTATTACTTGGCCATGATTAATTTCTTCAGAAGTTTTGGAAGGGAAATAGGCACTGAGCAGTTAAGATTGCATCTTCTGACAAAAGTTGATTGCTTTATTGATCAGTCAGCCCACAGTTTATTTATCCTTCCTCCTACTTCTGATGTACTTGTAAATTTTCCTTTCCCTTATTTCACTAGAGAAGAGTATTAAAAATATATATTGACCTTTAAAATAAATTATGATATGCAAGGCAGATAAAGTAGTTGTTCCTGAGCTTATATATGGAACCTTCCCTTAAGTTAAAAATGTTTTTGTTAATCACTTTTTTCTAATTCAGGCTGCAATCCTATGGATGAATTTCCTAGAAGCAAGTTCTAGTTGAGACTTGCTGTACAGTGCTACCTCTGGATGTGAATGGGATCCGTTCCAGAGCCCCGTTCGCATCCTGAGTAGAACGTAAGATGCGTCTGCGCATACGTGGGTTGCGTTTCACCGCTTCCGTGCATGCGCGTGACGTCATTTTGAGTGTCTGCGCATGCGCGATCAGCGAAACCCGGAAGTAACACGCTCCGTTACTTCTGGGTCGCTTTGGAGCGCAACCTGAAAATACTTAACCTGAAGCTACTTCAACCCGAGGTATGACTGTATACATTAAAAGATATATTTAACTAGTACAATGTAGATATAGTTCAATATAGTCATCCACATTACTACTGTTTTACCTCTACAAATGTAAAATGACTATATGGTAAGCATGATAGAAAAGTATATTTTGTCATGTTTAAATGCAAACAGCACAATTCTGACTTGTCTTACTCCTAGGTGTCAATGTTATGGACCATGATCTGACATTTAAAAGCCTCTCAGAAGTTCTTCATGATGATGTTACTCCTTTTGTAGTGTCCCTAAGGTCCAAAGAATGCCCAGGTAAATACTGTAATAACTTGAAGAGGCTTTTTAGTTAAGTAGCATGTGGAATATGGGAAGTATCCCTAGAAATACAGTATATATAGGCCTTTCCATCATTAGCCCTGGCAGTCAATGTTTGCTTTCATCAAAGTTGTTATTATTATTATTATTATTATTATTATTATTTTATTATATTTATTATTATTCCCATCCATCTGGGTGGGTTTCCCCAGGCACTCTGGGTGGCTTACATAATATGTAAAGCAGAAGAAAAGATAAAACATAAAAAACTTCTTGATATAGGGCTGCCTTTAGATACCTTCTAAAAGTTGTACAGTCGTACCTTGGTTGACGAACGCCTTAGCAGTCGAACGTTTTGGCTCCCGAACACCGTAAATCCGGAAGTGGGTGTTCCGGTTTGTGAACGTTCTTTTGGAAGCTGAACATCCAGTCGGGCTTCTGCAGCTTCCAATTGGCTGCAGGAAGGTCCTGCAGCCAATCGGAAGCCGCACCTTGGAAGTTGAACGGACTTCTGGAATGGATTCCATTCGGCTTCCAAGGTACAACTGTATAGTTCTTTATCTCCTTGACATCTGAAGGGAGGGTGTTCCATAGGGAGGGCACTGCTGCTGAGAAGGCCATCTGCCTGGTTCCCTTTAACTTTGCTTCTCACAGTGTGGGAACCAGCAGAAAACCCTTGGAGGAGGAACTCAGTGTCTGGGCTCAGTAATGGGGATGGAGATGCTCCTTCAGGTATACTGGGCCGAGGCAGTTTAGGGCTTTAAAGGTCAGTGGCAACATTTTGAATTGTGTTAGGAAACGCACTGGGAGCATTAATATTCTAACACGACTAGTTCAGTGGGTTCGAAGCCTTTCATTCTATACTGGGTATCAGTTTGTAACAAAGCTTTTGTATATATAGCTTACAAAATTGGTTTGGGCATTTCCTATCTCTGGAATATACACACTAAGTGCAGAGATCTGTCTTTAGTTTTAAAAGTTCAGAAGCATTTATTAACTTTGAGGCATTGTTGTAGTGGATAAAATCACAAGCTATAACGATACCATGGGTGATATCCTGCTAAGTCTCATTATTCAGATTAGGCCTGTTGAAACCATGATTTAAAATGCAATCTAGGCTCTCTTGCTTCCTTCCAAGTGTCAAGAGATGATAGCCCACAATTCAGTCATTTTGCACAAGTGAAATTTCACACGTTTTGCAGTTTCAAGTATCTACTTCTACTATTTTTAAAAATATGGAAGGCAAAGGGAAAGATCCATTTCTTTCAAAAAAATATAACTGGTAGACTTACTTTGAATTCCTTTCTAGAAGAGAAATAAAATATTTTGCTTAAGTTGGAACTGGGCCAGAAGGACAATCTGACGGTTGAATGGTAGTGAGTGGCTTATTCCAAACAGATCAGCAAACTGACTCCTAGTTCTTTCTGTTCAGACAAGTTGGTAAAGGTGCTGTTCAAATAATGCAGAACATAAGAAGCTGTGGAGGTATCTTGAGTGCAAAGGACAAAGGGGGGTTTTTTTTGCAATGGGGTCAGCATGGAGAAGAGTTATTTATTTCAAGTACTTACACATAAGAGAGTCAAATGACTTTTGTATGTATTATGTGTTGTATATAAACACATTACAGGTTTGGTAACATTCCAAACAAAAAACTGAAGTTTGCCTGACCTCCTGCACTGTGTGATTGTCTTTTATAGAGATGCAAGTGGTCAGTGCATATTCAGTGCTTCTCCTATTGCCAGCTTGAGACCTTTAACTGGAGGTGTCACAAACGGAATCAGGAAATTTTTGTTTGCAAAGCACGAATTCTATACTGAGTGGTGCTGTTTTAAACTATGCAAAATAAGCACACTTTATTCAGTTTTCTATATTTTAAGAATCTAGGCTGAAGAACTTGGTTTACCTTTGATGTAAAATTGATACAGGATTTGGTAGGTTGGTTGGTTTAGTCCGTGAATGAAAATGAGTGAAGTGAGCAAGTCTTTGTCACATAATTCCTTGAAAATTACAGTTATTTATATTTTTTAACAAGATTGCTGAAAAATCTAACATTTTCATTATTATTTTAAATATTTGTGTGTGTATGTATATTTATATTGTCAAGGCATAAAACAGCTTCTGCAAAAGCTGATGATTCAGCTGATGGGCTGTCATGTAGATGTGGACTCATGCGAAGAAGAATATTCCAAGCCTTCCTCAAATCGGATACGCTGCTCCGTGGCATCTCTTATTGATTGGTATAGGAACATAACCAAGGTAAGCTTCAGAATTGCCTCTTGTAAAGTGTCACTGTTTTCCAGACTTAGTTCCCGCCAGAATTTTCCCTGATTTGCCCCATCTAGTTAAATAGCTTTATTGGTGAGGTGTCGATTACATGAAGATAAATCCTGTGTTGGGATAGATGCAAAGTACTTTAATGGATAATCCTTCTTCCTAGGGAATTCTGGGAATTGTAGCTGTGTGAGGAATAGGGGTTTCCTAACAACTCACAGCACATTTCCCAGGATTCTTTGGGGGAAGCTGTGATTGTTCAAAGTTGTATGATGATGCTTTAAATCAATAGCGCAGATGGTGCCTTGGTCTTGCTAAGGTAACAATTTACACTGTCAGTCTTAACACAAGCTAAGATAACACAAGAGAGGGTTTTTGTTTGTCCTCCACTCCACTTTGTATATATATGTTAATTACATGTATATTCCATCTCTCATTCACCATGAACTCCTCAAAATCTCCTATCCAGGCACTGATTTTAAGCCTATTTAGCTTCAGCAAGGTTGCTGCATCATGTTGCCTTCAAACCATGACCCTGGGGCGTTATGTTTGACGAGAGGTTTAATTTTCTTTTCGTACTTCCCCCCCAACATGCACTATGACTTCAAGGAAACCGATACCGAATCTCAATGCAGAAAAAGGGTGTTCTCTTCCAGACATCTGGAATCTCCTCCAGTTGTAGTTATTTTCAAAGACTTGGAAAGTTTCACAACCAAAGTTCTGCAAGATTTCATATTTATTAGCAGGTAATATGATAGATTACATAAGGGGGGGCGGGGTCTGTTCTAATTCATGAAATCAACTGATAATCTTGACTCGTGCCTGCATTATTATTATTTTTCTGTTTCATAGTAAGTACAAATGCAGGTTTGGGTTACTCTGTTGTGTCATTTGAATGTTAAATTATAGGCTGGGGGCACAGTGATGTGTACAATTCAAATGTGGAAGCAGACTTGCAGCCCACTCCTATGCATTCCCCCCCCAAAGTAAGCCAATATTGTTGCAATCAGTGCATGCTTACCTGTGAGTAGTATATCTCATTTAACTCAATGGGACTTTTGTTTGAGTAGTCACAAATGAAATTGCAAGGTGGATTTAGTTTTAAAACAGAATTCCAGGAAGTGTGCATAGAATAATAGCCAAAAGATATTTAGAGAACAAAATAGGAAAAATCTCTGGGATTTCTGAACAAACACTGGCCTGACGTAAAGTGGTGGAGCTAGCTGAGAAGTGGTCTAGAAATCAAATAAGAGCCTCAGCATAGTTTTACATTTTCTTTTGTTTTTTTTATTGACGCAAGCACGACAGTAACAAAGCCAGTGGCACTTGTGTGTTTTAAATATAAAATAGTGATTAGGCACAAAAGTCAACCTCCTAATTCTGTGAAGGTAGGCTTGAAAGTATGAGTGCATTAGTGGATGTAATCTCAAAGCCAGGAGGTCTCTGAGCAGCATCTTCAGGAGCAAGGACTGTGTTTGTGCCCTGCACCACACTTTACCTGTCTTCGCATCAGCAGAGGTAGAATAAATCATGCAAATAAACCAACATGTGAAAGTTGTACAGTGGTACCTCGCAAGACGAAATTAATCCGTTCCGCGAGTCTCTTCGTCTTGCGGTTTTTTCGTCTTGCGAAGCACGGCTATTAGCGGCTTAGCGGCTATTAACGGCTTAGCAGTGGCTATTAGCGGCTTAGTGGCTTTAAGAAAAAGGACACAAACTCGCAAGAACTCGCAAGACGTTTCGTCTTGCGAAGCAAGCCCATAGGGAAATTCGTCTTGCGGAACGACTCAAAAAACGGAAAACTCTTTCATCTAGCGAGTTTTTCGTCTTGCGAGGCATTCGTCTTGCGGGGCACCACTGTATTTGTCTGCATAGTTTACAAAGAATCCAGCCTTTCTTGCTGTGTAGTACTTAATTTTTGCTGCACACAAACTTGTGTGTTTCCTTTGTTCTATATATCACTTTCAGTTATAATTTGAACTTGAGATATGGTTAAAAGGAAAGCTTCAGATTTATTTATTTTTAATCTACTTTCAAATATATATTTCAGCTGCAGCTCTGGCTGTCCAGATGTTGCTGGACTCCCAAATCCCATTGGCCCTAGCCGGCACTATCAATCCTCATAGATGATGTAGTTCAAGACTGCAGGTTCTCCATCCTGCCTGCGGTCTTGAACTACACATAGTGCACTGAGCAGGGAGTTGGACTAAGTGGCCTCCAATCAAAACCCCATGATTCTGTGATAACTGGCACAGCACAACATGTACCTATTAAACTGAGCACAGTGTAATAGCCGTGTTACATTAGCCAACACAGGACTTGACAAAGCTCCTTTTTCTAATGTCTTCCTGGGAACTGTCAGCCCCTGACAGGCCACAATATGCAGCTGATTAGCTCCATTCTCTTTGGTATGTATCAAGTTGTACATGCCTAAACTAGGATGGCCAGAAGGATTTAAAGGCCACATTCCACATGAATAGAGGGTGCGAATTGTAAAATTATGTTTTTGCTTCTTTGTCTTATTAGTATTGACACCACTGTATTGTTTAATGCCAGGGTGGGTGATGGAATGTATTGCCCTCTGATCATGATATGCAAATTTAATTTTCCCTTCCTGTCTTTTTCTCTTATGTGCCATAGTCATTGTATACAAGAATTTCCACTGGTACTTATTTTTGGAATTGCCACCTCTCCAATGATCATCCATAAGTTACTTCCTCACACAGTTTCCTCTTCGTTATGCATAGAGCTCTTCCAGTCTCTTTCATGCAAAGAGCATTTGACTAAAGTAATTGACAAGGTAATTGCCTTTAACTACAAAGGAAAAAGCAGTTTTTATTAAACGATATGGTAAAAATAAAACTGTAGATTTTTGAATGCAAGGCAACACCTTTTTAGATGTGTCTTGTATACGTTGGGAGAACCCACCAAATTATGTAATAAATTGAAAGGAGCAAGGTTCTAATCAATGTTATTTACTTCTTTTTTTACTTCAGCTACTCCTGACAAGCCAGTTTCCCTTTAAACTTAGTGAGAAAGTTCTGCAGGTGCTAATAAATATATTTTTATACCATGATTTCTCTGTGCAGAACTTCATCAAGGGATTTCAGGTAAGAACAACACAGTTGATGAACTTTAGATGTTACACTTCTAGCAAATTTAGGTTTACTACTTCACTGTGAAAATTAAGGCAGTTTCTGGATCATAATAACACTGCAGACTGCAACTGGGTTTCATGTGATTGAGTACTTCCACTTACTTCCCTGCACAAACAGAACTGGCATGGAGAGGAGAAAAACCCTTCTCTTGATGTCTGCTTTCTGTGTACAAAATCCCCACATATGTAATGGCACTGTTTCATCTAGAACAGATTGATAGGTTACAATCGCTGATTTAGCTGGGGACCACGCATGTGTCTTACAACATTGAAATGAAACAACAGTGGTTTGGCTGATTGATTTCACTCAGAAGAAAAAGGAAATAGGAAATGAATGGGTGGGAAGATAAAATTTGTAAACTTTAACAAAATCTATTGAGTGATCGCTTCGAGAAAATACATGGAGTCAGCATGATATTTTTCTGTAACACTGCTGTCCCAGTGAATAAATCTATCAGATCAGTTATGTATACATTAATGGGCTGGTTTCATAACAATCCATCCGGTTGCATATTGAAAATGTACTCTATAACTGGCATAATTGCTATTTGTTTAGAGTATATAATACTTAGCAGCAGTGGTGTTGGTTGCGGTTGCAGAGCAGGGAGGAATGAGAAAAGCAAAGTGGTTGATTATTGGTCTCTGTGGATAATTATTCATTTGCCTCTTAGGGAAGCAAGTGATTTCTATAACCTGATTTACTGCCATATTTTTAAAAATGCATTGCACATGGTTTCAGCTTGATGCTAATTATTTAACAAAATAGATATATTTTTCCAATTGCTAACAATAGTTCTCATATTTTGAAAAATGAAATTTTGCAATCTCAGCATCGATATGCACTGTGATTACCTTGTTGCCTGCAGCTCTCTCTTTTGGAGCATTGTTATTCCCACCCACTCAGTGTGCTGTGCTGTGAGCTCCAGGAAGCTAGGAAGAGAACAGAAACATTATCACACAGTCAGTGTGAAAACATTCGAAGACTGCCATCTTTTAGAAGGTAAAAGATGAAAATAAATCACTGCCTGCCTTTAAGTGAATTTCTTTTTAAGTTTAGCTTTTCACATGTGGTTATATATGGCTCGTATAGTTGTGTGTAATTTCATATGAGACTGCATACTGTGCAGACAGGACTCTGGAACCTGGTCTTGAAAATGACCATATTCCAATGGATCTATGCATGCATGGGGGACAAACTGTGTTTGCAGCTAGAGGGTACTTTTGCCATTTTTGCTGCAGCCACTTGCTGTGCTGAATTTGCAAGCTCTATTTTAAACTGAAAATCAACTTTCCTTGATAGCAGCATGCAATGGAGTACCTTTAGCAGGATTTCCGGTAGTCAAAAAGTTGATCTTCCTGTGCCTTTCCCTCTATCAACTTGCTTTAGCTCCATTATTATTTTTTTACTTCATTTCCAAGACTGAGCTCCCTGTTGTTGCTATTAACCATCCAGACCTTTATCTAAGAGATTCTAAATGAATGGAATACTAATAGAAATTCTGATTGAAATGAATTAAGTGAACACAAAATTGCACATGGATATATTTCTCCCCCTGAGTACTGTCTGTCTGTCTGATTTGCCACCTGGTACACATAGCCTGGAAACTACTGTGTTAGATCCAGATTTCAATTTTTTTGAATGAAACATCTCCTTCTGTCCACAAAAAGCTTTTGATCTACAGTGAGGGGGGAAAGTATTTGATCCTCTGCTAAATTTGCCCATTTGCCCTCTGACGAAGAAATGACCAGCCCATAATTTTAATGGTATGTTTATTGTAGCTGTGAGAGACAAAATAACAACAATTAAGGTCCAGGAGTGGCCTAGCCAGTCTCCAGACCTTAATCCCATCGAAAATCTGTGGAGGGAGCTGAAGGTTTGAGTAGCTACACATCAGCCTCGTAATCTTACTGACTTGGAGAGGATCTGCAAAGAGGAGTGGGACAAAATACCTCCTGAGATGTGTGCAAACCTGGTGGCCACCTACAAGAAACGTCTGACCTCTGTAATTGCCAACAAGGGTTTTGCCACCAAGTACTAAGTCATCTTTAGCAAAGGGATCAAATACTTTTTTCACTCATTATAATTCTGACTTTTGTCTTCTGGGTTTATGGGGTTTTCCCTGTTGTTATTCTGTCTCTCACAGCTACAATAAACCTACCATTAAAATTATGGACTGGTCATTTCTTCGTTAGAGGGCAAGCGGGCAAATTTAGCAGGGGATCAAATACTTTCCCCCCTCCCTGTAGCTGGGAAATGCCATAGTAGAAAGTGGGAGGCATAAGAACGTAAGAAAAACCTACTGCATCAGGCCAATGGCCCACTTAAGTCCAACATTCTGTTGTCCCAGTGGCCAACCAGATGCCTATGGGAAGCCTGCAAATAAGACCTTCTTTGGTTTCCAGCAACTGGTATCCAAAAGCATACTGCCACTGATGATTTGTTTATTCCTTTTTTAAAGCCATCAAAGTTGGTGACCATTGCTGCCTCTTGTGGGAGCAAACTCCATAGTTTAACTATACGACTTTGATGGTCTCCTACTGCCTGCAGTCCCCCACTCCATCTCCAACACTATTCCAGAGGATCCCCCAACACTGGAGCAGATTTTTGGATAGTACAAGAGATCGCAGAGAGAAGAGAGAATTTGCAGAAGGTAGTTTTTCCACCCTTTACGCCAGCAAGTGCAAATTCTAGATCCAAGCCATAGTTAGTTTCTCTTACGTTTAGGAAGATAATGTGTAATATCCTTCACCATCATCATTATTATTATATTTTAGAACATGCGTATTCCAGATGGGACAATAACAACAGCTCATCTAGTATAAACTGGTAGATTCCCAAGGTTCCAAAATACTGTAATGAAGTCACTTCCTTAAAAAAAAAATATGAAAGAAATTATATTGTATGGTTTGGTCTGGCTTTTCATTTTTTGAAGCACACTTTTCTTTTCTCTTCAGGTTTGTTGAAAACCAAGTATCAAACAAGCAGACAGTTCTGCTGACAGATGATGAATGTTTAAAGGTAAAATGTAGGCTGACAAAACCCCTTAAGCTTTTAAACCCCTGAGTTCAAGCATTCTTTCCTACTGTGCTAAACAGCATAGTGGGACCAAGGAGCGGCCCTGCTCCCAGCATTGCTTCCTCCGTCTAAGCCCTCCTCCAGTATATCCATGCATACAGCATGTATGTTTGTAGGGAGAGGGGCCTCTTCACATGTAGTTGGACATGCAAAGGTTTTCCCTAGAATCTGGTGATTGTTCAGGGTTTGATGAACAGGCAGTCAACAAAATGCATGACAAGTCTTTTGGATAACATACATTTCTGTGTAAAGCAGGAATGGGGAACCTGTCTCAGTGGAGAGCTGCATGGTGGTAAGAGGCAAAAGTAGGCAGAGCAATGAATGTGAATGTTACTTTGGTACAGTAGACAAGTTTCTACACACATGTGCATGGACACGCACACACGCACACCCTTTTTATCCTGGCAAAGTAAGTAGAAGCATTGGAGTTTGAGGACACCTTCCAGCTGTGCAAAAACACTCAAGGAGGGTGAAAAGCAGGGCCAGTGAGGATATGGAGAAACCTAGAGGGTTGCATTTGGTCCCCAGGCCTGATATAAAGCAGCCAGGTGTTGCAGAATTACATTCCATTGAAGTCTTTCATGTTACACATTTGATAATGTGAGCCAAACCCATATTTTCATGTGTTACGTGTAACCAGCCCATTCACTAAGTACGGCTTGTTTCTTTGACCTGAGCATGCATAGGATTATATCCTTCCAGCAGCACTATGCTACTTTTATGTTTTCAGAAGTCAATCCCATACAGTTTAGTGAGGCTTGCTGTTGAGGACGGAATGAATTACAGCTTCAGATGTTTATATACAGAAATTCATGAGTCTTAGAAAAGTCAACTGAGGTCCAGTTTTTTATACGATACACAGTGGTACCTCAGGTTACTTACACTTCAGGTTACAGACTCCGCTAATCCAGAAATATTACCTCGGGTTAAGTACTTTGCTTCAGGATGAGAACAGAAATTGGGCTCCGGTGGCGCGGCGGCAGCAGGAGGCCCCATTAGCTAAAGTGGTGCTTCAGGTTAAGAACAGTTTCAGGTTAAGAACAGACCTCCGGAAAGAATTAAGTACTTAACCTGAGGTAATGCAGAATGTCCAGAAAGATTTATACCTGATATGCATTAAAATGCTGCTCTGTTGTCTTGGAAGTGAAAGATTCTCTTTGGAAGATCACCCTCCTCAAGTCATCTTTATCTGCTAGAAATCATTCATCAAATGAGAGACAGAGTGGCAAACAAGGGCAGTGAAAGCACCAGTGATTCAGTGCTGCATCTTTCCGGCTTAGATAAGGCTTTCATAAAACTGAAATTAAATCTTCCTCCTTTGGGAATTGTCAGACTTTATTTCAAAGTTATAACAACAGTTGAACTTAATAGAAAAACCTGCCAAAAACAACCCAATACCATCAAATAAAAGGCCATAGCACAAAATTATCTGTCAGATGCATCCAATAAATTTAGCAGAACTGGCACACAAATGGATTTCCTCTGTATATCTGTAAGGGGCTGAAGATCTCTAAAGTAAATTTTGTGTGATAGGAAGATATAATCTCAGATCAAATAATTCTGCTAGAATAGAACAAATGGACTAACTTCTCAAAATACTGACTTCTTCCATCTGTAAATTATAAGAAAATTTGTCAGGCTTTGTTAGGGCACTAAGTTTTCAGTCTTTGCCAAAAATTTATGTAGTCTGCTATTCCCTATATAAAGGCAGGCATTAAATGTTGGCTTTTATAGAAAAAACATTGAGGTTCATTTTAGCCAAGAGCTAAGAAGTTTCAGCTTCAGACACACAGGGGCACAGCTTGTTGGAGTTGTAAGGCAATCTCAAACACAAATAAACTTCCTACAGGAGATCTTTAGTCACAACTAATTTAAGACACATTGATTTCAATGGGTCTGCTCCTAGGTATAGTTAAGTCTCGATCCAAACCATTAAAAGTTTAAGTTGCTTATCATATAATTTTGAAGATTCACTGTTTAAGAAGTAGGTGCTTTATTGAAGACTTTTTATTTTCTGCCACAGTAGTGGATTTCTTTTAAGGGAAGAGAGTCTGTTATTCACCTCTATACCAAACTGGTGTAAAATAATAGTAGTAAAATGGGGAGAATAGAAAAGGTCATTGCTTTCTCTCTGATAGTTGCCACCCACTGCCCTGGATATTGTGGGTGTACTCCTTTACAACCACTAGGAGGCAGATTCTTTGAAGAAAGTTTGCCCAGGGATTGGTCTAGGAAGCACCTCTCACTTTCACCCTAGAGCCAGTCCTTCTCCTGCCTGCACAGTAGCTTTACTTCTGTTACAGATGGTTACTATTATTTGTTCATTATAAGCTAGCTAGCACGTATGAATAGAGTTCATCGTACTCCATTTGCGGAATATAAATAACAGTTCTTTCTACTTTATGTGCCTCTTCTTCATAGGTATTAAAGCAGCCTTTTCCTGATTTGTCACTATAGAATTATTATTTTGAATTAATTTGGTATTGAATACGCAAAATACTTATGATGGTGGTCCATATGAAAGATGTTTCAGCCAGCTTTCTCCCCCAACCCTTTCTGTGCAACAAGTTAATTTTTCTAAACCATTTTCAGAATAAAAAGGCACGCATCAGAAGTAAAATCAGTTTGTAAGGTGGGGGTTTGGGGGGGGGTTAGTAGATTGAATATGCTATCCTGAGTCTGTGTTTAAATGTAGATGATGGTCTTTTCGTTTCAGCCTTAGGGAACAAAACTTTATCTTCCTTTGATCCAATCAGCAATAGGGTGGGTGGACATTTTCAAGATTATTTTCTTGAGGACAATAAACTTTTTTTAAAAAAACTGATTATTGGCATTCCAGCACAACTCCTAAGACTGTAACCCTATACACACTTACCTAGGAGTAAGTTTCATTGAACTTTGAGTAGGCGTGTATCAAATTGTGCTATAACTTGTACAGTTGGACTATAGGCTCCCAGTTGCTTGCCGTAGCAAGTAGTAGGCTAATCAGACATTTTCCTTTCTCAATTTAGGAAACAACACAAGAATTGCTGCAAGACCTACATACTTACCATGAAAATTATTTTCCAATTCTGTGTTGTCTTCATGCTTTCACATCTTCTCTTCCCAAGTATCCATTAGGCAAACAAGTATGTACAAATCTTTTCTGCTTCATGTTTTCACATCTTGAGGAGTTTGAATTCATTTTGCAGTCCTGCTGCTTCACTATCTCTGCAATAGAGCCCAAGCACTATTGAGTTCATTTTTCTTTCTTTTTACTGTTAGTATCACCCAATATCCGTGCATGTACATCCATCTCAGTGTCCTCTTGACTCTGAAGCAAACACTTAGGTTTTTAGGCCTAGTTATATTGGGTTGCATCTTAACCTGCTGGCCACAAATGGAAAGGCTCCAGCTGTGAGTCCTCTGTGAACCGGATGCTTACATGGTGGGAGGAAGAGGTGACTTCTGCTTATCTTTTTCCTACCTCCTGTCCCCCAGAGCTACCTCCTAAACTGTTCAAGATGATTTCCCAAGTGCCTCAAGTAGATTTTCAGAGGGAGGAGATATAGGAAAAATCATCACCCATGCAGGAAAGCATTCAGTTCATGGAGTTCTGTTCTGAGTAACTCTGGAGGATCAAAGATTTGGAGCCATCTAATTGCTTTGGCATCCTTCTGGAAGTCAGTACAGTACTTGAAGGAGCGTCTCCACCTCCATCGTTCTGCCCGGACACTGAGGTCCAGTGCCGAGGGCCTTCTGGCAGTTCCCTTGCTGCGAGAAGCCAAGTTAGAGGGAACCAGGCAGAGGGCCTTCTCGGTAGTGGCACCCGCCCTATAGAACACCCTCCCACCAGATGTCAAAGAGAAAAACAACTACCAGACTGTTAGAAGACATCTGGAGGCAGCCCTGTTTAGGGAAGCTTTTAATGTTTAACAGACTATTTATTTTAATATTTTGTAGGAAGCCTCCCAGAGTGGCTGGGGAAACCCAGCCAGATGGGCAGGGTATAAATAATAAATTATTATTATTATTAATATTATTATTATTTATTGAAACTGCACTCTAGTTAAAGAGCTAGGAAATAATAAAAGATAAATTTCCCAAGGGACAGTTAAAGTAGCTTAAGTCTGTAGTGTAGATTTATGCATATCCCATATCACACAAGTATCCCGTTTGGGGCAGGACACCCTAGATTTACAGGAGCCACTTGGCTTCTGATGCCAGTCCCGAAGTCCCATTTTAGTTCTCACCACTGTTGCTGCCACAGCCACCAATGTACTTCTGGAAGCCAGTGCCACACTCACCTGGGCACCAAAAGAGTGCCGAACCAAAAGATGCAAGTTTGTTGGTGCTGCATTCCCCTATTCCTCCGGCACTGCTTCCGGAAGTGTGTGTGTGTGGCAGTGGGCAGTGGTGGGTAAAGGGCTGCTGTTGGCAAGATGCGGCTGGGAGGCAGAGGCGGCAGTGTGTAAGGGCAGTGGGATGATGTGGGGGGGAAGCAGCAGTGGTGCATACAGGCAAGCAGGGGCAGAATGGTGGGGGGGGGGGAGGCCAGCAGAATGGTGCGGCAGAAGGGAGGTCATGTCCTAATTTGCACTCCCAGGATTTTTGAGGGTATGATATTCATCATTTTCCTTTTCCTTACCATCATTTTCAACTGAATTGGTTTTCTTCGTAATCTGGGTCTTGGGCTACAAACACTCCCCCTACCAGTGGTGGAGCTTCATGCTCCGGCACTGGGGGGGGGCAGAGAGCACGCGGGGGCGGGGCTGACGCGCGTCTTGGGGACGTGGTGCACATCCTGGGGGCGTGGCACTCTGCCTGAGGGGGCGGGGTGGCCAGCATAGGCGGGGGGCAGCCGCGATGGCATGCTGCCAGGATCGCGCTGCCGGGGGTGGTGCGCTCCCCCCGCACTCCTCTTCCTCCGCCAGTGTCCCCTACCCCGTTTTAAAGATCTGAATGGTGTTGAGTCATCCACATTTGAGGTCAGTGAGTCCTGAGGACTTCCAGCTTTTCATGAAAATGGTGACAACTTAGCCCTTTGTGTTTTAGATTTTTTTAAAATGCTAAATTTAGTCTATTCCATGCTTGTAAAACGTTCTCTTCTATTTAACAGATCAGAGAGTTATATTGCACATGTTTGGAAAAGAAAGTGTGGGAAACAGAAGAATATGAGTCAGCTATTCAGCTGGTGAGGTAGCCTTCTTTCCATTTTCTTCTTGTGTTTTAGATATTTTAAATGCCTCCATCTGCTATTCAAGAAGAACTCAAGAATGTTGCCAAACGGGAAGCTTTTTTGTAACTGACTGCATTGTTTCTCTTTGATAAAGTGGATGTTTTTAATTTACATTTCTATCCTTTATAGTGGGGTTGCCAGCAGGGATACAGAGCCAAACTCTAATTTTTCATTCATGCTTAGTAACGCTGTGAGGAAAACCATTGAGCTCTTAGTTCTGTTCACTGTATCCTATTACATTTCATCCCCACCCGTTTTCTCCAAGGATTTTGGGACAACAAACATGGCTCCCTCCCCCATTTTATTATGTGAACAAGCCAGTGAAGCAATTAAAAATGAGTAATTGGATTAAGATACTGAGATTTTGAACCTAGAACTTCCTGTTTCAAGCCTGACCCTCTATTCTCACTACATCACTCTGGCTCTCATTGGTGTGTGCATATGTATATACGTACTTTCAGCTATAGATGTCAGGATTTTGAGGGTATGGTTTTGATTTAGATGTTTTTGCTGTGAGCCTACCCATCAGGGCTTGCATTGCACCTAGCTATCCCTGGTGACATTTTGTGTAATTTTCCATCTTCACAATGTACTTACAGTAGCCCTGAATGCACTGTGTTGAAATATCTTGAGTCTGAATGAAAGGATTTTTACTAATGGAGAAGATTCAGAATAAAACCATTTGAGATTTGTAGATTATAAAGAGTGGAATCCAGATTAAGTTAATTGAATGTAGTTATCTTTGAAATCACTAGGAACTAAGTAATGGCTAAGTTAAGAGTATCTGTGAGCTCTTAGAGTTGCATCATATATAGTGCACAGTTTTGTAACTAGCCAAGTAGGGAATAGTGGGTTATAGCCAATGCTCAACAAATGACATTCCACTCTCACAACAGGATGTTCCTTTTCTCTCCTCTCCCTGTGGGCCCCCAAAATCTGCACCCTCTGGAACAGATTTTGAGGCTCCACAGGAGAGAAAGAAGGAATTCTATTGCTCAAGCAGAAGTCTCACGTGCAAATGGAACAGCAGCATTGAATACAACCCAGATACTTCAATGGTTTTAGCTTTGTTTCTTAATAGTCCACATTCTTAAACAATAAAACTGGTAGCTTGAAAACCGTTATGAGTTTTCCATGCTTTTGCAAAAATGCTAGACAAAAGGCCAGGCATTCTGCTAAATGCTTCAAGCAGTTTATTGTGTCTATAATAAGTTACTAACATTGTTGGGCTGTTTTTTCAGGATGATGGCCAAAGATGAATTGGTGGTGATTCTTGAAAAATGTGTGGAGATTATTACTTCCTCTCCTTCAGAACATCTTAAAATCCCTTCAGAGAAACTGAAGCAGTACCTGGACCAATTTAGGAATCTTGAAGGTATTTTGTACCAGTTTGTGTTAGAAATTTAAAGTCCATTCCCAGCATCCGTCACCATTCTCACTGAAAACTTGGAAAATAGCTTCAGTATCCTGGGCTATAAGAAGAAACTATTGGCAGACAAAAGAATTATTGAAATGTTTGTCACAGTTACAGCAGATGAGGAAAGTAGATAGTTATGAAGTCTGTAGGCTTCCCAACTTTTCTGAAATAAGTCAGCAGCAGGCCTGTTTAATTTTAGAAAATGAATTCCTGAAGTAGTAATGCAAATAAGAAAGTGGCTGTGGGTGGTTTTTTGTGTACAGCTAACATGCAGACCTGCAGCAACAGGTCATTGTCATTGTCCTTTTTCTTCATAGGGTTAATCTAATTTATTTTACTGTACTACACTATTTCTAGACAGACAGCCTATGATAATACCACAGACCAGCACTGCTTGTTAAGATAAGGCAGACTGCCATTTGCTGAGCATTACTCCAATTAGATCTGCCCTTATCGTACACAGCTTAAACTAAATAGGAGAAATGTTAGTTTTCAGGCCTTCCACTGCCCCTGCATTTGGCCACCTACTCCATAACTGTTGCTGAATAAAAAGTGAATCCTGTGTTTACGAAGCAGTGATTTCATTCATGTGGTTTTTTACCTATGCCCAGTTACAAAGGTTTTGCTTGTCTGCCTACCCACATTGATAACCAGAGTAACAAAAATGGCCAAATACAGGCTTATCTTTGGATTTCTGGCCCGTTCCTTAGCAAAAGATTTTATACATTTCTTAAATGATACAATTTGAATAAAGAGAACTTTAACTTTAGTAATGTTTACTCTAACTGTCCAGTGTAGGTTGTAGCCAACCCACTCTTAATACTTAAAGAGGACACCTTGAAATCAGTGGAGTTAGGTTACTTCTGTTCATGGTTTTCAGTGGGCCTCCTTTGAATATGACTTAGTTGGAGTCAGCACACCACAATTCAGCTGCTGACTGAATCGGTTCGCCTCAGTATCCTCAAAGTGTTTATAGCTCTTCTTTAAATGAGAGTTGTGTGGTGAAGTGGTTAGTGTCAGATTAGGATTTGAGAGACCTGGGTTTAAATTTTCACCCAGCCGGGAAGCTCACAGAGACCTTGGTCCAGTCACTCTTTTTCAGCCTAAACTACCTCACAGGCTTGAGGGAGAACTATGTATGCCACTGAGTTCCTCAGAGGAAAGGCACGATACAAATAGGGGCTAGCAAGGCTGCTTAAAATTAGCAGTCTGCAGATGTTATTAAAATGTATTATCCTTGGAAGCATTATTTGCTGTTTTCGATGTTCTGAAAAAACCCCAGATATTTAATACGCTGCATTTGGAAAAAATACAATAACCTTTGGCTTCATTGTGAACAAATTTCTTTCTGATGCTGATCAGTTCAACACATGTTGCTTATAAAACCTCAAACTATGTACAAGACAGAAATATGAATGCTAGATCAGAAAGTGAATGAGAGCATTTCTTTCTGACTCTGAGAGAAATGTAGGGGAATTGTGCAAGGCACTAATTACAAGGCAAGCCTGAGGCTCCCAAACTCACTTTTTCCTCATTATGCTAACTTGGGGGAAAGAATCAACAGTTGAAAAGGTGTTCCTTTGCCAGGAAATTCACCCATCGTTTTCCACTCTGCCAACTTGAAGTCCAGAAAACAGAGAGAGTGTGTGTGTGCGCGCGCAAATCAACCAGTGACTCTTTTCCACCTGTAAGCTCATCAAAGGGAAATACATAAACAGAGGCGAGGATTATTTTGATTTGTAAGAAATAGAAGTTTTGTGCGAAGACTACATGTATTAGGCAATTGGCAAACATGAGGTTTAAATCTGTTAAAGAGCTTAATGCTGAAACCTCATAATCAAGGGCTCAATAGATGTGAGAATAGAATTGCAAATATAGGAATATGTGAGGATTTTGAGGAGAACCATCTTATGCGTGCCGTCAATAGGAATAGGTGGAAATCATCCAAATATGAATCAGAAAGCTGTAGTTGAGCTCTGTGCTTTATTTTTGTGTACTTTTAATTCCATAAATCTTTGGTGCTTGAGGCAGTAGAAAAGAAGCCTCTTTTCTGTCTAAATATTTTACATAGGGGCAGTGGAGTGGAGTGAGATAAAAACGTTGTATCCAGCTAAGTTATACTAAGAGTAGACCCACTGAGATTAGTGTAACTAAATCAGTTGCAGCCATTAATATCAGTGGGTCTACTCTGCAGATGACTTAATTGAATACAGCTCCTAAAAGTATATATGTGTGTGTTTAACAATAAACGAAAGCTCTGGAAGGCAATGGAACAGAGCAGTTTAGTTTCCGCGAATGTGCCCAATAAGATTTAATATGGGATTAAGTGGTGCACAGGGATTTCAGTCTTCATGCATCTTATCTCTTATTCTTCTTTGAATAGGAAGTTCTTAAGCTGTCCTGTTTGAATGCAGGAAATTGATGGGGGCAGGGAGAGAAGGGGATTGCAAGTTTCTCAAAAACATATTGTCATCTGTTTTCCACTTAACTGTTTGCACCTTTCTCTTCCTTCCATGGACAGGCAGTAGCAGCTCACATAACCCACACAGTTTTCTGACTGACTGACCCCTGTTCTTATTCTGATAGCAGAAGCCAATGGTGGTCAAGAGGAGCCCATCTCCTCACTACAAGAACTTCAGAAGAAGACAGATCTTTATCACCTGCAAAAGGTCAGGCTACCTAGAAATGAAAATACTATTAGCTAGACTAATGGGCGTATTTTAAGCACCTTTGGAATTCAGACCAGATAAAGAGAGCAGTTTCAGCTTCAACACAATGTGATCTTGAAATTCTGACACAGTCCAATGTAGGGAAGGGACAGGGTCCTCCCCAACCCAGTGTTTTCCTTCTTGGTCTGTTCTTTACCATGCCCATTCTTGTCAAAATATACTGAATTCTCTTAACACTCAGATGTTACAACTTGTGCAGAAGTGGATGATAATATGATTTGATTAATGCTGAGAGCAGGAGTTGGGTTTTGCTTGGCACAAATGTTTCCCTCTCCCTTGTGCAAAATATTGCAGGGTGCAGGTACTAATTGAATTTTGCATTATTTGGTAAATTTTAATCTCAAGCTGTCCGGGGCTCTGAAGTAAGAGGCAGCAACTTATGGCTCTTGCTTCACATCATAGTAATAGCTGACCTTGGGCCAGTCACTACTTCTCAGCCCAATCAACTTTGCAGATTAGTTGTAAGGACATAGTAGCATGGAACCATGTGCTGAGTTCCTTGGATGAAAGGTATAATTCAAAGGAAATACCTAGTCAGAGCAATCTCCATTGTTCAAGCAATCTCCATTGTTCAAGCATGTGGTATTACATATTCATTGGGAAGGAAGGAATTGATGGAAAAGATCTTGCTATAAAGATGTAGCAGTCACATAAGCACTAGCAGTAACCTCAGATCCTGAGTAATTGAGGATCTGCCATGGAGAGCTAGCCCTTTGGCTCAGCTTGATTGGTCAATCTGTCTACAAATCAGGGTTCAAGTGTAAAGCAGATTTTAAGAAAACCCAAGAGCTTCACTTGCTTGCTTGGATCAGTATATTATTCTTGCTCTTTGCTGTAATAGAATCACAACTGATGAATTTTAGAAGGAAAGAATTACCTGGAATTTCTGTATCAGGTGGTCATGAATTTGTGGAAACTGTGTTAGTTCTAGTCCAATAAAATTTCACTTACATGATAGTTGTTAATACTTGTAAAAGTGCAGCTGTACTAGTTAAGGAACACAATACTATTTTGTCATCAAGCTAATCCTCTTTATTATTTATCACTGAAATCCACAATAATAAGCTTTTTCTTTTTCATTTAAAAAAATCTAATGACCTCATTAGCATTGCCAAGTGATTTACTCAACATAATTACTTGGAAATTCCTCTTTTGTTTTGCTTTAGACCCTGCTGGAGATGAAGGAATCAAGAAAGCTTAAGAAACTAACAAAATTTGAAATGCTTCGTTTTGAAGTGGTTGACTTTGTAGATGGCCTTGTAAGGTTAGCTTTGCTTTCTTCCTGACTCGGTTGTACAACTTTGCGTAACAAATTTAGTTCAACAGTAGACGAAGGCGCAGTTCAGCTGTGATGAACCATGGTTTGTTCAGCCAAGACAAATGTGCACAGCTTCCTTCCTCTCATTCCCTCATCCCTGTGCAGTAGGAGGGGAGGGAGGTGCACACACAAAGTTCATTCTCAATCCAACAAATCTGAACTAAACCCAGACTGGAAAAGATAAAATTGGGTAAAAAGTATCTGCAGAAAACCACTCTGTTTCATGCCGATACATTGTGTTCTTAACATGAACTTGAAATTGGCCCAACATTGCAACAGGAACAAAGAATGTTGTCAACTAAATAGCAGTCTGGCAGGATGGAGGGTCAAGGGCAATAGGAGGGAGTAGCGCATGATGATATCTGATGGGTGCCATAAGAAGACAGCTGTGGAGTGCAGTAGCATTAACTATGGGGGTTGTGGTTGAATAGTTTAAACATGGCTTATTCAATAAATCAGGGTTTTTATTTGCTTTGGTTGTTTTTCAGTTTCACTTTGGTCCATGGAAAATCAACTAAGATTGAAATAAAGCTTTAATAAGGAAATCACCTAAAGAATGTTGTGTTAAGTAGCTCTCTCAAAATGAAAGATTGAAATACAGAAGAAAAAGGAAAACAGGCAGAGAAGTTATTAAGTAACGTGTCACTACAGACTAGGAGACTTTTCATCCTATATTTGATAGGGCACACATTAGCAAACTGATACTGGACCCAAGTCACGTTTTTTTAAAAGCTACTGAGGTGTGTTTTACAACTTCTGCAAATACTGTATTTTTCGCCCTATAGGACGCACCGGCCCATGGGACGCACCTAATTTTTTTGGGGGGGGGAATAAAGGGGGAAAAAATTATTCCCCCCCCCCGGTGCGGGGCTGGGGCGGGGGAAGCCCGAGCTTCCCCCGACCCCAGCCCCCAGAACAGGCAGCTCTCCACAAGCCATGGGAGCCCAGCGCTGGGCTCCCACGGCTTGCAGAGAGCTGCACAAAGCTAAGCCTGGGCGCGCTGCGCCTCCCCGCTGTCCCCCAGCTTGTGGGGCTGGCGGCAGGGAGAAGCGGGCTTCTCCCCCCCGCCAGCCTCCAAACCAGGTCGGGGGACAGCAGAAAGGCGCGCTGCGCCTCCCAGCTGTCCCCCGAGCTTGCGGGGCTGGCAGTGGGGAGAAGTGGGCTTCTCCCCGCCGCCAGCCTCCAAACCAGGTCCGGGGACAGCGGGATGGCGCACTGCATTCGCCCCATAGGATGCACACACATTTCCCCTTCATTTTTGGAGGGGAAAAAGTGCGTCCTATAGGGCGAAAAATACAGTATTGTATTTTTATTATTGTATGTATAAAAAAATACAGTTAAATCTGCACAGATCACATTTTGGAGGAATCTGAAAATGGGACAAAATGTGGTAAATGTTGTTGGTAACAATTGATGGCTTTAGTAGTCCTTCAATTGCTAGTCATTTCCATAAAGTGAGATTGCCAGTGGTGTGTGCTGATTGTTTGTAACAACTTGCGAGAGAGAAAAAGTCAAAACTTTTCATTGCCAAAATTACAATTAAAAGCCCCCAATAATTTCTGTTTATGGCATCTAGCCATTTGTCTACATGGTATCTGAGTTCATTGCAAAATGTATATGCTTGTTGGTTGATGAACACTGTGATTGTAGTAGGAATGAAGAAAAAAAATCCATGTGTAATACTAGTCTCTCTCCTGTCCTTTATTCATTGGTGGTTTTTCAGAAATTACCTTGCGCCTGCAGAGATGCAGACATTGCATGAGGTGATGTATTTCAGCGCAGCTAATACCCTCCGTGAACATTTGAATGCTGCCCCACGTGTTGCTCTGCACACTGCTCTCAACAATCCATATTTCTACCTGAAGGTAAGAAATGGGCGGCTTAGCAATGTGCCCACACCCTCCTTGTACTTGGCGATCCCTAACTATGTTTAATGCTGTCCTCCCCTGGCTTCCCTCATTGGGTTCAACATGATGAGCCCCACAGCATCTTATTGCTTGAAATGTTGCTAAATGGTATTTAGAATCTCAGTTAGGGGTCGTGGAGTGTGTTCCATAATGTAATCATTTGAAAATCGTGGCACTGTGTTTGGATCATGCAAAATGATCACAAGGTGGCTGTTCTTAAATACTTGTGAATCATTTTTTTGACTTTGTGAATTGAGTAATCCTGTCCCATGATCATTCCCATGGCTTTTATTTAATAAAAACCTAGATTTTGTAAGATCCGTAGACAAGCCTGTCACAAGATTTTCCTCTTAACCTCCTGAGATGCTGAAAATGGTAAAACTATACAAGATATTTAACTACCTGCTAAAATATCCGTTCCCTGTTGCCTGTTGTTATTGAATTTTTCCACTGAAGCACTTCTTCCACTGAAGCACTTTTGATCAGTTCCTTAATAAAAGTATCCACATGCTGACAAAGAAAAAGGAGGAGACTTTAGGAGGCAGATAGCATTTCCTTTTTTAAAGATATATTATAAAAATCAACCTCTTTGTATTTGCTGCATTGAGTTAAGTCGTGGAATATAAATTGACAAGAGCCAGGTTGGGAAAAGAATGTAAATTGTGTATGTGCCTGTTTTATTTATTTGATCTTATCAGTTATCTGATTTTATGCAGTGTTACACAATTTAGATGGGAAAAACAAGCTTAATTCAAGTTCCAATATATTTGATAAAAAGCCAAGTCTTTGGCCTGGCATATCTGATTAATTTCTTATGTGCTTTGGGCAACTGTTTTGGGTATCTATGAGTAGTAATCTCTGTTATTCCAGTGCACTACTAGTATTTAATTGTGTTCTGACAGAAAGAAATAGCTTTTCATAGTATGAATTCAGTACATTCTGTTCTTCCATGAATTATAAAACTAGGATAAAAAATTATCTTGATAAATATAACTATAAAAGATGTAGGCTGTATAAAATCTAGACTTTACTGATTACATAGATACTATTTCTCCTGGTAATATTATGTACCAGTCCTTGAAGAATGTTAGGATCATGTTTATGCTAATCTCTCCATCTTTCCACAAGTGTGGCTAAAGCATCAACTGGGCAAATCGCCAGCTTTACCCGCCACAGTGAACCTGCATGACCCCTTTAAGGGGCTATCAACCAAAAATGACTCGCCACATCTCACCTTTCATTCTAGCTCTAAATTCACAGTCAAAATTTTTCCTCCTAGCGTGCAAGAGGACAGTGTCATAAGTAATGTCTACAGCAGGACCTTGCCTTGAGGGTTAATGGGGCTGCAGGATGTTGCTTGTATTAGATTAGCCTTATTTTTAGGATTTTGTTTTTTTACAGTCAAGTAGTACATACATTTTATGGAATTAAATAAAAGACAGCTAATTAAGTAAAAACAAGAATGCTTGGTGGTGATTTCTGCACATTTTTATCATCGTATTGATTCTGTAAGAGGCACAGCAATATGTGGAATTTCCCACTGTGTTTCCTCCCAGGTTGGAATGCTGCTAGAGGCCAAACTAGATGTCTTGTCCCGTTCGTCTGCCTGCCTCCTCCCTAGCCTTCGTGCATAGCGTTGACATACCTAGCCCTTCTCTGACCATCCTGGGTGTTCCTTCCTTTAATCTTTTGTCAGGCTGTTCTAGGTCTTTTAGTTCATTATCTACCCTTCACCAAAATGTCTCAGGGCATCTTACAAAAAAGAAAAAGAACAATGGTATAAGTCATAATGTGAAAAAGGTGTTCAAACCTTAGACAATATAAAATGTCATGTCCCTTCTTTGGGGTCTTGTTGTGTGTGCTGCGTCTCACATCAAGATGAACAATATACCGCAGCTGTTGGTTGCACTAGACTTTCAAGTAGTAGGGGCCTCACTCCCATCTTGCAGCCCTCCTGAATGATCAGGTGGTTTTCAAAACCAGTCTGTCAGCTAAGAGAGAAAAGCTTTTTCTTTGTGCTTGGTTCCTCCTTAACCCTCTTCTCTCCCAGCTGACCTTTTCCTAACTGCCTTCTCCTCCTTAGCAACCTTTCCCTAGCACCTGTTGCCATGACTCTTGCCCTTCCCAACAGCTCCATTTTCCTGACTGCTGCTACCCGGCACAAATGACCCTATTTACTCTTCATCACACTTGCCCCAAGGAAAATCCGGAGCTGAGTTGAGAAAAAAGTGAACTGTGTCAGCTACATACTGCACTTGCAGCTACTATGCCTGGTGTAAGAACAGATGAGTGGATTAATATTTCAGAAGGCTGGATGAAGTTAACAGCTTTCTGAAATAGTGGCATACGTTATGATTGTGATGTCCAGAGGTTGGGAAGTGGCTTAGCATAACATTTGCTTGGTGGGTCTGGGATGATGGCGTTATTAGCATATAAATGAAATGTACATGCATAACTCTCATTCTCACTATGAATTTTGTTTATCAGAATGAATCCTTGAAAACTGATGCAGGATGCATTTCTAATGCGGCTCCCGATATCTGTATAGCATACAAGCTTCATTTGGAGTGTGGCAGATTAATTAACCTTGTTGACTGGTTAGAGGTATGTGAACATGAATCGATTGACTGTTTCTGTGCTTTGCTGAATACTTAATCTGCTGTTTCTTTCTAAGCTTCATTTGTTTTGACAGCTAAATTGCTGCTGTATAACACTCACTCTTTCTTCTTATTTTTCTTCTTATTTATGGTCCTAAAATCAGTCCACATAGCCTTCCCAGCTTGTACTAGGAGCAGAGTTAAATACAGTAGAACCACTTGCATCAACCACTTGCATCTTTGGTAGTGCCAAGGGCCCCCAAGGAACAAGCATCCTAGTGTTCCCATCAAGCCTTGCTTTTATTAGTTTCTCTCCTTTTCTCTCCTATTCTCTAAGTGTGAAAGGCATGCTCTCTTCTGCAAGCTGGGCTGTCACAAAAAGCACCTACACCTTCTTCCCATGGCTTTCTACACAAACCAACAGGGAGAGAAATAGCACCCCTTTTCTTCCCCATAATGGAAAGAAGTAATCCCATTCCCTTGCTTGCAGTTTTTCAGTAAATGGCAGCAGGGTGCTGGTGGTGCATTGTAAAAGCCAACCTGTTTTTCTGCCACTGAGAATGGAAAGAAGCAGCTTCTGTCATGCAAGCAACATTTGAAGGAAGGACCTCTCATGCCTCACTACTGATTCTTCAACCCCCAACTAGTGAGGCATGGATTGCATGTTCTGCAAAGTCCAGCTTTCAGGATAGAAGCCTCCTTTCCTTCCTTCCCCCTTCACCGTAGACAAAAGCAGTCCTGATTTTGTTCCCACTTATTGGATTTATTTCAGAAAGTAAGCTATGCCTCGCTGCAAAAGCCCAAGATGGGAGAGAAAGAAGGGGAACTCACTTCTTTCTTGTTTCTTGTTTGTCATCTTTGGGGTTTTTGTTTTGTTTTGCAAGAAGCAGTAGTTAGGTGTGGTTGCCCCTTTCTTCAAAAGCCCAAATCATGGAAGCAAAATTGCATCTCATGTCATCCTCCGAGACTGCGGAAAAAGGAAGTGTCTTCTGCTAATCAGGCTTTTGTTGGGTCTTGTTGCTGCTACCTCCTGTGCAATCCCAATGAGAAGGAAAAGAACCCCCTTTTCTCTATAGAAAGGGGTGGATCTCCTTCCACTAGGCTTTTGCAGAGGCAGCAGCAATGAACTAGTGTGGAAGAAAACTCCTTAGTGCCATTGTCTCCCCTGTCCATCATGTAGATTAGTTTCTTATTCCCACCATGCTTTTTCTGGTTTCAATCGTAGACAAAGGCTCAGTTCAGATGCGATAAACAAACCATGGTTTGTTGGACCAAGAAAAAGATGTGTGCACATACTACTCCCCCCCCCCTTCATCTTTTGTCTCTCCAGTACATCTGGGGTTTGTTAAATCATCTTCTCATGACAATTGTGGTTTAAGGATCTCTCCAAAACAGGGTATGAAACCAAAATTAAACCGATGTGGAGGTGGGAGTAACAAGGTGTCACATGTACCTTCTGCAAAATTCCAGCATTCCAGGAGAGGTCATTGGTAACACTACAAATGGTTTTTACTAACAAGCCAAACAGAAACTTGTTGGCCACTGGCTGAGACCACCCCTGCCCCCCACCAAAAAGCCATTTTTGCTGATCCTAAGTACTGCAACTCTCCATGCTGTATTCAAAACTGTTTAGGAGGCCCCCAAAGTCTTCAGGAGCTGTTTTTTGGTGAAAACTTTTTGTCTGTAAGTGGAAGTGCTCTCTGCTAATGCAAAGCTATCATTGTATTAAATCCTCAGTTTACAAGGATCTTATTTCTCCTCTGTGCTTTGTTAGCATGTCGATATCAAACCCTTTCAGCGTATATATTAATTTGTGACATTTATTACATTTACAAAAAATGGTATAAATCAATATGGTGTTTCCTCCTAGGCTTTTGCAACAGTTGTAGTTGCTGCAGAAAATCCAAATTCCAGTGTCAAGGACCAGATAGATGATGCTATCCAGTATCCTTTTCTGATTCTCTTCCGATTTAGCACCAGCTAGCAAACCAAAATATTATCTTCTTACAAATAACCTGAACAAATCTAAGAGGGTCTAGCAAAACATTTTGGATCGTTTTTCAATCCATGTTAAAACAGGGCTGTTATTAGAAAGGAAAAATGAACTTATCTAATTTAGACTGATAATCTCCCTGTGTAAGTTGTGTGTGCTGTGCCCAGACGCTGTTGTTCTATAAAACATTGTCTATCAACATGCCTGCCTTGTAAAGGCTGTTGATGTTATTTCCAGAGAATAAAGGATGCAATTATTTTACGTAACAAGTAACAGTGGATGGTATGCAACTAAGTTTCACTCAGAGTAGACCCATTGAACTAAATAAACCTTAGTCATGTTCATTAATTTCAGTGGGTCTACACTGCGTAAAGCATAATTGAATACCACCCAGTATGTTTAAGCTCCATCAAATTTTAGTGAGTCTGGAGTTGGTCCTGTACTGACTAATCTGGGAACAAGCCCCATGAAACTTCTGATATGACATGTATAAGATTGCAGTGAAAAGCTGTGGTTCTATGCATATGTAATTTGAGATAAGTCCTCGTGGAACAACAGATTTATTTGTGCATGCAGAGGGTTGTGCTGTAAAACACTTATGACAGAGCTATGTAGTTTAGGACAGACCTTAAGATGTGTTTAGGTGACAAGTTAATTTATAACAAGTCATATAACATCAGCATATCCTAGTCTTTAGAAAAAGAAGCCATACCTTGGGTAGAGAATACATTCACCCTGATCTTTCAGGCAGATGTCTCAACTAGACTAAATTTGTTCCATGTTATTATATGAGCCATATCATGTGTTAGATGAAGAGTGTACACACAGCTGAAAGTTTTACAGCTGCCCCTAATATGTGTGTATATGAGTGATTTGTAAGCATGTGAAAGCAGTGCTTCAGTGAACTATGCAGAATACTTATCCTATTAGCAAAAAATAGATAGTTCTGTATGTTTAGCCCATCTGTGAATATTCCCTTTGGTAGAGTGAAATGTATTTTTCCTTAACTGCCACTCCCCAAGTGCTCGTTTCATTAGAGCAGTCTCAGAACTGGAACTCTTGGGATTCATAAAGCCTTCCAAGCAGAAAACTGATCATGTGGCGAGACTGACATGGGGCAGCTGCTAGTATACTTTCTACTGAGAGAAGGAAATGCTCTGTACACTGTGAACAACTGTGGTAGCACTTTCATAATGAGAAGTGCTGTTTTGCCACTGTAACATTGACAAGAACAAGTAGCTTCATGGATTTTGTTTCTTTGCATTAAAGAACAAGCTAAATCCATCCATTTTAGAGAGAGAATCCTGTTGATGTTTGTTTGAGCATTTTGACATTTTTGTGCCTTTTCTACAATGCATGTGAAATAAAACCGAACTTATCACTGATCTCTGTCCTATCTACAGAAATGCTGAAGAAAATATTAATATTCTGAGCTGAGCACATTAATATGACTGTACAGTGCAGACTAGACATGATTGTTGAGGGGGGATGTGAGACTCCCTACTGTGGGGGGCTATGCTCTAATGTGGTGAGTTAACAAAGCTATTTAGAGAATGGTGATCAGTACCACTGTACTTAAGGTAGCTTCTACAATTTTTTCTAAATAAAATTACTTATTTTCAGTATTTGCAGTGTATTTGTTATTTTCTAAGAAAGTGAAAAAATGGTTGCTTATAAGTATGAAGCAAGCTCATCATCAAAGGAAGACTGATCAATACTGGCCTGCTTGGTACCAAAGCTGTGTCTAATGCATTGTTTCTAAGAGACCAGGAAGATATTGAAGACTTTATGCTTGTTTAATCTCTGACATACTGAATAATCAGTATGACACTTTGGACAACAGTGTTCGTCATTGTTGAGTGCCGCAACCCCAGAGTCGGCCCCGACTGGACCTAATGGTCAGGGTCCATTGATACAAACAGGAATAGTAGACCTTCTAAGGGGGGAATATGTTCCTCTTGGCAGTGCTTTCTACGTATTTGTGAGCAGTTTTTCAGACAGGGAAACCTTTCAAAAAGATGAAGGCAGGTTCTTCTAAAATCCTTATAGAAAGGAACCTTGGCTCATCTCAGATTTCTGAGGTTGAGTGAGTCATCCCCAAAGCTAACAGCTTCTGAAAGTCTGCCTTGGTCGGCAGCAGGCCAACTGACTATAAAAAGGAAGCTTTCTTAACCTCTGGTTTGGTCACTTTTTCTTCCTGAGCTATCAGCTAACAGCTGCTCGAAGTTTCACTTATTTTATCCAAATGGTGACAAAATGCCACCTATATATTCAAACACACAGGTTAGAAGTAAATGTTTATTCTTTCAACTAAATTCCAGTACTACAAGGGCAGTAAAACAATGATACACTGAAAAATTGCAGCAATAAACATTTGTTAAAGACTGATAGAATAAATAAAACCTACAAAAATGAGAAATTATATAAACCCATTCTTAACCCCCCAAAAAGTCATGGAATACAGAAATGCCCTCCTTCACTATTTCACAGGCAGTACTGTGGGCTATTTGCTTTAAATTTGTCCAGGAATTACATTCTAATTTAACTGTGAATATAGCTTTGCAGTGCACAGTTATGAAAACCACACTAACTTCAGTCAGAAGTGTCATTCTACACTTTTATTTACACAACCAGTGAAGGGCAGAGTTCTAGTACACCAGCTTTAATCCTTTTACTTTTCAAACTTATTAACATAAGCCAAATTGTAATGATACAGCAAATGAGACCACTGGTATTAACAGGTAGCAAAGGTCCACATCCAGGTGGTACTGACATCAGGGAGCACTCCAAAACCAGTTGCTGCATAAGAGTGGTTGCCACTGACAAAAGCTTGAAATAACCAGTGTATACAGAGGGGGGAAGGGGGAATATGGCATTGTTGCAAGTCTTTAAAGGACAGCTTGCAACAATAGAACAGGGTTTCAGGGCTGCCCACATATGCAGAAAACATGATTCATGAAACATCTGAAAAGAGAAAGAAAGAATTGCATCAGGGAGAACAGCACACAAAATTCTGCAATCAAACTCTAGCACTAAACTGCAACTTGCCTCAGCATACAGAAAACCAATGCGTGGATCCTAGATTCCACTGAGAAGAGTTCTGCTCACAGGATTCCCCCTACCCCCAACCTAAGAAGTGGAGGCAATTTCTGTGGCTCCCCACTCCCAATATGCTCAGGGATGGGGGCGTTGGTCTCTCTGCAACAACATGGGCGATAGCTCAAAATACTTACAACTTGCAGGCTGTTCTCCATATCGTCGCATGATCTGGTCATGCGTGAACTTCACAAATGCGTCATACTGTTCTATAAGCAAGGAATATTCCAAGTGAATAATCAAATGTAACAATCGCTTGAACAGACTCTACAGAACACAGCCAGTACAGGAAAAAGGAAGCACTTCACATTAAGCACACTACACTCTTTGTGTGTCAGTTGGCGCTCTCTGCATTGTGCCTAAGCACCTGCTGACTTATTATCCCTTATAGCACTCTGTCTAGATGTAATAAAAGGAAGTCAGAGAAGGCCTCACATCCTCCCTTTAACTAGAAAAAGTCTTTCATCATTACATGTGGGCACAGATATTGTGGACTAAACAGGTGGCATCCAGCACACTCATGCCCTGATATCATCTGCCAGCAAAGTGACATATTGTCAGGTCTAAGTATTGTCATAATTTAAAAGCAGGCAAAGGATCATCAGATCCAAACAAAAGTCAGCTTTCTACACAGGCAGTTAACCTAAACTAAAGCCCAGAGCAAATTGTGATGAGCATTTATGTTGGGAATGTTTTTAGCGCAACATGTGAGAACTCAAGTGGCTCAGCCAAGCCAAGCTACTTTTCCTGCTCAGCATCATGGTGCAGGAATACAACTTGGTTAGTAATCATTTTGTGACTGCCATCCTACAGCAGGGGTGGGCAACCTGTGGTCCTCCAGATGCTGGACACAAACTCCCACCAGTCCTGGCCAGCATGGTCAATAGCCACAGATAAGAGCTGTTGTCCATAAACATGTGGAGGATCCCTTCCCACGCTACAGTAGAAATATCTTGCAGCAAATTGAAAGGAACAGGATCAGCCCTACCTCCTCCAGATAGAGCCAACTCACAAGAACTCAGCTACAATTATTACTCAGGAGACAGAGATTTATTTGTAACAGCTCACTACTGACTAATGTATAATTACTGCAAGTTTCATGCATTGTTTATTTTTGTCATACCTGCAAGTTTTGTGGTCAAAATTTCTTCATACTCTTCACGGATTTTCTCTTCACGTTCTTTGAGCAAGCGTTCACATATCATTCCAACTTGTCTGAGAGTAAAGAGGGGCTGTTCTTTTTTCAGTGGCGATGATGCTGCAGATGAAGTACCTATGAAAAAGTATTTTCATAGGTAATTAAGGTATATTTTAGAGAGCCTCCTAATTACTGATGAGTGTATAGAATACACTTGTAGCTGGTTTGAGGATCAGATTTTTGACCAGTGAGTGCAACCTCTGTCACAATCCAAAGCGAAGTCAACTGTGCTTTATATTTCCATAGATTTTAGTGTGTAACTTTCTCTGTATGATGGCTTTTGAAGACAACAGTCTAAGTTAAGTGCCTGTCAATTATTTACAATATGTATTGGCAACATCTCAGAATATCCACAAGGTAATTTGTCTGCAAACATATAAAATATGGCTTGATGTCCCATTTGCTAGTTGCTCTTAAAAGTCAGGCAGAGGAATCTCTGCTGGCTTGCCAGCATGTATGTTGGCCTGTTTTGTTAAAATGTCCTCTCAGGCTGAATGAGGTTCCCGTCCCTGGTATATAGTATGTTGCTCTTATTTTATACTCAACTTTTTGTACCCTTTTCAAAAAGGGTGGGCAACAGCCCATTTAAAAGTATATTCTCTCAATGATTATCTGGAAGAGAGCAGATAAAGAGTTTCTTATGAATATGCTCTTATTTGTTTCCACTGTTCATACTAACAGAGTATATCTCCTCTTCAAATAAAACTCTTCCTTCCACAGATTTTTTTCCTAGTGACACGCATAACTTACCTAGGATCCAAATTATCAAATGTTATGCAAGTTTACTTTAAAACTTTTACCTGGCAAAGCTGGTCCAGTAAGGAGAAATGCTTGTGACTGTGCATCAGTAGAACAACAGGGATCTGTTTGCTGAAAGTTTTCTAGGTGTCTCCTCTTCTGCATGCGTTTGTACTCCTGTTTTATATTGTACAGAATTTGCTCTAGAAAAAGGAGAACATATTCATTATGTTTCTGCTTATTAGTCTAGCAAAGATTTCAAAACCCAAACATGTTACATTGACTATATAAGTGCTGATTTACTATAGTATGCATCTTAGAAGTGTGGCTATGTAGTTCTGTCAAAACATTAAGAGCATATACGGTAAATAATTTTCAATGAATTACACTTTTTAAGAAGTTAAATTTATGCACCACAAAAGATAAAATTTTGTATTATAAACTCCAGCAATGTTCTTTCCTACACAAATTCCTAAGCAGCAACAGGTAGGGGGCCTAAATGGTTACATCTAGCAGAGGTCTCTGTTAACAGAAAGGGAAATGATTGGAGCAAGGTGGAATGCAAGGGAGGGAATCAGCAAAACTTGCCTCCAAACCCCTTTTGTTAGCAGAGAGGAACACTGAATCAAAGCTCCCTCAGTAGTTGCACTCCACTCCACTCAATGTGGATCCACTACCAGCCTACTATGACCTCCACTTTGTCCTAAAAGAATATTGAGAAAAATGACAGGTCACAAGCGTTAAATTGCGAACCATCGTTCCATGACATAGATTTGGTGGCAGCTACATTCATTCCACCTCCCTGATTTAGTCCGGCTTTAAAGGCACTAGACAATCAAGGACAAGATCCATGAACATGTTGTCAGTACCTCCTTATTTCTGTAGATGTGATGTTTCTACTCTCCTGCATACTGACTCTGTGACTGGGCCACATATGCAAAATAATCTGTGCTGCTTTTCCAAAGTAGATCTGAATAATTATGCATCACATTATCTCATTAAACTTAACTAAGTATTACCATTAAAAACGTACATCACTGCATTAGTTATAATTCATTTCTGAAATATTGCTGTACATTGAATGCACTACTGGCTTAAATGTGCACCATCCCCTTCCATTATGGCTTCTCTTGATCTTATGATAATATTCTCTAGACTGCTGTCTGGTGGGCAAATATGCATGCTCTCCCTTACAGATCTGCACTCTTCCCTGCACTTCACCAGAAAGAAACAAAAGGGGAAAGCAACCAGCCCTATCTACAGCACTTGCTTTGTGGGGCAAATGTAGTAAGACTGATTGTGTCTTTCTCCTCTATCCCATGCAGAAGGGTATCCACAGCAGAAGCATCTTTCTTAAGTCTCATGCAAGCACTTCTACAGAAATGCATCCCCCAACACTGCTGGCGGGGGAGAAGTAATCAGAGTGCAGATTCTCTCTCCCCACCCCTTCAATTTCAGCTTGCAGGTCTTGCAAGGTAGATTTCCACATGTAAACTCAGAACACCAAGATGCACATGCCACCTTTAATTTCACCCCCTCCCCCACATCTGCCAGAATTCATCATACTAGACTGTAGAATTAGCTTGTTGCCACCAAAAGCCAATCTAGATCCAGACACCATGGGGTATACTACTACCATCTCCTTTAAGGCAGTTAATGTAGCCTCTTTTGCCTCATCTAGTCTGCTTGCAAATACCAACTGAGTAAATATACAGAGTCACTTCCATTACTTGGGCGCGTTTGCTCATGTCCAACCTTGGAAACATTCCCAGATGGTTGTCTCATTATGGTACTTTTAAAAATTATTACTGTATCTCTCTTCTTTTTTTGAAAAAAAAACTTTCACTCTAAAAATCCTAGAGTAACAGTAACTTCCTGATCTGCTATAAAGTCCTATGTAAGATGAAACCAGGCACTTTGCTAAGGCAACAATGAAAGAGTAGCAAAATCTGTTCTCTCGGAAAGGACAGCACAGTAGCTTCAACACCTCAGCTAATAAGTGAAGTTGCACAGGATTCAAACCAGTTTAAGATATACAGTACAATACAGATCCATTTCTCTTAATTTGTATACCGCCTTTTTATTTTACTATACCCACGGCGGTTTACAAGCTGAAGAAACAAAGTATGTACACCTTATAACAATCTAATCGAATACAAAAATGTGATAATAAAACGTAACTTTAAAATAAGCAACTTATATCAAATAAAGTAATATTCAACAACTCATTAGAATAGTCATTCCAGTCTACAGCAAGAGTGGCTAACCTGTGGCCCACCACATGTTGGGATTCCCAAACCCACCAGTGTGGCAGTGGTTAGAAATGGGAGTTGTAGCCCAACAACATCTGGAGAAACATGGGTTAGCCAAACCCTGATAAGAGTGGGATTTGAGAAGTTCAAGCATCTATTAGTTAGACAAAAATTAAAATAAAATAATGGAATGCTTGTTTTGTTAACATTAAGAAACTTCCTTTTTTTTACATTTAGCATCCGAATTCCTAACCCGTTCTAAACCTTCAATAGATTGAATCTATTCTCACACTGTGAGAATCTCACAGTGTGAAAACTATCCCCTTTTGCATTCAGTATTTGTTCCCATTAAAAAATAAATAAATCCATATATTGCTTTTGAAAAATATCAGCTAATACCTGTATGTAGAAAAAGTAAAACTTAAAACTGTCTATTTTCACTTTTTGGGACACTACACAGAAAATATCAAGAGGCTGCATTAGTCCAATCCAGGGGTGCCCTGTTTCCCCCCCCCAAAGCAGGCCAGATTTGATGAAGTGAGCATGCGTGAGGGCCAACCAGACCTTTTTTTTTTTAGGATTGAAGTTGTTGAGCTTTTACCCCAGGAGATAAACTGCCACAGGGGCCAGATTACACCCCACCCCTGTAACAGACTTTGGACATGCCTGGTCTAACCAGAAAGCAAGACAGGATATAAAAGAAGGTGTAATCTAAAGAACAGTTAAGAAGCATCTCTAAATCATGCCTTGGAGGCAGAAACCAAAGGAGGCTGTGGAATGCTGGTCCCAGTAGTCCAGTCCTTTTCAACAACCAATGGTACATTATTTCTTTCTTTGGAGTATGCTTCTCATATAGGAAACTATTATCACTAAAGAAGCATATTCACTTTCAATGTTGTATTTAAGCTAATGTTGTTTAAATAATATTTAAATCTAATTTTTAAATTGGTAGCTATTTCCATACTTACTTTCTTGTCATACTGTAAGCATAGTTTCAATGTCATGGTAGCATTCCTGACACAAGGCCCAAAATACCCAAGATAGTGTCACTGTCAGCCAAGGTAGTGTAGTAGATAAGAATGTTGGGAATAAGACCTAGGAGACCAGGTCTTATAACCCCCCACCTAGCCATGAAGGTCAGAGTCTAGTTCACATCTACTACCCCAAACTATAGCTTAGTGGGAACCTGCAGGCTCCCACCAGCTTGCAAACACTTTGTTTTTCCATTATTATTTTTTGCCACCATGCTGAGCTACACCAAGATTTGCCTGACCATGCTGTCCAAACCATGGCTTGTGGTTAAGCTTTGTCTTCACCAACCACAAACTAGCCACAAATAAATCTTAGACAAATAACCAGGACTGCCCAAAATCTTAAATTGGATTTGAGTGTCAAGGAATTACAAAGTACAGTATTTACGTTCAAATGCTGAGAACAACCATTATGATTATCTTTGAGTTTAGATTTACCACCACTGCTGGGTTTGACAAACCTGGAGTTCAAAAGCTAGTCACTTTAAACAAGGTACTGCCAAGAAAACAAAAAAAGTATTCATATCAACAGCCATGATCCAGAGGCTCCACCTGCCACCGATCTGAGCCCCAACAACAACAAAAAATTATCCACAAATGGAGCAGCAGGTAGACAGTGCATTCAAAGACCTGTGCCGGAATGAAAACTATGTACTGATGAGAGTCCTGGGTGTAGGGGGGAGTCTCCACACACACACACACACACACACACACACACACACATTCAGTGGAGCAATCCAGAGCATCCAGATCAGCCCTTGTTGGATTAAGGTTCAGGTGACCAACTTTATGTTGAAAGAAATATTGCAAATTAGTTTCCCATCTTCCTTTAAGTTCTTAAATGTCTTGCCACTTCAAATTGTGTTGATCCAATAAAAACAAACAGAAGTCTATTTTCCATTATAGAGTAATATGAACAGAATAGTCCAGAGGGTGAGGAGGAAGTAAAAAATCCACCCAAACCCCCCCAAAACAGGCAGAACTGGGAAATCCCCAACCAAAGATTCTGCTAAAAGCAGTAAATCCTAGGGTTTAATCCAAAGCTGTCCATGTGCAAGCCAAATGGACTTCTGCTTGCGCAGCAAGACTTCACTTTCCTCTCCTCCCCTTGCAGTTCTCCGCACGCCCTCAAAATCTGCTCAGGGGGGTTGGGGGAGTGCAGGGGGCAGCAGATGAAGCTAAAGCCCAATTGTGCAAGTGGAAGTCCACTCACACATTGGATTCCACCCCTAATCTCCCAAAAGAATAATGTGGATTATATTCATATTTCCACTCTGGCTCCATAACCTCTGTTAAACAATAGAAGATGATGCAACAATAATTGTTACTTCTATTACACTAAGGGCATTCCATGGAATACGGACTGGATACATGGTAGCAAAACCTATTACATAATACTGATCTTTAACTGGTGGGCTCAAACTCAAGTTGGTCACACTAGCAACATAAACAAAAAAATTTCCTTTTTGGGTTAGTGGTATTTTTTCTTCTTTTAAGCAGAGAAAGAGGAAAAACAGAAAAGACCAAAAAAGTACTAAAAATAGTTCTCGTGGTTTGCTAGTACACTGAGATATTGAAGATGATATTTAAAATGTTTGGAATGTTACGGCTACTGAAAGCTGCCACTGATATATCCACATGCTTCTCAAGTTCTCACTAGTGTTACCTCTTCCTGTAATTTAGGAATAACATTATACCAGCAAATCAACTGTACCAGCTCTGCCATCTTCGTATTTGTAGTTTGAAATGTAGGACAGTTCAAAAAGGACACCGCAGGATAAGCATGGATCATATCATATGAAGTCATATTTTAATTTGCTCAAAAAAAATAAAAAATATTATGGTTAGCATTGGATAAATGCCCCAAATGTACTCCCCCAAATGCCCATATGTACACCAAAGGCTTCGTGAGTAGCATCTAAATGTATAAACATTAAGGAAGTATGTGTTCAAGATGACTGGGCAAGTGTGTTGCTCAGTCTAGGATGGCTCTCTCATGCAAGCAAGTCATCAAGTGATGGATAGGCACTTACACATGGGTAGGCAAACTAAGGCCCGGGGGGCGGATCCAGCCCAATCACCTTCTAAATCTGGCCTGCGGGCGGTCCAGGAATCAGCGTGTTTTTACATGAGTAGAATGCGTGCTTTCATTTAAAATGCTTCTCTGGGTTATTTGTGGGGCATAGGAATTTGTTCATCCCCCTCCCCCCAAAAAAATATAGTCCGGCTCCCCACAAGGTCTGAGGGACAGTGGTCCGGCCTCCTGCTGAAAAAGTTTGCTGACCCCTGCACTTACACGTGAACCACCTTAAGAGGAGTATTAGCACTGATCAAAGTCAGAAACTACATACCAGATGACCCAACTATTAAAAAATATCGCAATAGCATTGTTTTAAGCATCTATTCACTTAGTTTTCACTAAGGTGACAAATTTGTGTCTGGGCTGTAACTTCTTTAGACTGCATGACTGATTGACATTTTTTTCTATGGAGATGCAATCTGAGGACATCTTGACAGACAAGACTTACCAGACTTCAAAGTGTGGCAAGTCCCAGGTAAGTGTGTATAAAAAGCTGAGGAATCTATGACCCTCCAAATGTTGCTGAGCTACAAATCCCATCACACAGACCACTGGCTATGCTGGCTGGGGACGATGGAACAGTTGGAGGGCCACAGGTTTCCCACTCAAATGTAGAAGATTAAAGGAGCAGGCATGTGATTCCTTAACATTAATCTCTACTGATAAAGCCCAGACGGAAGTTTAGTATCAAGATGCTACTATGGCAAGTGATCTTATACTTTTTTAGTTATTTGGATTTTATACTAGAGTCTATGAACAGGAATGCTACAGGTGTCTGCATTGGTATTAAACCTAGATGTACAAACAGATCATTTAACCAAAACATAGCTAGAAATTCCCAGATGGGAAAAAGCTCTATAGCTCCCCAAGATAAAAAGTACTTTTCCCACCATGATTGCTCCAAGTAAATACACTGCACACCAAAATTACATCTTTGTCATACAGGTTTTAAGATATGCAATTTCTTTCAGACATGTACAAGTAGAAAAATCATAGAGAAAAGGCCAATTCAGCATGAATTCAGGAACACAGCAGCTGTCCAAACAATGTTTAGAACTCTTTGATACAATATTTACTCTGAATGTTTCCCTTCTCCTCTCCTACCAATAAAGCACTTATTTACCTATTCAAAACAGCTGGTGGCTCATTTTTTTTAGTGACACACCCACCAACTCGAAAGCTAGATTTTCTTCCTTAATTAAGCTAGATTGGCCTAAATCAATGTTTACATTGGCATAGATCCAAACATGCCTTGTGTGAAACAGAAAGGTATTTCTGCTTGTGCAATGTACCCCAGTAATTCTTCTGTTTCCTCATCCTGTTACAAGCCTATATGCCCCATTCCAAGCCATTCTAAGAGGCTCTGTAAACCCTCAGGAACAGCTTGGTTGGGTGTGTGCAAGGGGTAAGAATGGGAAGAGGGGGGAGGGGAGAGACAGAACACCCCATTGCACCAGTCCACTGTTCTTCTCAAGATCCAACCTCCTAAATTCAGGGGGAAATTGAGACCTGAAATGCTGTACATTGAACTGCTTTTAACAAACCAATTCCTATAGCCAATTAGTCTACAGTCTGATGCATGAGCTAATATGCTGACACAGCAACTCTGAGAAATGAGCAAAAGATGACAGAACTGATGTAAGGACAAAACTTCTCTTGCTGGGCTAATGCAGCAACTCGACCCCAGTCCAATGCAGCTGACGGTGTGGGTCGTAACATTTTTATACATGAAAAACCTAATGTTACCTTTTTCAATGGAAAAAACTCCACTTTAAGAATACATTCATAGAATTAGTAACATAACTAATGAATACAATAGAAATTCAAATCTGCCAACTAGAATGGATATACTAGTTTAAATCTAAAATCTAAGTTGCAATTAACTTTTTCATGTGGCTATTCATAGACAAAATATTTTATGTGCATCATTCTTCATGCACGCTGAAACTTAATACTTTACAATGCTGTCATTTCATTTATTAAAATATAAATAATGCAAAGGAATTATATGTCACTCAGCTATCATGCCAGAATTGAAGTAAAAATAATTTCCAAGTAAGCCAGGGGTGGAAAACCCTTTTCATATTAAGGGCCACTGACCCATGGGAAAAACAACCATGGAGGCCACTGCTAGTGATACGGAGTTAGCGCTTCATTATCTTTCTGCCACCCTATCTCTACTTCTATATTTTGTCTTATGAATCTACCTGCACTATGTTCCACTAACTCTGGGAGTGCACTTGCTGGGGACAAGTGTGCAAGCCCTTCTTAGTGGCAGCACTCAGATAATGGAAATCCCCTCTAAAAGAGGTTGATGTTTGAGTTTTAGGAGAGCAGTAATGATTTCAATCTGTTCTAACAAGCCTTCCTGTTGAGTGATGTATTTAGACTGCCCTAGTTGTTAGATGCCCTTTCATGCTGCAGTTTTAACTTATTTAATTAAAATACTGTATTTTTGTTGTCATGTTTCTGATCTAGATGCGTCCTTGGGAGCCCAAAGGCAGGGTAGAAATGATCTAAAATAATATTTTTAAAAGCTTAAGTCAAATAAACCCACAAAGTCAGCTTTCAATCAATTAGGGCAACAAAAAATGTCCAATAAAACCCACATCACTGAGTACTGCCACTACTGATGGCAACACACAAGTGGTACCTATGTTTTGTATAAAATAGCTGTATTCCATGAAACTTTGTTGCCCTTAACAGAACCAGTAACAACTAACATTGCAGAACACGAAAGTTATTCATTGTGTCTCCTGAATGTAAAGGTATTTAGTACCCTTATCAATGCTTATTAAAAGCAACCAAACCCACATCCTATTATGACAGCATTGCAACCAATCCTTACATCACACCTATGTAAGAAAGTCTACTTAACTGGCTTAACAGTTCAATGTTCTTGAACTGTACATACAGGAATATTTGATGTGCTACCTGATCTTTTAAATCTTTTGCTAAATTAGTATAACCTAATGTTTGCTAGATTAATGTAACTCATCAATTTAATTCATCCTCTGGCATGGAAAAACAGGCACATATCTGAGGCCCTTATTGTCATGCTTTAATTTACAGACTAGTTAGATTAAACACATGCCTGTTTCTGAGACCGGAAACATACAATAAATAAATTCCACACAGCATTGTATTTCTTGTGGAGTAAGACATTACAAATCTAGGTTATTTCAGCCCCAAGTTATTATTGGACAATTTGAACAAAGTCATAAGAATTTACACAGAAGCCCCACATTGTGAAGATTTACTTAAAACTAAATACCTCTGAATGACAAATCTCCAAATAATTTTGAAACAGACCTCTATGTGGAATTATTGGTCTTTAGTCTCAATTAGCATCTAAGGAAGATCATCTAAGTGTTTAAATACCTAGTTTTATACTTTTTTCTGGGTTTTTCAGCAGCACTGCACTTTTCAAGAGGATATGTGCTCCTAACCACTAATGCCTTCAAACTGCAGCTCCTTGACATGCCCAGCTGTTCACATCACTAAATCAAATTTAAACCCACATTTACATTAAATATTAATTGCATGGGTACTTCCACTTCCAGTGAAGTCACCAATCATAAATGTAGCATTTAACTAACACAACCTTGGTTCCTGCTTACACATTTAGCAATGTTTAGCTACTTTATGATTCAAACTAAACTGCAGTCCTGAATACATACTCCACTAACATAATTTACTAATGAGAAAGGTGTTAATTTAACTACCACACTTTGTTAACCCTTTTCAAATCAAATGTAGTCCACCAGGGTTTAACAGGAGATGGCTATGGTCCCAGACATTTGAGCATATCATCTCTCACAAGTGAGATTATCTATACAATGGGAAGACCAACATAATTTGAAGCAAGTTATTGTAGACATACCAAGATGCAAAATTTAAGGGCTAATTTAAATATTCATATTTCCATGTGACAACAAGCATTCTGTAATTAATGTGGCTTACACAGATCCACTTCTTACTATATGAAAACACAAGCTCTTGGGAAATGAAAGCTTAATAAAAACCAGCAAATTACTATGCCTGCTATCTCAGATAATCTTCAGACCCAAATGCCACATCCATATATGCAAAATAAACTGAAGATAATGGTCCCTACATTCATTAATTACTTGAGAACTGGGGGAGGGGGTGAAGACGACAAAATGATTGGGGGAGGATGAACTCTATATGGAATAAGATTTCGAATAGATCCAGTTAGTGGAATCCACACTCTGGGCCAACCATCTAAATACCTTCAGAGGTGTAATTCAATGAAACCTGATCCTGCAATTTATTCATTAGGTCTTGGGGTGCAGGAGGAAGAAGAGACAGGTTATCACCTTAACATTTCTGGTGAAGTGACACTGAAATGCATTCTCATCCTTACTAAGAGATGTTCAACAGCCACTGCCTTATTACAGCTTCTTACAAGAACGCCTTTATTGATTTGAGCCCCCGCGGAGACGTGAACAATACCCGGCTCAATACTGGAAGGGGGTGGGGTGGGGGAGAGAAATGCAATTCTTATCGTGGAACCGGCCCCTGCCGTCGCCCAGGCAGTCCACCTTGGGGTGATTGATGACAGCCCCCGCTCCGTCCCTCTCCCTGCCCTCCCCCGGTGTTTGAACGAGAAGGCGGAGGCACGGCCGCCTCGGCTCAGGCAACATACGCCCAAGAGTTTAATGGCTGCAACAAATCGATCGCCTGCACCGGGGAGGAGAGAAAGAAGGGCAAAGAGACGGAGAAAGAGACAGAGACACATTTTTCCCGGCCAAGATCCCGCCTCCCTCGCGATATAATTTCTCGGTTCCTCTTTCTCTCCGCACACATACCATTACCCCCGTCAAACGACAAGGAGCCAAGCAGCCCTCTCTCCCCCAAGGGGGGTGGGGGGGAGGAAGGTGCGGTGCTGAATAGAGAAATTCCCCTTTCCCAGACGCAGCCCGGCGGGGCTGAGTCTCCCCGCCCCTCTTCGCCCATTACACCGGCTCAGCCCCATTATCAACCCCCTTTCTGCGGCCTCTCCCGTATCGCTGCCACTTCCCCGCCCCCACCGCGGCGAGCGGCCATTTCCATTGTGCCGACTCCGCGGCGAAAGCGAAGCCAAAAGAGGTGGGGGGGGAGAAGAAAGGGGGGGCAGAGAAGGGAGGTGGCTGGGAAGAGAAAGCGGGGCGACGGGGGAGAAGCCAAGCGGACTCATGAAAAGCAAGCCAAGAAAGGGAGGCGGCGGAGGCGGCCTTCGCCCCTTATCCTAGAGTCTCTCTCTCTCCCCCCCCCCCGCCGTGCCCCGCCCTAGGCGCCCCTCGGGGCCCCGCTTACCTGTGGTGAGGCGAGTGGACACTTCCCCGAAGGGCGAAGGCTCCATGCGCAGGTATTTCTGCGGGGACGAGGCGAAGGAGGCCGCGGAGGAAGAGGAGGCGGCGGCCGCCGAAGCGGACAAAGGGGCGCAGCGCCGCCGCTTCGGCGAGGCCGGGCTCAGGAGCGGGTCGAAATCCAGAGTCCTTTTTAGGGTGGCGCCGCAGGCCATGGCGGAGGTGGAGGAAGACGAGGACGAAGAGGCTGAGGGAGCGGAGCCGGCTGGGCCTTCGCCACCAAGAGAGCGAGCGGGGCCGGAAGGAGCTGACGAGACCGGGGGGGAAGGAGGGAACGGAGGAGAAGGGGGGCGGAGGAGGCGCTTCAGGCGCTGCCTCGCCGCGTCAGGCTCGGGGTCGCCACTGCTACGCGCCTCCTGGGCTTTTCTGCTGCCTGCCGGCCGCCGGCTCCGCCTGCGTCTCCAGGGAGCGGCCCGGAGCTCTCGGCCCGGCTCGGCTGGACTCGTCGGCTCCGCCCGCGGAAAATCCTCCCCGGGCCGAATCCGGGAGGGTGTCTAGGCCGGTGGGAGCGGCACGACGGGAGGCTACCCGGCCTGAGGCCGCCGATGACGAGAGATAGCCGCGGCGGGAGCTGCCGTGCGCCTCTGTGACTCTTCCACACCAGCAATATGGCGTCAATAACAACGCCGCTGATTCAAAAAACCATCCCTCGCCGACGCGCCTGCGCGGCACGGGGGTGGCGCCCGCCGCAAAGGTTCAGGGGAGTTGTGGTTCTCTCAGGGTCACCTCCCTTCGTTTGATGCAAGGGCGCAGGAGGGGAGCGGGGAACTACGTTTCCCGTCGTTCTTCGCGCTAAGGACATGACTTCCGGGTGGAATTTAAATCCCCGCAGAGAACCCTGTACCTCAGGAATGCGAGTGAAACGGGGTGAAGGAATGGAAGCGGTCTTCTTAATATGGGGAGTAGCAGGAAAGGAGCCGGGCAGCGGGGAAAGGAGCTTAGTTTGCGGAAATTATAAATGGCTGATGGTACTTAATTATAATATCAGCCATAATAACACCTGGTCCAGAAGAAAGGGCGTTTCATTCAGCTATCTCTGAAACACTGAAGTACAGTAGATTGTGGGGAAAGATGAATGAATGAAAGAACAAGAAAAAATCCCCGAAAGGAAGAAATTCGCATTTATAATACTCTTCTTGACTGTGCTCCAGCTAGTGGGGTGGGGAGAAAAAACTCCTTTCTAATGGCTTCACCGTTCTAGACAACACTTTGTATTAAAGGAAATAAATCACACATACAGCTCTTAAAATGTTTGAATTTAAATGCCAATAGTGACTGAAATAAATTCAAATATCTGTGAAAACAAACATTTGATTCTCAAAAGCATTAATAATTGTACAGATAGAAAACCATGGTGTGCCTGTAAATTGATTTCTTTGAATCTTGATAACAATACAGTATTATTTTTTTTAAGGCCAGCCAAGAGCAGCATATTCCCCCCGCCCTAGAAACATCACTCTGTTGGGGGGCTATAGTGAGTGATTATAGAACCTACAGTCTTACTCTGGAAAAGATGATAAGGTAAAGGGACCAGTCGGAACCGACTCTGGGGTTGCGACGCTCATCTCGCTTTATTGGCCGAGGGAGCCGGTGTACAGCTTCCGGGTCATGTGGCCAGCATGACTAAGCTGCATCTGGCGAACCAGAGCAGCGCACGGAAACGCCGTTTACCTTCCCGCCAGAGCGGTACCTATTTATCTACTTGCACTTTGATGTGCTTTCGAACTGCTAGGTTGGCAGGAGCAGGGACCGAGCAACGGGAGCTCACCCCGTCGCGGGGATTCAAACCACTGACCTTCTGATCAGCAAGTCCTAGGCTCTGTGGTTTAACCCACAGTGCCACCTGCGTCCCGGAAAAGATGATAGCATGTAACAATTGATCACATTCTACAAAGGCTCTCTCAGTAATACAGCAAACCTGAAAAGTAGGCCAAAATTATCGTCCCCATATTGCAGTTGAAAAGTGAATATTTTGATTTGAATAGCTAATATCTATACCACTTTATGAGAGAGAGTGAGAAGCTTCCCCATGGTCACGTAGTGAATTTAAGCTGGGGAAAACATTTTAAGTCGGGGACTTCCTGGTTCTTGCCCACTGTTCTATTCAAGGAAAGAGCTATGGTTTTCTGAACTGGAATATAGAAAGGGCCACTTAATCTTCTCAAATCAAACTAACTACATAGGGTGCATCTGCAGTTGTATCATACCAGCCAGGCTGGAAGGCAGTGTGGCAAGCCTAGAGCTGGCAGAGCAGTCGGGCTTGATGCTTTCAAGAGGTGGCCGTGGGGCAGACTCGAGATCCAGCAGATCCTAGCTCAGTCCTGACCCCTGGATTCAACATTTTTTTCCTCCCTCTCCCATGCCACTAGAACTCATAGAATTGTAGAGTTGGAAGGGATTCTGAGGATCATCTAGTCTAACCGCCTGCAATGCAGGAATCTGCAGCTGTCCCATATGGGAAATGAACTTGCAACCTTCGCATTATCAGCACCACACTCTGACCAACTGAGCTATCAAACTAGCAGATTTTTATTTTATGGTGTAAGCACTGATTATTGGGGAAACAGTAAGTAGGTCATGATTAGGCTTGAGCCACAAGGTCTAATACTCAACTAAATATTGCACCAATACTTGAGCAGCTGATTTTATTTCATAATTTAATGGCAAGAATACAGAAGATGAGCAATATGAACAACATGTTGAGAGATCAGGAAGCTTGGCCTTTGGCATCTAATGCCAGTGGAGGAAGCCCTGATGCCAGCAGATGCCCCTTCCTAGCTTCCTGTATAAATATTAAATATCCGCACAGAGATCACTGTCAGAGTTAAACAGTCGCAGACAGTGATATTTAGATCTCCCATCTCCTACATTACTGGAGTTTCCCACACCACTACCACAGAACTCCCACAGGGAGGCAAAAGTCCAGATGGAAATGTGACATACACAAGCCATCTTCCTGACAGTGTGCTGGCTAGGATTCTGCACAAAGAAGCACAGCTACCATTTACGCTTTACACAAGCACAAGCCTGTCTGAATCAAAGAAGGTCTGGCTGTAACTGATGAGTTCCAAGTATTGTTCACATGGGTTTGTTCTTCAATCAAATGAATTGTTAAGACATGTTCTAGCATCACATGTCCAGGTATCAGGTTCTGGCTAAAGGCCAGGATTTGGCCTTGCACTGACAAAGTGTAATTTCATTGGGGTGCTAACAACACTTTTTATTTAGGCATTTTTGTACTGCTTATTTGTTTCCATGAAAGGCCATCATAAAAAGGAGCATAATAAAAACATAAAGCATAGCAATAGACAGCATTGGTTGGCATCTGTCTCAGGAGGCAATGGAGGAGTGAGTCTTTGGGGTGAGGTCAAGCATCATAATAACAGCACCCTCCTTTTAACAGGGTATGGATTATTTAATGGCCAAAGGCCTGAGTAGAGAGGTATGTTTTTGCTTGGCACCTAAAAACATGTAATGATGGCACCAGGAGAGTCCCTCTGGGTAGAGCATTCCACAGACAGGGAATTATGACAGAAAAAGTTCGTTCTTGTGTTGTCACCCTCTGAACCTCTCAGGGAGTGGGGACATAGAAAAAGGCCTATGATGACAAGCGCAGGGTCTGGGTTGGATGATATGAGAAGAGGCAGTCCTTAAGGTATTGAGGTCCTGAGCCATGTAAGGCACATTTATAATGCACATGTGACCTCAAAGGAAAACTTACATTTTGGCGCCGCAAGTAACTCCAAAATTATGTATAAGATATTCTTTTTTGAAACAAAATCACGAGGTCGTGCTCACTTTGGCAGCACGTATACAAAATCAGAGGTTGTCAATAACTATTAGGTATGCAGCCAACTCCCCATTTGCACACAGTTGAGGCATAAGTGACACCTGGAGCGGTATTATGCTCTTTCTGCTGAACGCAACCCCTGCACAAATGGGGAGTTGCCTGTAGTTAAACCATATTAGGCAATTTCTGCCTTTAAATTTGTATAATTTTCCAATTGTGTTTGCAAAATATTTAGAACTAAAAGCTTCAACCTGATGGGGCTCTGGGAACTACCTGATATTCAAATTAATAATAATACGATTGGTGTCTGTTTAATTAATAAGCACACTATAGAGCTGCAACCACAATATAGAGCCGTGATGTTTGCAAAAACCTAGCAGTGATACTTGGAAAGCATACTAGAACAGTGGTTGTGGACAATCTGTATTTCTTATCAAAGTTCAACAAGATGCACTAGTATAAACAGCCTTCACATTTTTTTCACATGGAAATCAGGCCTTTGGGAAGGATAAAAAGGACCACAGCCTTATGCATACTTCTGAGAACAGATCCCACCAAATTCTTCTGAGTAAACATGCATAGCATTGCACTGTAAAAGTGGGGGAAAGCTTTCAGATTCACTTATGGCCTTGTAAGAAGAAAGCTGTGTCCCTTTCCATTATTATACATTAATCAGCTCTGCCTGCTCTCTAGACTAGAACAGACTTACCATTAAAATGAGACAACCGAAGGCAACCTTTACCATAACTCAGCATTTTAAAATATAACAGTGGCAAGGATAGAACACAGAGTTCTTGGTCTTTGTTCACACAGGTGCTTTGGGGAGAGACATTGAAAAATGACTTTAAATGCACAACATCGTGCTATTTAAAGCTGAGAATTAAAAACCACTGAGCATTGCAGCAATTTTTCCATTGTTAATCTTGCCCGATAGAAGATGCTATGGATTGCTTTTTTGCTTTAGGCTCCTATCATGTGCCATTTAACCTGGCAGCAAGCCCCCATTGTACTTAGCAGAACTTACTTCTGAACAGACATGGGCAGGACTGCACTGTTAATGAATTTTATGTAGTGCTTTGAAAATGTGTCTGTGTCTGGACGCCTATTATTTTTTTAGCCATACCAGTCTCTCAGGAAATCTGTCTCCCAATTCTAAGCAAGCCAAGAAAGTGGATCAGCCAGTCAGATGAACATTGATTTTACAAGCTTCCTAAAAATACTATCACCTTCAGAGCATTATCACAAGGCATGAAACACTCTTTCCCAAGTACTAAGACTCTTGTCTTCTGTGCTGTCATTTCCTCTTTCTGCCTCTCTTGCATAGAGCTTCATTGACCCATCTGCTCCCATATTCCTTACCCCTTCTTATAACCCTTTTACTTGACTAGATTTCCCCCTCCCAAATGTATCTCTCATGAAAGGAACACAATGTTTTCTCATCTTTATTCCTTTGTTGATCTGTCTTGTTGTCTAACCATAGTTGAGTCACTGCTCTTGGAGATATGGTGCCTCCCTGCTTGAGACTTCAGGGAGTACTGTACTATAAACACACAGTATATAATTCAAAGAGATGGGATGAGCAAACAATGCAGGCTCATTTATGAGCAGGCTTAGTCCTGCTTAAGATCCCTAAGGAAATCTTACTATTAAGAAAGGTTTGATGATGTGGCCTGAAAATGCTGTATGAAAGATCTCTTGAGAGTCAGTAGAGTCTTGGTATACAAATGTCAGGGAGGACAACAAAGAGAGGCTAAGACTATGTGGCTAGCTTTAGCAATCACTACTTCATAGCTATGTTTTGAGATATCAGCAAGTTACCTTCAGGAAAAATAAATATTGGTAAAGTTTGAGGTGTGAAGATTACTTTGTTGGCATTTTCAAAATAGACATTGATTCAAAATTAAAATCAATGCAAACTTATACCACTAATTCATTAGGCAAGCTTTAGGTAAAGCATCAAATCTATTCAACTCAGAGTACATCCACTGAAATCAATGGACCTAACTTAGTCATGTTTATTTTTTTAAAATTTTTATTTTTCTCTCCCTCCTCCCAGCATGTTTATTAATTGCAGTGGGTCTACTCTGTGTAAAACATAGCTGAGTACCAACCTATTTATTTTCTGTAAGCCATTCTTGTACCACTCAACTGTGACCAAGTAACAGAACCCAAAACGGGCTTCTGCAAATAAGAAATGGCTCTTTAGCAGCTCAGATTTCTATTGCCAACACTGCAAGAACAAGCAGGTGCAAGTGTTTGGGTTGCATGTTCCCCCTTCTATCTTGCATGTAATAACATGAAGCTTGTTGTTCCTGTTTTGGACAAACCACAGTTTCCAGTTATGAAGACAAGAAACTGTAGCTTGTTCTAATCTCAGCTCAGATAAACCCGTTTTCAGCTGTGGTTTCAGATCCTGATTTGTTAACCAATGAAGAAAAACAAATCAGCTTCTCATATTCAGATATAGCACTGTGGTTTGTTTGTTCTTAAAAGTCATCAGAAGCCTTAAGCTTCCTTATTTTGAGAGGAGACTGTGCAAGTCTAAGATTTGCACTTGCTCATCCCTGTACTGTAATCCTAAACAATGCTTTATAATCAATGGCAACTGCATGGTGGATAAGGCTTTTAGTGGCAACTAACCAGATGGGACATGGGTGGTGTTGTGGGTTAAACCACAGAGCCTAGGACTTGCCGATCAGAAGGTCGGTGGTTCAAATCCCCATGACGGGGTGAGCTCCCGTTGCTTGGTCCCTGCTCCTGCCAACCTAGCAGTTTGAAAGCACATCAAAGTGCAAGTAGATAAATAGGGACCGCTCCGGTGGGAAGGTAAACGGCGTTTCCGTGTGCTGCTCTGGTTCGCCAGAAGCGGCTTAGTCATGCTGGCCACATGACCCGGAAGCTGTACGCTGGCACCCTCGGCCAATAAAGTGAGATGAGTGCCGCAACCCCAGAGTCGGCCATGACTGGACCTAATGGTCAGGGGTCCCTTTACCTTTACTTTAACCAGATGGTTATATACTATCCTCTATTATCAGAAGCAACATGCCTCCGAATACCGGTTGCTGGCGTACGAGAATGGGAGAGGGCTATTGCCTGATTATGGTCTTCCCATAGGCGCTTGGTTGGCTACTGTGTGAAACAAGATCTGTTCAGCAGGGCTCTTTTAATGTCTGGACCAAGCCGTTGCATTTAGGTAGGACAAAGTAGAAGAGCTACAAACAGGGACCAGGGTTCAAATCCCCACAGCCATGAAGCTCATTTGGTAACATTAGACATGTTACAATCTCTCAGCCTAACCCACCTCACAGGGTTGTTGTGAGAAGAGCATGGAGAGGGAGAGAACTGTTGGTTTCTGCTTTCCTTCACTGTGCAGCCAACTTGTCACGAGACAGGTGTTTACATTCCACAGTCTGTACTGTTGGAGTTTCTCACGGGAAAGGGAGGCTGGATGTGACGTACACTGGTTTCCTGTTTTTCACTGTGTGATTCTCTCCGAGCTGTTGAGGAGAGAGGATGCATTTCTCTGCTCCGGCAGAGGCAAGATGTCTTTCTGTAATATACCAGCTTTGAACTGTAAATAAAGCAATATAGAGTATGCAGCACGTATTACTCATCCTTCCGCTGGCCACGAGACTCTGCTTTAATCAACACGTGGTTATGGGCTCCAGAAGTCGAATCAGAGTGCCGGCAGAGGATCGGAATGCAGAGGGACGGATCGGAAAGGAATCTGCTCTGCGCGTAGAAGTGATTGATGAGGTATGTGCTACTGCTCCGGGCAGCCTGCCAGCTTCAAGTTAATGGCTTTATGGCTGGACTTTGAACTTTTAAAGCCGGTTTTGCCGGGAATAGGCAAAGGCTCCCAGGCACAAGTCACTATGCTGGGGAAATCGAAAGTAACTTTTAAGTGCGCCTTTGTAATAAGGCAGCTGCAGCAGTGACGCAGCAAGATTTAAAGCAGCATATGACGCTGAAGGCTAATGCCAGAGTCATGATGGCCCTTCAGGATGCTTGTGGGACTCCTAAGCTCAACAAGAAAAATTACAGCGACTGGGTTCAGTATGCAGAGGCAATTCTGCGGAAAGAGGGTTTGTTTGAGGTGATTACAGAAACCCCCCCAGTTCCAGTTACAGATGCATGGAAAGCTAAGGATTCCAAAGCAAGGGGAACTCTTACATTGATAGTATCCCCAGAAGAGCTCTGTCTATTGCGTGATAAGACCTCAGCCAGAGAAATTTGGGACGCTTTGAGAGAGGCTCACTTAAGGACAGAAGCTGGATCCACTATGTTTTACTTTAACAAGCTGCACAATATGGCTCTTGCTGAAGGTGGAGATGTGCGTTTACATCTGATGGAGATGCAAAATCTGAGACATGAGCTGCAACAGAGAGGACTCAACTTTCCAGAGGCTGTGTATTCTTTCATGATACTACAATCTTTGGGTTCAGGTTGGGAGTCTGTTGCAACCCAGATTGCTGTGCAACCAACTGCTCAGCTGACAGTGGACTTTGTTACTGCCGTGATTTTAAATGAAGCAGATCGCCGGGGTGCTAGCTGCATGGGCAAGGGGAGTCTTCACAGACGTCATCCCATAGTGCAGTGGAACCACCAGATGGCGCCAAAGCTTTGAAGGCAGTGAAATGCTACTCGTGTGGACGTCTAGGCCATATGAAGAGGGAATGCAGACATCCCAGGGCCAAGACAGAGCAGCGCAGCGAAAGCTCATCACGCGGAAAAGGCCGAGGCAAAGGCAAAGGTCCGGTGTCTAGGACAACGCAGCACAAGGCTATGGTTTCACGCTTCACTCCAAAGGTTGCAGAGGTCCAGAAGACGTCTAGATCTTTCTTCGTTGTTGATTCAGCGGCCACCCACCACATGTGCAACGATAAGAGACTGTTTGTGTCTTTTACACCGCAGGAAGGTGCGATTCACCAGGCGGATGACCACACTATTCCCAGTAAAGGCTACGGAACTGTTGTTCTTCACAGTTTGGACTTATCGATACAGAATGTGCTTTACGTGCCAGACGCCAAACATAATCTGCTCAGCGTTGGACAGCTGAATGAGCGGAACATTGACGTTTCCTTCAAGAACAAGAAGTGCATCATCACAAAGAAAAATGATTATGTATTGCATGCAGAATATGTTGATCATTTGTTTGTTTTGTATTATGATGATGTGGTGCAGGATGACACTTGTTGCATTGCAGGTTCTAACAAAAGTTTGCATGCAGAATGTATTCACGATTTTCATCGAAAATTTGGTCATTTGCATTTTGAGGCAGTATCTAAAATGCCTGCCTTGGTTGAAGGTATGACTATTAAACCCTGCAGGTACCACATGAAGTGCAAAGCATGCGCAGCAAACAAGGTGAAAATGGCTGCGAAAGGTAAGGTGTCTAGTAGGACAGCTACAGAACCATACCAGGTTGTTCATGCTGATTTGGTTGGACCACTAGCGCCCTCTTTGGGTGGAAATAGATACTTCATGGTTCTCATTGATGCATTTTCTAGATATATTTATGTGTACAATCTCAAGCAGAAATCGGAGGCTTTTCCTAGGTTCAAGGAATTCTGTGCTTGGTTGGAAAATGTGCATGGTAAGAAGATAAAGACTCTTTTCAGTGATCGCGGGGGGGAATTCACTTCTCAGCAGTTTGAAGCTTTTCTGACTGAGAAAGGAATTCAACACGATTTGTCTAGTCCTCGCTCGCCATGGCAGAATGGACTTGCGGAACGGGCAAATCAGACATTGCTTCAAGGGTTAAAAACCTTGCTGCATGATGCCAATCTTCCAGAGAGTTATTGGGCCGAATCTCTCTCGTGTTTTGTTTACAGTTACAATCGCAGGTTATCTTCAGCGATTGGTTGTACCTCTATGAGAAGATGTTTGGCAAGAAGCCATACATCAAACACATGAAGATTTTTGGTTCTGACATGTGGGTTCGCTCACCACAAAACTCCAAGTTAGACAAGCGTGGATTGCATGGTATCTTTCTAGGTTATCAGAAAGGGTCTTACAGAATAATGATGACTGACTCTAAGACAATTAAGCTCACGAGAAGTGTTGAGTACAATGCAAAGTGGGGGGAGAATGTGGGAATTTTCCAATGTTATCCTGATGACGGTGATGAGACTGAGGATAGTCAAAAGCAACCACAACAACCCACACCCACTGATGAAGGTTCTGAGTCTGAATCTGAAACTGAATCGGGTGATTCAGAGGATTTCAAGAGTGCGAAAGCCTCTATGCGACCCTCTGAAAGCTCTGATCAAGAATTGGAGGAACCATTGTTCACAATAGGTCGTTTTTCTCCTAAGAAGGAAGAGGAGAGTGTTGAAGACTTAAGACTAATTCGTAGGTCACAGAGAGCCACAAAAGGCAAACCTCCAAAGAGATTTGCTGATGAGTTTGCTAAGATAGCAGTAACAGCTGTTAAAAGCTCCAAGAAGGTATTTGAACCTTCAAGTTTCCAAGAAATCCAGGGTTTGGATTCGAAGGAAGCTGAGCCATGGTTAAATGCCATGAAGGCTGAGCTTGATTCCTTAGAAAGGAACAAAACATGGGAGCTAGTTCCAGTAGTTCCAGGAATGAAACTGCTTGGAAGCAAATGGGTCTTCAAAGCGAAGACAGATCAAAATGGCAAGATAGTCAGACACAAAGCCAGATTGGTAGCCAGAGGTTTTGCACAGGTACCAGGTGAAGACTATCACGAGACCTATTCACCCACAGTGAGATATGAAAGCATTAGGCTTATGCTCAAGCTAGCTGCAGAAGAAAATCTACACATTAGTCACCATGATATTAATACAGCTTTTCTGTACGGATCTCTAGATGAATCACTTTATATGCTTCCACCTAATGGCGTACAGGTAAAACAGGGATTTGTTTGTGCTCTGAAGAAATCCCTTTATGGTCTCAAACAAAGTGCACGGTGTTGGCACACAAAACTCACTGAAGTATTGTTTTCTCTAGGTTTTCAGCAAGGGAAAGCTGATCCATGTGTATTTGTCAAAGAGGAGGGGCAAAAGAAACTGTACTGTTTGTTTTATGTTGATGATTTATTATTCTTTTGGAAAGATGTTGCAATGTACAATAGCGCCCTAGCTCAACTGAAAGAGCACTTTGACATGAAAGATCTTGGTGAGGTAAACAACTACCTATCTCTGGAAATAGAGAGAGATCAAGATGGTAACATTCTAGTACACCAGTCACGGAAAATTGCTGATGTGTTAAGCAAACTAAATCTGATGGATGCTAACCCTGTAGACACACCGATGACAACAGGTTATCAGGTAGATGACACTGAAGAAGCATTTTCTGACACTACACTGTACAGGAGTGTGCTAGGCAAGCTAAACTTCATTGCCAGATGTTCAAGACCAGACATTGCTGTTAGCTGTAATTTGCTAAGCAGACAAGTCAACAATCCTAGTGTCAAGGATTGGAAAGCTCTGAAACGCATAGCGCGGTATTTGAAAGGCACTATGCATTACAGACTGAGATTTAACAATCAGAAGTCTGGTGGTCTTGAGATATTTGCAGATGCAAGTTTTGGAAGTGACGCTACAGACAGGAAAAGTACGTCTGGAGTTTGCTACATGTACAATCAGAGTCTGTTTGATTGGTCATGCAAGAAGCAAACAACAGTTAGCTTAAGTACTTGTGAAGCTGAACTGAATGCACTGTCTTATTCACTTAAGGATTGTGAATGGTTAGTACAATTGTGCAAAGATATGAAAATTCCTGTCAAATGTCCAATCCAGGTTTACCAGGACAACAAAGCATGTTTGGCTTTGCTGAAGTCTGAAGGTTGTAAGCAAAGCACAAAACACTTGCAATTAAAGTTGCAGCATGCTAGGGAGTGTATTCAGAAGGGACTCGTAACGGTGTCCTATATGCCAGGTAATGAAATTCCTGCTGATGTATTGTCCAAGATTGTATCGAGGGATCAACACTGTACCTATGTGCAGAAGTTGGGTTTGTACTGATATTGTGCAAACACGCTGCCCAGTGATGTTCACAGAAAGGGGGAGGATGTTGGTTTCTGCTTTCCTTCACTGTGCAGCCAACTTGTCACGAGACAGGTGTTTACATTCCACAGTCTGTACTGTTGGAGTTTCTCACGGGAAAGGGAGGCTGGATGTGACGTACACTGGTTTCCTGTTTTTCACTGTGTGATTCTCTCCGAGCTGTTGAGGAGAGAGGATGCATTTCTCTGCTCCGGCAGAGGCAAGATGTCTTTCTGTAATATACCAGCTTTGAACTGTAAATAAAGCAATATAGAGTATGCAGCACGTATTACTCATCCTTCCGCTGGCCACGAGACTCTACTTTAAATCAACAAGAACAATGTACTCTACCATGAAGAAGTGTACTTTTCCTTGGAAGAAAGGTGGGATTTTAAAAAGTGTTTTTTTTAAGTAAGTAAAAAGTCACCATCTACAAATTAACTATTTCAATTTAATTATATTTTAATGTTCAACAGGACTATTCCAGAGTATGTGGTATGTAGTGAGAAACCTCAGACTATTCAGTATATGCAGTATATTAAATGTTCCCTTACAGCACCCCTATACCAGGTAGATTTTATGTAAAAGTTAAAGGCAGAGGAGGAACTTACTAAATGCCAAGGATGTTTGGTTAAGATCCGAAGCATAAATTTCCTCTGTGGGTCATTTATTTATGGGTAACTTATAACCTTTGCTTGATCATTTGTTTGTTAGAGATAACCATGCACATCCTGGATTCAGCTGGGAAATCTTTTCTAGCTAGTAGGACTAAAGGGTCAAAATATGCCTTGTGAAATTCACCATGATTCCCCATTGCAAGTTGGAGGTACCCAAAGGTGAATTTGGCTTCAAGAGTCTGGTTTACAATAACACTGGCCATTATTGCACTTGCATGTTGCAGATAGGGGTAAGGCCTAGCATCTGAACACCCATGATCACCAGAGCCTTGACACCAACATCTTAAACCCAGTTCTGTGTGTCATTGAAATAACTCAAGAGCCTGATGAATCTTAGGCCCAAGGTAGACAAGACACAGGATTCCATGCCTCTTTTCTGCAACGGACTTTTGCTCTGAAATGAAAAGTATCCTTGGAAGGCTGCAACCAGGAGTTGAAGAACAGATGGAGGAGTTTAATAATAATAATAATAATAATAATAATAATAATAATAATTTATTTATACCGCGCCCATCTGGCTGGGCTTCCCCAGCCACTCTGGGCAGCTTCCAAAAAAATATTAAAATACTGTAATACATCAAACATTAAAAGCTTCCCTAAACAGGGATGCCTAAACCCTCGGGCAACTTGTCCACCCATGATTACCCTCAAGCTGCTTTCTTACCAACAGCAAAATGGTGGTGATTTTGAGTAGACAAATGGTAGGAAGGGATAGAGTTAAGTAGAAGCTGCAAGTCTTCCTCGTCCACCACTACTCTTCTTTCAAGTGCTACTTTACATTTTTTTAAAAAAGGTGGTAAGAGACAGATAACTCTTTTCACATATATTTTGGCTATTGCTTACAAAAATAGCTAGCTTTTGAACCTTGAAGCTCACAGGAACCCCAGGCATTACCATCTTCCAAGAGTTTTCCCACATACCAACCATTTACTTCATGAAGCTTTGGTGAAGGGTGATAGCATATAGGTATAGCATCAGCTTTACGTGCAGAAGGTCCTGAAGTCAAGGAGGGCAGAGAAAGGGTCCCCATCTGAAGCCCTGGAGAAAGCCACTTCCGGCCTGCCCAGGAGGTGGGGTTGCGGGCTTCACGCCCACCCCACGTGAGCGGGGGCTGGTTTCAGCCCCCGTGAGAGCAGGGGAATCCCAGCTGCGTCGTCCACCCAGCCAGCCAATCGGGTGGCTGGGGGGGGCGTGGCCTGCCCTATTTAGGGCCGGTGCGGCCGGGGCTCGCCCTCTTCTGCTGGCTAGCCCCCACATTTTCCCACCCTCCCTTTAGGTAGGTTTCTGACTTTGCTATGGACTTTGGTCTGTCGCCGCAAGGGGCATGGTAGGAATTTTTCCCAATTGGCAATTTACAGCCATTTGGTTTTTCGCCTACCTCGTAGCAACTCGTCACAACTTCTCGGCATTGGCGGTTAGGCATTGGTAAGAAGCGGTTTAGAGGATGTGGGGGGGGGGAACACCATCACCTCCCCCCAGAGATTGAAGGGTGGTCCGATAAAGGACTCTGGGGGGCGTGGCCCTGTCCGAAGCCTATGGAGGTGTGGGCTTAAGGCACGCCCCTGAGCGGTGACCCGGGGGAGCTCCTAGTTGACGTGCCTCAGCAGGAGACTCCCCCACTATGGTGTTAACCCTTCCCGTGTCTCCAGCAAATGGGCTGGAGCCGGAAAGTCGATAGGACCAATGCCTAAGCCAATGCCTCTCATTCCTAAATTCAATAAAGTTGTGGCCTAATTTGCCCATTTACCCTTAAATTCTGGTGTCTAGTGTCTTTATCCTTGGTGGGGGGCGGGAACTCACCACGCAACCACTGTCAGTCATCCTAGATGATACTGAACTAGCTAGGCCAATGATCTGACCAGTGGCGTAGCTTGGGGGGTGCAGGGGGGCTGGCCACACCGGGCGCAACATCTGGGGGGGGGCACGCTCGCACTTGCAGCTCTCTGCCCCTACCTAAAATCCACAGGTTAGGGGGTGCAAATTACTTGCCTTGCCCCGGGTGCTGACAACCCACGCTACCCCACTGGATCTGACTGTTAAAAGTGGTTTCCTGTTTTTGTACATTTGAGAGGATCTGGTGGCTTAAATGGCACAGAGATGGTAAAACAACTCATCTACCACCCAGGTAGATGTTTGGAGTAATCAAGAGGTTACAGGGGGAAAATAGTCTCCTTTTCCTCTGTTTTCCTCTCTTCAGTCAAAATTGCTTATCTGTTTTGGTTATGGAAATTTGTTGGGGAGATCAAGCTACTCATCTGCCCTCCAGCAAAGCAGTCACAAAATGCTTCACACTTTTAATAAAGGATCTAGGTTCCTAAGGAAAAATGTTCATTGCATGTTATCTTTAAAAAAAAGTAAGAAAAAAAAGTAGTAGTTATTTTTCAGGTGTGGGCACTTTAGTGAGGTAGTTTTGGGCAAACAAAGGAAAGGAAGGAATAGCTTCTCACCTCCACCTCTGGCTACTTTCCATTTTAAGATGTTGGAAGGAAAGAGACAAATCATCCCAATTTCAGCTCTAAGCTGCATGCAAATGAATGCTGAGGAGGCAGTAGGAGACATTAATTCAGATTAACTTTGTGATGGAAAGAGAGATCCACAGCTGGGAATGCCTCCCCATCATGTGGGTCAACCATCTGTGCTTGGCAGATAAGCCTGTCTGTGAAGAGGTTGTGCTTGGCTAATTGTGGAGAATGCACAGGAGATGCAGGAGGAGCGGGTGGCTCTTAAAGTTGCTTGCAGGGCAGAAAGTCTGGCGAAATGAGCGTAAAGGCTGGTTCTAATTTAAGAAAATTTTAAAGGGGGCACGTGTGCTATGATGACCTTAAGCATACTTGGAACGTAACAGGGCAAATCTAGGGGTCATCGGATGAGCTCTAGTGTGCATCTGTCTGTGAGTCATTTGTTCCACTGTAGACAGAGGCAGCCTATGTCATGGTAGGAGTAACACTTGTATGCATTTTATCCATACCACATTACTCTTGTATAAAAAGAGGCAGGAAGTTTTCTTGCGGCACTTCCCACACCTACCGATATATTACATGCAAGCAGAAGAGAAGGGGGGAAAGAACACCTGTTTTTATATAATGCACGTATGTGTTTACTGGGGAAGTAAATTCCATGAACATCTGAGTTCCCATAAATACGAAGAGCTTGGTATTTATAGCATGGTGGCTATTGGTTAAACTACATGTTACACACAAATCTGTATGGTAGAGGTGGATGTCATTTTTTAAAAAAGAAAAGATCTATGGAGGTGGCAACTGAGAGCAGAGAAGTGATTGGGAGAAGGTATGCTTCATCATCCCCCCCCCCATTTTCCTGCTCCAATTGCCCCCAAATGAGTTTTCTTTCTCCATCCTAGAGTTTCAGATATATGTTTGTAAGGGCTGAAGGGATAAAGCTGAGTTCAAGATTCACAAGTGAAAATTTAGCATAGAATTTATCAGAGATTCCACATTTCACATCTGGAAAATACAATCCCCACAAGGTACAATGCTCCCCATTTTTAATGAGTTGAAGAAAATGAAAGAAGAGCTTGTGTTCACCAGGCAACAAGAAATTTAGTTTTTAAGAGCTCAGAAACACCTTGTCAGACTCAGAAGAGTACTTCCTGGCTGATCTGCAATGAATCATCACTGTTTATAGGGCTCCAGCATGCGGTAAGCCCTGAGGCAATCTGGCTGGAAAGGATGTGAATGAGATAATTATGTTGCCTGTCTACTTGAGGAACACCTGCTTTTCAAAGGTATTTCTATTGTTGAAGAAAAGAATTTGCATGTGGGTATAGCAACACCACACATTTAAACTCTGTAAATTATAATTATGTGTCTAGCAGAACATTCTCAGCACTGAAACTGAGCAACACGTCCTAGGATTCTTTGGAGGAAAGCATAGACAGTTTAAGCTAGTTTTAAAAATAAGCGTAGGTTGTAGGTCTTGCCATATAAAGAGTTCCCATATTTGATGTTCACTTGTTTCCCCAATTGTATATTTCTGCCTAGGATACAGTAGAAAAAAGAAAAAGAAAACAAAGTACAGTGGTACCTCGGGTTACATACTCTTCAGGTTACATACGCTTCAGGTTACATATGCTTTAGGTTACAGACTCCACTAACCCAGAAATAGTGCTTCAGGTTAAGAACTTTGCTTCAGGATGAGAACAGAAATCATGCTCTGGCGACGCGGCAGCAGGAGGCCCCATTAGCTAAAGTGGTGCTTCAGGTTAAGAACAGTTTCAGGTTAAGAACGGACCTCCGGAATGAATTAAGTACTTAACCCGAGGTACCACTGTATTGTTTCTCAT